TCCGACATGAAGTGATAAGACGTCGAGGACGTTTTTGGTTGAAAATATTTTACATTCGTTATCGTATATTTCAATTTAGTCAAGATATGTTGTGCGCCTCGGCAATAAACTTAAAAGCAAATCCTACCCTAATTAATTGTTTTCATCCTCAGTTTCGATAGTTATCGAACTTAAGGGGGAATTTTTTAATTTCTTGCAATCTATAAAATAGCTTCTAAATATTATTTGGTTTCTATCGGGGATTTTATCGTTATCCCGACGTCGTTGATAACAATATCGTTCATTTTAAGTTGGAGGTATTGATTTATGATCAAAAAATTATAACACGTAATATGAAAAATTTAAATCAACGCCGACTCAAAAAGTAAAACACGTTTTTCCATCTTTATTCTCCATTATTGGCGGACGGAAATTTAGGAATCGGGTTTAACTAATTTGATAATGATGACGATGGTAAACAAAAGTACACAAACATACCATACCGTTCTTAGTTTTTAGTCGTTATTTCTCTGTCCTTTCTTCTTTCTATGTGCATATTAGAACCATAAAACGTGTTTTATTTTTGAACTCTGCGCTGATTTGAATATTTCATGTCGGCTGTTATGTATTTTTGTCATCAACGCCGGATGCCGACGAAATCCGCGATAGATATTAAATACTATTTAAGAGATATTTTATACGCGCTAAATTGCAAGGAATGAAAAAATTTCCTGTAATGTTCGGTCACTATCGAAACTGAGGATGAAAACAACTAATTAAGGCACAATTTGCCGAGGACGCCTAAACCATCTGGACTAAGTTAAAATACACGATAAGAAAATATTTCCAATCAAAAACGTCCTCAAAGTCTTATAAGTTCTTCAAGTCGGCGTTTATCGAAATTCTTTCATGTCAGCTGTAATATATTGCCGAACCACACATGGACGACGACGCTAGGATATGTGCGCCATATTCGGGATTAATATAAACACGAAAAAACAGTATTTGAAGTTTGCGATATTTGAATTTAAATTCGATTTGGACATCTCTGCATTAAATTAGTCAGTTTTTAGTTTTTTTTCCAAAAATTAGTTGTAAATCAATTATTTTAATTGTCATTATGTCTTCCGGTGAGCTTCATTTTAGTTTAGAATTTTTCTGGGGTTAGGGTCGGGAAAAGGTCCATTCGCAAGAAGTGCATTTTGTTTTTAGTCTTGACGAATTCACCCAACGAGCAAGGCGCGGCACGAGGGAAACACTGGAATTTAATAAAGCCATGTTTCACTATCCACGAGGCGCAAAGCGAGGGAAACGTTGAAAATAATTACCAGCTTTTCGTTACCAATTCGCTGGAATGTAATGAACGGCGTTTTGCTACCCACGAGGTGCAAGACATAGCGAAGCGGCGTTAATGAACGAGGGCAAGGTAAGCGAAAGGCTGGGATTTAATCGATGGCGTTTCCCTTTTAACCACGAGCAATTTATCGTGTTTCAGCGGGGCGACACCTAGTGGCGTTGCGACTTACGTCGTGGTTGCACTGTGTAAATTCCGGTCGATTTTGAGAGTATTAACTTTTTCCGTCTCGCTTTAAAGTCGAAATTGTGCTGCACATATATTATTGCAGTTTGCATATTTCATAAAAAAGTGTTCCCTCGATTTAAAATAAAACAGCAAATTTGAGGGAAAATATCCCGTAGGATTCAGAAATCACCTTGATCTTTAGTTTAATTGTAGTATGTTCCGCTCCCGTTCGTAAGCAAACAAGTTTGTCAATGCAATTTTTTTCTCACTGTGAATTCAATTCATCCCTCACTCCGATATCGTTATCTGTCTTCGTGATGAATTACTCAGGATAACAATGTTTCCGGAGCAACGGCAGTTGAAAATCGACTCCTCTAACGATCATCATCCTTACGACGCCGGAAAACGATTCAGTCACAATTTTACATTATGCTTTTACAACTCAAGGTGTCAGGAAATAATTTAAAATGTTGTACTAAGTACCTCAGATTCAAAAACAACTTGTCAACGGATTTCTTATTTCATAAGGTAAATTTGCCGTACATAATGTCTAATGGTAGTGCAATTTCAGTTTCTAAAACTGGAGTTCTGGTTGAATCACCGGACAACTGTGCAATATGTCGTAAAATAATTATTAATTTCCATTATCAATTTAGTCGGGCCATTAATTTTGTAATTGTTTTTTGGAGTAGAAATTTTGATTTTTTTTTTAGAAAAAGCATATTTCAGTTCCCAGCGCAAAGGCTTTGTGGCTATCAATCGCGACGAACCACTCCGCCAACATAATACCATACTTTGCTCTGCGCGATTAACAATTTCTTTAAAAAAAAAACAGTGTAAACTTAAAATGATAAGTTGTTAGTTCAATGGAAACTTGAATTAAATCAGGGATCTTCAACAGATCAAGGTATTATTAGCCCATGTTGTGGCACGTCAAATAGGGCGTCAGAAAATGAAAAATAAAAATTATTAGTCCACAAATACTCAATAAATAATCATACTGATGATTGAATTTTATTTTCGTGCCCAAATTACCTCGTGAATCGAAATGAAAATTCACATTGTACATCTATATTCTCTCAATAGTATATTTCGTAAGCAAAAAGTTACTCCGTGACTACGACAAATGGCGGCGTTCTCGTTTTGTATCTCTGTAAGTGTTAATTAGGATTTAAATCGCAGTTTATCACTTCATTCGTATGTCATTTATACACAATCGGAAATAACTAATTACTCATAGCACAGACTTCTGCTTCGTTTCGACGCATCAGCGGAAAAGAATTATCCGTCAACTCCTTACAGGAAAATAGTGAAGTATTGAAAGAATGAAAAGTGCAAAATACAAGGTGGCTAACCTACCCGTAATCTATTTTGGGGCAAAATTCAAAATATCCAAATCGCTTCATATGGTGATTTATCACATCGGACTGGACTTCCGCCTTTACATAATAGTCTGCGTATCTGAAAAATCCGAATAATAAAATGAGTCTTTCGTACAAAGCCTCCGCCACTAATGCAAAAATTTGAGAAAAACACCCGCCGCGTTTTAAATAACAAATCGATAATTATCTATAGTTGAAGTTGGGAATGATTTAAAAATTTGAATTTCCCGCGCAATCTGCATTCCTAACCTTAAATGGATGATTACTTATTTTGAGCTTTGACGGGGGCTTTGTACAAAAAATCCAACAACATTTATATATATATATACTTTAAATTTACTTCGAACAAGCATGAGAACCGATTTGAAGCAATACCCGTTACTACGACCGCGCTAACTGTGTAACCGAACGAACGAACTATATATATATAACAATGTAACATATTCATCAATTCACAAACTATCTCATATGCTCATCGATACTTCGGTTCAAAATCCTTATTTATATGTATATTTCAGATTATTGAGAATATCAGCATTAGGGTTTGGTATTTGCCGCGACAAGTTGTATGGAAGTTGTAGGATGCGGGCAGTTCAGCGACGCGATTATCGGGTTGCGTGGGATGCACGACTAATCCTATGTTTGCCAAACAAGATATGCGTTTGTGTAAGGTTTTTTTATTTTTTTTTATAAACAAATAAATATAGACAAGGAAGTATAAAAGTCGAAATGCAGAAACTTGTATCACCCCATGCCTTCCTAATCGCAACCTCAGCCTGTTTGCTTTTTAGAAAAATTCTCCATTGAAGCATGAATAATTTTTACATATTATATTGTTATTAAATGCACTCTCTGATACAGCCAAATCTTTAAACTAAGGATTGGGATAAAGTGGTCTGAAAAGATATTTTCGTTTGAATATACTGTTAGAAACCCATGAATAAATCGATGGCATCTCTACACTTAGAAGACACAGCGCGCCACAAGTAATGTGTTAACACCAATCTGAGCTGGCGAACTCCCCGGATCCGCACTGTTAAATCCATTCGAATAATTTTTATCAAACGAATATTGAAAATTTCGGTTGGAGAACATAAAACAGGATTCGCGTCACTAAGGCATAAGCAGAATAAACTAAACAATGGTCTTCGAAAGAACTGAAATATTTTGGGAAATGCACAAATTGCCACATAAAACAATAGAACAAAAATGTGAACGTATGTGCGATGTGTACCTGTCGTTCATTTTATATTTTAACGTCTGATAATTTTTTTGATGAGACCCTAGCAGTGAATAACTGAACATTATTCAATTATTGGAATGGAGCTTGTTCCATTGTAAGATTTTTCCTTCCTCGGTGATTTGTTATTTTAGAATATTTTCAAGCAGTGAATCTTTGGTTTTGACATACAAATGTCTGTGAGCGATATTATTTCTTTATCTGTGTTATTTCTCTCTGGAGCGGAAACGAGGCTTGAGAGGAGCTTAATATTTCACAGCTTCGCGATCGACGGTTCGTCTCTACAATTTTTTCATACTCGACTTCCTACACTACGTTATAAAAGCTCCGACAGGAAGACGATGCATCACAATGCAATGAAATGCGTTATACAAGCAACATTGGGGAACCGAGGAGAATAAAACGAGAATAAAACGATAATGGAAGGTATGTGATATAAAAATTAGATTACGGTCACCGGTGTGACAAATTCGTTAAACTATTTAGCTTTGTCAAAGTACTGTATATAGTTAAATATATGATTTGCGATGTTACCATTCACGAAATGCTAGTCGAAAAGTGCTTATCACTTAATTGCATCTGTTCCTCACAATCTCATCTTATACATAAATTGACATCCTTATCTTATTTTAAATGATAGATAGATTGGATTAAATTGTAACTTCAATTTCAACTGTAAAAATCTGCAGTGATTTTTACCAATTCAGCCATTTTCAGCCTCTAGTGCTGGCTGAGTGAATACTCAACAAACAATTTGTCCGTTGACAGAGCTCTTATTTTGAACCAATACGCAAGCCAATTTTGGCGCGCAAAATCGTTCGTTCAGGTTGACTTTGACCAACTAACTAATTTTAGCACGATTCTGATCTATGTAACAAATGTGAAAAGGGGTGACATACATTGGAATGAACCCATAATATGATTCATTTGGCGTAGTTTTAAAATATAGGTGCTGTAATTGTTTACTGATAATGCTGTCCTAGGTACTTCGGAATGAAGTTTCTGTGGTGTTTGTTCCAATCAGATTAACCTGCATGAGAACCCAATATGTTGCATTTGCGTAGAATGGGTCATTGGGGAACGATTTGACACGTCACTTAATTCAACTAATGCATTTTCATAATATATTTTTCCGCGAAAGAAATGTGCGATATTCACACCAGTATACTAACTGTTCCCATGCAGATTTATGTTGATGAAATATTGCTTTGAGTATATTTAATATACTATGCATGTGTATAAATCACGGCGCCGCGTGAACACTGGAAATGCGTCACGTCATTATTACTCCCGTAGTATAATACAACAAGCAATTTTCGCGCGCCATGACATGTTCAGGCGCATTGTATACGTTAAACGTTTGGTATGCTCTTTTCTGACCTAGAACAGCATGTATGCTAGGAATACGTCTTTTTGAATTGTTTTCCCACAATTTTATGGTATTGTTATGACCCAGATGTTACAATTTCGACTATACCGTATGGCACTTGCATGTTTTGATGTTACACTAATTCATCATGAACGATTCCAGTACTTGACGCGGTTCTTCGGCCCTGAAAACGATACGGAGGAAGGAAAATGTAATTGGATCGCCAAAAGATGCTGCGACGCAATCGACGATAAAACTGACTAACTCGGGAAGTCATCTTCGACTTATATATCAACCATGCCTGAAGTAATGTTAAAGTAAGTTTGAAAGGGTAATTTATCTCTGATTTATTCACGGCCAAAAGTAGTATGATTGATATCTATATGAAAGGGCTTTGCTTATTCCAATTTTCCTTATTTTAGTTATATTACGAGTTCAGGAACTAGCCAAGTGAGAAACATTTATAAACTGGATAGAAATAAAGTATGAGACTGGTTCTAACACCTCACCTTTCTGCAAATGTTTTAATAAATTAGCATTACAGAAAGCGTGTGTGTGCTTGAAACAGCTTCTCGGTGATCATCGTAGCAAAATTGATTCTACTTACTCTCAAGCCCAAAATTAGTAGATAAGATTTTTTGTATTTTTCAGGTGAACTTGTGAAGAAGCATCATGATGGGGATGCTTGTGATGATCCAATAATGAAGTTGGAGTATTTTTCTCCAGAATTCGTACATATTTTTAAAATACGTGAATAAAATAACAAGTTGAATCTCAGATTTGATGATAGCGAATCATTCATTACCTTCTCCAAGCAGCCGTATCCAGGTTGGAAACGAATGCGCTAGTAATCACCCCATGTCATTGAAAGCACTTTATTTTTGGGACTATACCTCAAGTGTGCTGACTTTGTTAAAACATTTACTGCCAATTACCACATAATATATCGCGTTTCATTGTATAAATTTTATCTCAATAAGAAGCACATATTGAACGTATAACCTAATGGAGATCAGAGCGTTATATCATTATTTGGGAGGTCCTAATACAAATAAATTGCATTCATTCAAATTCGCATATTTAGTATGTCTATATGGGGTTTTGCAGTCCCATTAGTTTTGCAGCAAAGCAATTTTAGAACTATTGACATTCGGCTTGCTAAATCAAGAATTTTTAACTATAAATCCCGTGAGTTCGACAGACTACAGTTCTTTCAAATCGAATAAACTCTCGTTCCCTGAGAAGCTGCGCGCTACACAACAATATTGGCAATTGTAAATTGTCTATCAGTTAAAAATTTTCTATTTTTGCTAATGTATCAAGAATTCAAAAATTCATAATGAGGCTGGTTTAAACACTTCACCTTTCTGAGAATGTGTCATAAGTTCCAAACATTACAGAAAGGATGTGTGTGCTAAAACTCTCACTCAATCATCAACTTCATGTGTAAATCAAAGCGATTATCACAAGAATTTCAGAATCTCTTGGAACAAGACTCTAGACAAGTAGACACTGATAGGTGTAGAGCTACCTGGTATCGATGAGTAATACACATCGTGGGTTTCAGTGAAGTTTTAAGGTGCTTGTTAAAATATTGAAGTTCATGGGATATAATGGGTCGCAAAATGATCTTCATATGGATTACATATAAACCTTTATGTTCAATGAAACGGATGAGTGATGAAAATGGTAACGATTTGATGCAATATGACAACTTGTAACATCAATGGATGAGTAAGTGATAAATCGTTGCAAGACCAAATTCAACAAAGGTAAATTTGATTCCAAAATCAAAACCGACAACCCGAACCAAAATGGGGAAACAAGCAAAACACACTTTTACTTCAAGTGATAAGTAGTGAAGAGCTGGTTCATGCATATATACTACGTCTATAAAAATAAACTGTATACGTATGAATGCCAGTACAATTAGGCAGCTTTTTAATAATGTAATGTACACTCCTAACGTATCACACAGGATTTCAAGCGATTTATATTGACGTCATAAAATAGCTCCGTTTGATATTGCTAAAGCTGATAATATACACAAACCTTGACGAATTTATACAAGTTTCGGCTCTAATTTGCGCACAAAAGCACTTTTTGCATTTGAAAAAACAACGATGACTATATTTTAAAGATAGCTGACGTGAAAAGCATGTCACACCTGAACTTGGTTATTTTAATAACTTCAATTATATATATATAAGAAGAAAAATTGTCTCAATTAGTTATAACAACACTAGTATGCGATATGTTCTCATATCTTATAATCTATACAAACAAAAGTGCTCTAAAAATATTTTTTGATAATGAGGATGGTTTTGACACTTCATTACAGAAAGACTGTGTGTGCTGAAACTTTCACTCAATGATAACATCAAAATGAATACAATAAATGATTAGATTGGAGCTAATTCTCAAGATCATTCGATTCAGTATTTAAGTTCGATTGAGTATTAATTTGATCTGTTAGTAGGCGTCACTGAATCATGAATATAACTTCATCTTGACGTCATAAAACTATGGTTTCGTCCCGATAATAAGCTGGACCCGTACCACACATGCTAACGAAAGAATAATCCAATATTCGGATGGTAGCTACGTACATGCAAATACTGACTTGAAGAAGATCACATCAACATTTTTCGTTCAAAATGAGGCTGGTTTTGACACTTCACTTTTCTGAAAATGTATCTAGTTTAACCATTACAGAAAGGTTGTGTGTGCTGAAACTTTTGCTCAATGATCACATCCAAATGGAAGAGATTTATTATTGTTCATTTGATAGGAGTAAATTCTCGAAATCATTCCAGCCTTTTCCTAGTATTTATTTTTTCGATTAGTTTGTAGGTGTCACTAATGCATACCGTAAATTGTTACATGCTGTCCTAACCTTTGACCTGCACAACACAATATGCGAAAGCACAGTCCGAAAGTAAGATGGTTGCATCAAACCTGCAAATATTGACTTGAAGCAGGCCATACCAATAGGACAATGAAAATAGCTTATCAGGTTGTTTTCAAAGTTTATTATGAGTGTGGTTCAAACACTTCACCCTTCTGGGAATGTGTCATGTATTCTAACCATTACAGAAAGGTTGTGTGTGCTGAAACTCTCTCTCTCTCCATCATCGATGTATATCTCCAACCAAGAGCATTAGTAGGTAAATATTTTCGAGTGACATCTGAGAATAAAAATTTAGGGAAAAACGAGTCAACAATAAATTACATCCATACTAAGGAATAGTCTGATGATGAAAAAGTAAAGAAAAAAAATATATATACATTCGTCTTTTGGTGACGTTTTGTTTATGAGGGCCCGTTTGTCGATTAGAAGTCATGTGAGGTGTGTGAAATTTTGACTTTTGTGAGTTCACATACTTTTCCGAAGTACGTTTCTGAAAAGAGGTGTCAATTTACAAGCATTGGTATGTGCAACAAATGTGCGCAAAATAATATTCTTTAAAATGGGGCTGGTTTTGACACTTCAACTTTCTGGCAATGTATTTTGTTGTGACCATTACAGAAAGGTTGTGTGTGCTGAAACTTTCACTCAGTGACAACATAAATCAGAATGAAGTTATAAATAGAAATAGAATAACGTATATACGAGTGGTATTGATTTGTTTGTAATTACCACTGAGACACGACGAAATAATCAACTTGTGCTGGAAGACTATCATTACATGGTGAGGCTAAGGTGTCTCTAGGGATCTGCATCACACACGGTACGGAAGAACAGTTCACAATTAGGATGGTCACAAAGCACATGCAAATACGACCTTGGAGCATCATCATCGATATACGGTATATGTTTAGGAAAACAGGAAATTTCCAAAGTTTACTATGAGACTGATTTAAACACTTTACTTTTCTGGGAATGTGTCATATATTCTAACATTACAGAAAATATGTGTGTGCTGAAACACTCATTCCATCATCAACTTCAAATTAAGCAGTTACCAAAAACAACGCCCCTTCGGATATTTCTTGTGGTTTGTTTCGGAATATACATCTTCTAACAAGACTCACCGGTATCTGTTTTATGTACCACTGTATGAACCACGCCAAAGAGACTTTTGGTGTTTCGCGGCGCTGCTTAGTGCTTACGACATCAAGATTCGTGAATTTTCTTTTTTATAACTTGCGACAGACATCTTTAGATCAATTAACATATAAAAATACATTAACATTTTTCTTCCAGGTCTACCAAGCTAGGGTTCAACTAGTGTGCCATCTTGGTGCTCATACTCCGGGAGCGCCCAATATTGTATTTTATATCACAATACATAATATAGATTATAGAATTTAAATATTCAACATTAAATGGAAGGTATTTCCAAACCCTATATTTTATACAATATAGAATAGCGCCAAAAAGCCTTAACCTTTTTGAAAATGTATCTAGTTGTACTATTATAAAATGGTTGTGTGTGCTGAAACTTCCACTTAATAATAACGCAAAAATTTGAAATTAATCTATAAATGGAATAATGCTGAGCATTGTAGTCAGATATTTCCGCAGTAATAATTTGATTTGCAGGTTAGTTTCTTAATAAGTAAAATAACACAGTTATCAAAACAAGAAAATTTCAAAATTCTGATATGAGGCTGGTTTGAACATTCACCTTTCTGGTAATGTGTCAAATTTGAAGCATTACAGAAAGGATGTGTGTGCTGAAACTCTCATTCATTAAACATTCTCATAAATAATCGCCGATAATAACGTGGTCTATTTAATTATGTCCAAGTCCCGGTGATTTTTATGTACATGTTTAGACATTACTTATTCACTTAAACATTTTATTAAATCCGATTTAAACATATAATTTTATTAAATACGATTATCATTTAACATAAGATTGAAAACACAACGAAATGAAATTGAATATTCAGGATACATATTTAGACTCAAAAAGGGCACGAACACAAGGAATTGGACCGTCTTACAATTTCTGATGATTATTTTTCAATTATGAGATATTCTTTCGTCGACAATCATACGATATTGTAGATTAGTGGATGGTAATATTTCCATAATGTCGGTGAGGTCAAGTTGAGTGGTTATGTTATCAAATATTCAAACAGCAAAAGTAAAAATTTCAGATATTATGATCTCTGCTTTATATTGATATTCAGTAACATAAAATCTAACGGATGGCATAGATTTTTTCCCTCCTGAAATTGAATAATATCTGTAATATATCTTCTTTTTGCTTCGTATTTCAACAGTTATGTTTTGATCACCTGAATTATTTAGTACTATACGGAATATTTCTATATTCAATGATTTAAAATATAAAAATTTGGAAAATCGGTATTTTTTATTATGATAATGGTTTTAGCACTTTACTTTTCTAAAATGCACCGAGATTTTAATCGTTAGAGGAATATCGTTTGTTATTAAAATCTCACTCAATGATAAGAAAAATAAGACGGATTTGAGCGAATTCATGAATATCATTCCAATCAAATATTTTCGAAATATAGAATTGAAAACATAATGATGGTGATTAGAAAGTTTTAAATTTGAAATCTGAGCACAAGCAAAATGCTGTCATCGTGGGTAGAGTAAAACGCATAAAATAGATTTGTCAGACAAACAGGCAACTTCAGTTTCTAAGTTTCTAAGCAGTATTTTAAAATTAGTTCCAGTTAGTTACTTCGTGTGCGCTACGAAACTGAAAGATGAACGGCCTCGTCTTGCGCCAACTCGTAAAAATAAAAAAAATGAGAATGTAAAATATTTTTTGGGGTCAAGGTTCGACTTACAGCTTTTGTTCGTAGTTATTTTCTCAATATGCCTTGCGTCGCTGTGGAAATCCTCGAGGTCGGTTCAGTCGTTTTGTCTGTTAGAGCTCACGTTTGATTGTTTTGGGTTGTATCTGAATAGTACCATATGACGTACCAGTATTTTTTCCATACCCCAACTTGTAATCGTAACCCTTCTGTCTATTAGTCCAGCACCCTAGTTCAGTCAGTAGTTACCGGTACCGTCGCGGTACCGGTAGGCCTACGTTGGTTAAGATTACGGTAGATTACATGTTCGTCCAGTTGTTAGGCCCTTACTACACTGACTGACTGACAGTATTATTTGTATATACAGATATAGGATTTTCTTTCGATTTCATCCCCATCACAGAGTACCGGTATATGGTACGTACGTACCGTCAGACCGTACCGGTACCGTACTGACGTAGCACATACGATACGGTACCGGTACGGCACACTATACAGATCGGTGACATTGTCATGTTTCAGAGAAACCCGTTTTACCAATGATCAGACACCCCTCCTTTGGGAGACGCCTGGACATTGTTGTCACTCAATATTGGTAAAAATACAGTATAATGGAGTTGCGCAAAATACTACAAAGAAGCGCAATCTGATAACGTCATCATTGAATTTCTCGGGGAAAAAATAAACCGATTTACCGAAGGAAAAAAATTTTACCGTGGCATTCAAAAGTTTTTAGCAAAAAACGGCAATTTTGGTCACGTGACGGCCGCGATTAATTTAGATTATTATTGAAACAAGCATGGCGCGATATGATGCATCTGACGTGGTGACAGACGCCCCTCGTTTGTGAGACACATAGAGTGTTTGTTTTATTGAACCAAATGGTGAGAAATTCTTGGAATTTGGATAGTGTGCCGTACTGCGTACAGACATATCAGCATATTGGGGTTTCGTACCTAAATGTCAATCCTAACCCCCATCTGACTACGCCATCCAAAAATTATGTCACTACGACATCACAATCACGTCATAGAGCTTGCCAAATTTTTATGTTAGGTAAGAAACTACATGAGACCCGCATATTGCTGTATTGAACAGACAATACACGCTGCAGTACAAAGACTGAACGAACAGATCTAAAAATCCATGCAAAGAGAAAGTTCTGAAATTAGTAAACTTGACAAGCACAGGATTGGTTCAGGTCATGGTCCAAGTTTTCGGGGTTATATTACAAAATATTCATTTTGCAATATCAGAATATTTCAGTTTGTAATTTCAACTAACTATTGGCGGAAGGTATTATAAATTCTAAACTGGCATGTGTGGTGACGTTTCAAATTGCTGATAGTTATAAATTGTTAACGGTACTACAGTAGGGCACAATTCAATGATTCCAAGATGTCCAGATATTAAGATACTTGGTTCAATAAAACAAACTATCTATTTGTCTCTGAAACAAGGGAGTATGGCACGACGTGTGACGCCTGTCACCGAAAATTTTGTTTTCTTGTTAAAAACTGTCAAATTCCAAAGTAAAATTTTTTTTATGGTAAATTGGATGATTATTTTTCTCTGGAATCCAATTTCTTCCCATTCTCTGTGGTGACGTTTTTTGATTACGCTTTCATTTGTTTATTTCGCAGTGGTGATTTGTGCTGATATGGAGGCCCAGACGGTCTCATAAATGAAAGGATTGCACTCACTAATCTATGTCTTTTAATGTGGGGGCTATTCTCAGAATCTGTGAACTGTGCGGTACTGTACTAAACATTATACATACTTATATTGATCTATGCATGTTGTATTTAACATTATTGATTATCATCATTTAGATAGAAAAATATAAATACTGAATATTGAATTGAGATACGAACTTATTTTATAAATAACTACAGAAAGAAATAATTCAGATCTATATACATGAGAAAGATTTTCAAGTTTCATCCAGTTTTTGATAGAAATTCCTTGACAAGAACCAAAGGATTCGTCATGAGAAGCCACAGCAAGCCTCCTACATGCTGTTTCTGCTGTCATGTTAATGCTGGGACAATTATCTATGCTCTTCTGCATTTGGTTAGATTGACGTTTATTAATTGTAAAAAAAGATTTTGTCTTTTCTATTGAATATTAAGTATTTTAATACTGTGATTAAATTGTTATGATAGCATTTACATTTTTATTGGCAAAGTTATTAAAAAATCCTATTTTGTTGACTCAAAAAGGTTTTCAACTAAATTATTGAAGAAAATCTTAATATAAAACAACAGCTGATTTATTACACAAAAATCCATTGTCGATATCATTTTACTGACCGTATTAATATATCTTTATATGCTCATCTTCACATATTGTGGATTTCTTTTTAGGTCTATTTGTTTAGGTGCAATTAAAGTGGACAAGGCTGTAATTGCAAATAAATAAAACCTAATTTGGCAATATCCACAATGTATTAATAGAAATCAATTCATATGATTATATTCCTGATCCTAAGTCTTACATTTTTTCCACAGGTGATTGCTCTCTTCGGAATCGTAATTGCCACATTAGCTCTAAGTGGGCTCATCAATTTCGAAAATGGAAGTTCTCTGCAGTCAACCATGTTTTCATACAATTCTGACCTGACAACAACCCAAAGTATGTTGTATAGTATTACAGTTTTAATGTTCATATTTTTAAATAAAAGAGATGGCAATAATATATTATAGGAATAAACAAATTTGAAATATATGTGCATCAGCTTTTATTAAGCTTTTTTTGTTATATCTGGTTTGTCAGATTGATAACTAACATGGTGGAATATTTATATTCGTAATAAAGTTATCTGTCCATGTTTTTCTTACCGAATATTTATTTTTTTTTTTTTTCAGCTCTGTGGGTGCTTTTTGTGAATGGACTTTTCTTCTTACTGATTGCCACCTCTGCTATTTATGGAGTTGTCAAGGTAAATATTATTAACGAATAGATATGAATATTGATAAATTTCTTAGAAAATGTTAATTAATTTTATTAAACAGCAATTTACTTGAAATATATATTCTATAGTACTTCAATTTTCCATTCCCAACAATGGTTGGTTACTGTTTTTAAAATAATATTTTTTGCACACAAAGGACATGTTTCATTCTCAATTTAAGTTTATTAAAAAAAATTAACACATCGATTCGAATAAACTTTTGTAACCCTATTATTTTCTTTTTCGAAAATGGTAAATATTGTCTTGATCAGTGTTAACTCTAAGCGAATTATGAGTTCGCAGTCGAAAAAAAAAGTGCGAAAGTGCTTTTGTCGATTTTAACAAGTTAGGTGCCCTAGCCTTTCATATAACCCATTTAAAACAGCATAGATACTCGGAAAATCGCTCCTCCGATTAATATTATGAATTAAAGAGAAGCCTTTCCATTAACCCAGTTCCCTTTAAGCGAATTCATGTTTAATTAAAACAAGCGAATTCATCGGCAACGAAAGGACATCTGCTTACACCTGCCGCGGACAAAACTTTCATGCAATGTATCACGGTGTCAGTTGCTTACTTGCGTGAACAGCAAAGGCTTTCACATTTGTTACTCCTTCCATCTAACATACAACGATTGATACATGCAGGCTGAAAACCATATTAGTTACAGGGTGGATCATTTGTACAAAACCGGTGCAAAATAAATCCCCCCCCCCCCAAAAAAAAATATAAAAGTTAGGTGCCCTGGAAATTCAACTTTTCGATTTATCACTTAACCTAATCTGATAATTATTAATTTGTGATTATGAACCACTTTGAAAGTCGCCACCCGCTGTTGTAAAAGATAGGTTAACCTACGTTCCCTCGGGAAATATTACGCAGGATACTCCCCTTTTAGGAGATAGGTTGACCTACTTTCCTTTCAAACTTTTTTCTTCGAAATATTACACAAGATCACTTTGAAAATCCTCTCCTTTCGTGAGCTAGCGTGACCTAGTTTCTTATTTACATTTGTATTATACTATTTCAGAGCTTACCCAAAGACCAGTAATTCTTAAATGTCGACATGCCTTGGTTTGCGTGCGATTTCGGGCAGAAAACATCATATATTGGCAATAAATAATTTTTAATCGACCACATGAATGCTGATATCCTGAAAATTAATGTTGAAAGAGAAGTACGCATTCTCAGATATCGGACATCCAGTCGCGATATTCAATCGTTTATATGCACAAATCCCACATTAATAGTAATTGCTACCCAAGTTTGTAAAGTTTAGAAACCAACAAACAGAAAATAACTTACGGTATTCTAAAACACAATTAAAATTCAGTCGGCAATAAATTGCGCCAAGACGATGCCATACAAAAGGGAAAAGATTTGGTCGCGAGAGTTACGTTAGATGACTGCAAAACGACGTTGTTTTTTAAGCAGAATGTAAAACAATCAAATAAAAAAACGGGAGTTACGACGCCCTTAACACATCGTGTGTATTAAACTTCCCTGGTAAGTACTATTATTATTGTACTTATACACCTGTTGGAGTATTTCGGACAGTTTCGAATTTAAAATAAATGAAAACCCGACATACAATAAAGACGCAAAAGTAAATTGAACATTTATTGAAAAAGTTATTATTTAAGAAAGACAACATGATCGTACAATTCCGAAAAACCTCGATGTTCGCAAGTGAGATGATAAATGAATACTTTCCTGTATTCGATCAATTAACTTAAGCGTATCGTTGTTCTGCCAACAAACAGCGGCGCGCAAAATATTTCTGTCCTGTGATATGCTCACAAATATTCTCGATATTAATATCATACCCTCGCGTATGTACTTTCTATTAGCTTTTTAGTGATCCCTTTCATCCTTGGCCAAGTCATGTTTCGACTATGTGAACATTTTATTCGACCATACATGGCCGGCGGGATGTTAAAATTGTAAACAAGAGAGAGGTAAAATCAATCGCGAATTTCGTTATAATGGCTCGTTTACGAATTGTTGCGCTTGTTATTGTCGAAATTGATTACATTTGTTGTATTTTGAGGCATTTAAGCAGTAATAATTAGGACATGACATCAAAATCGTCAAGTGAGATCTCGAAATTGCAAATTCCGTGAATAAAATTGTGAATTACTCGGTAACGAATTCAGCTTTAATGACCGTCGGGGTATTGTTTTGTTGAAAATTATTATTAATGTGGGAGCGCCAAAAAGATACAGTCCATACCGATGCGACTGCAATTTATATGGCCGCACTTGGTGTGGCGCGTTTATTAATAGTGTAAAATAAATTAAACGGATTTCAATTATAACCAAGCGTGTAAGCGTGTTTATTTTCTGTGGTCAAGAATCATAAAATACGATCTTGAGACAAATTCACTTCTATTGCCAAATCTTAATTTTCAGTTATTATCGTTATACAAATAACGTGTGGCAAATTTTTAATTTATCGTCGACCAAAAAACCGCCCCACACTCGTCCAAACGTGTGTCGAGCTTGAACGACAGGAACAGATTCATCGACGACTTTAATTAGGGAAAATATGTATTTTATTGTGAATGCAAAATAAATGTAACAAAACGCATTTTTTGTGATATAACTTTGTATTTTCGGAAATGGGTTGCCGTGAAAGGTAAAATTTGATCTAAATTAACCGCAAAAATGTTTTATTTTATATGTAACAAAACACATGTTGCGATATAACCTTGTATTTTCGAAAACGAGTGTCCTGAAAAGTAAAATATGATCTAAATTAATCGCAAAAATGTTTTATTTTAAATGTTACAAAACACATTTTCGCGATATAACCTTATATTATTCGGAAACGGATGTCGTGAAAAGTAAAATATGATCTAAATTAATCGCAAAATGTTTTATTTTAAATGTAACAAAACACATTTTTCGCGATACAACTGTATCTTCGGATACCGGGTGTCATGAAGAGTAAAATATGATCTGAATTAACCGTAAATAATGTTTCATTCCAAATGTATCAAAACGCATTTTTTGCGATATAACTTTGTATTTTTGAAAACGGGGCGTCATTATTAATCTAATGTTTTATCTATCGTCTGACTAACGTCTGGTACACATCATATTCGGGGAGAACTCTAGCCCGCGAAACGTCATTTAATTTAAAATAGAGAATGTTTCACCCATTCCAAAACGGAAAATCGCCAGTAAGTCGACAGGGATTCAACCCTCCGGATTCAGTATTCTATATCCCCCGTGTCAGAACTTTCTGAAGAATGGAACAAAGAACCCGTCAAACCGCCGCGGAAGAAGGGGAGTATTTTTTGCACTAATAATTAGGGCGTGACATTATCAAAATCGTCAAGAAACTGGTGAATTTGCAAATTCCATAAATAAAATTGTGAATTGCTCGGTAACATTTTAGCTATAATTATCGCCGGGGTATTGTTTTGTTGAAAACACGTTGAAACTTGAGGGAATTAGTTACAATTGGCGCCTGACCTCTATTAGGCACTCGAGCACTCGAAAAAATAAGCACTCGAGCCCAATCTTTTTAGCATTAAGTCGCATACGTAAAATATCCTGTAAAAGAAGTTTCGGATTTGCGAACTTTATCACCATAGAAAAACATGAGAAAGTTAATTATCGTCTTAATAAATATCTGCATCACGGTATCGACAATAATATTACCATTCGCATAAAATTGGGACGGTAAATATACAAATCTTGATAGGTATTAAAGCCAACGCAAATGTTAATTTGATTCCTCAATGTCTTCAACAGCTGTTGCCGATGTGAACCAACGGGTAAACCCGAAATATAAAACTTCGATGTCCGCCAACCCGCAAGAATTCATATTTGTATAAAAGAGAGGGCGGGTATATAGACTACCAAAACCTGGATGTCGCCGCCAAAACGATCGGTGACAAAAACAATTAGCGATTACAACGGAATTACCCAGTAAAAAGGTTTTGTTGTCGATTTTTTACCGACGTTCCAAAAATATTTGTTATTCGGTACTCGTTAAAAATATTCGATTCAAAAAAATATTGAATTTTGCCCACCCCTACTCGCATATCAATGAGAAATAGTTGTGTGAATATCGCAAAATTCCGGAAAATGCCAGTGCTTTCAACATTATGATTACAATAAAAGGGCACTTAATGGTATTTTGTGAATTTGGTGATTTTGCAAATCTGTGACATGCAGCTAAAAGTTTCGCCTGATTTGAAAATCGTGCACTTTGGTCACAATTCATCCAAAGTGACTATAACACTTTACTAACACTTTTATAGTCATTTTGAATTCATCGATATCATTGATAGTCACATGACCACTCTCGTTCAAAGAAACGCACTGCCTAGTATTTCAACATCTGGTTTCAAAGACGCCGGGAGCGTTTATGCGGGAGAAGCGGAATCGGTGTGCTTGTATAATAATCAGTTTATAAACAAGCATTTTGCCGTTAATGCATAAGCTTTATCTCCTATGTCTGCATCTCATAGGTTAGAATTCTGGTAAATATCGTTATGATATGCAGAATTGAGTTACAAAAGTACTAGTATGTTACTTATTTGTCAACTCAATACTCGAAAATATTTGGTAACTTTGAATTTTTATTCCATTCAAAATCGGAAAAAAGTGCTATTTCTCTTCAAAATCGGAAAAAAGTGCTATTTCGCAGTCCATAAAAAAAGTTGCGAAAGTGCTTCGCAATTTTCGCAAAAAAGTGCGCTAATAGTGAACACTGGTCTTGATATGAGTTCCCATAAGTAATATAAGAATTCATTTTGTTTTAAGTATATTAAAATATATGTTATCAAAATGTAATAATGTGTGAGATTTTTTAGCCTCGGTGGAAGAACATATGTGGTACTTTTTTAGATTGTTAAAAATGAACTGATCTAGAAAAGTTTTAATTTTGATGATGAGCATCAATGTGTGTCTTATCTTTTGACAACGTTTTGTTATCTAGCCCTATTTAAATTAGGTGTTTAATATATTTCCTTCATATTTTAATCTTGATTACATCTAGCCCTACCGTCATAAAATTCCATTTTAATACTGTATTATTATTATTTTTCTATCATGAAATCGTCCAATTGACTACACAGTACACACCCAAGCCGGATGAACAAATATAACTGAAAAAACTCCATTACAAATGAATTTAGTTGTTTTGTTTTCAAGAGTGTGATTTCCTTTCATACTTTGGTTTCATATTTCATATAGTGCCATTCTTGTTTATTAAGTAATTACCATATGTGCGTGAATCATCCATCGTATATTGGTTGTTACAACAGAGTGTCTTAACTTATTTCACACATATTGAATTTTTGTAAAATATCAACTATGAGATGTGGTTCACAGAAGAGTATTTTAAAACAATATTTTTCTGGTTTGAATTTAATAAATTACAAAAAATGAAAACATTTTTCATTGTCTAAATCAGCAAACATGTTAAATTTATGCTTGGATTGTTTGATAATATTTTGATTGTACATTTCCTGGTTGAAAATAGACTTGTGCTTATTATTAAATTAATAATATATAGATAATGAATAACACTGCAGCCTAAATCAGATACATACACATCATACAAATTAATTGAGACACACAAACAATGGTATCATTCCTGAGATAATTAGATTTTCATATTTGGAAGAAATAATATGTAGGCCTACTAACACTACTAAGCCCTGGTTCAAGGGAATAAATGGCCAATGGATTTTGATTCTTGTTTATTTTTACTTTTTAGAATCGTGCTGGATTTATCCTACCTTTCTTTATTGTACAACTGTTTGATTTCCTGTGCACCATGGTTTACATTGGAAGTGTTGTCTTCTACTGGCCATCATTCAAATACAAGTTGATGCAAGTGAGTTTCATATTAATTTTCTCTTTGTCTTCATTTATTGTTATCATTTATATAGGTAACATATTATTTATTTACGGTAATAAATATGAAGGTATCCAGGTTTTGCTATAAATTTTTTTTTTAAGAATTCATGTAATTGAAATCCTTACTTATGTTCATTTTCACTTTGGTGTGAACTGAAAACCTGAGATTCATGCATTTCTCAATTGAAACATAAATCGCAGAATATTCAGTGAAAACTTAGTGAATATGCCTGAAAAATCATTCAATACATATTTTTGTTTTTAAATAGTTTTTTTTTCTTTCTGAAATCTTTGTTTTGTCAAGATTAATTGATTACATTTGTCGGGTTTCAAGGCAGGCGGGTGTTTATTAAATTCCGGAACAATTTTATTAATTAGAAAAGATTAATAAAAACAAATGTTTTCGAAACTGGTTTTCTAAGCAAAGTTAGAAGCGATATTCACAAGGTATTTAAAAAGATCACAGAGATATGTTTTCCTGATTTTTTGAAACATTTTTTTTTTCAAGTCTCGTCCATTTGGGTTAAAGCCTTTGATTTATAAGCTGAACTAGAAAAGATCATTTTGAACTTTGTCCATTCTAATTCATAGATTCAATGTTGTAAAAGACATGATAACATGATTTAAGACCATTCAACTATTGTCAGTCATGTAGATCAACAAAAGTTTCTAGATTCTCATGCTTTCGTAAGCCTCACTAATGAAATGTATTGGGTTGTGCCAATTTTTCTCTGACAAATTGGAAATAGATCTACAGTTACGTTCTATTACAAATGTATAGCTTATTGCATCATGCATTCTTGGTACATTTCCCGTATGTAGTCATTTTTTGTTGGACCAGCTCAATCACAAGTTTCTTACTCAAATGTACTGTGTTATCACATTCAGGTTGCTGTCAGTATTTCTTGGTTGTTTCTATTTACCTAAGCTTGAGTTCTTCACCTGGCAACTCTGTTAATCACTTGCCATGGATTCATTAATGTTTCACTACTCGATGTTAGTTAAAAATTAATAAGACCTACTGTAGGGGTTTGACAAATGATGTATACAGTAGGCTACATAATTTCTATGAATAAATATCGATTAAAACCAGGTAGTATAATATTCCTATCATTGGGTCTGTCATCTGTTGTTTCCGAAAAAACCATGTATCACACTGATTATAGATTTTGTAAAATTGATTTTTTTGTTATTGGTCTATTTTTATACATTTCTTCCAATTCTATATCGTAACAATAACATGCTTTGTCATATCCATTTTTCGGTCAGCTTCCGTGCCCATAAATTAACTGTGCGATATTAACTGAGTTTGATATTTTTTGAATAAATTGAATATTTGCACTATTTCGCTTCTTTGATTCAGAGCTTGACATTTGGAAATACCTGACGAATCTGCAAATCTTCAGTCAACTAGTCTGAGCCCAAAATTTAATTATCTCATTGTTATAAATATAGAATTTCATTTGGTTGAAAACGTCATGTATTGTAATGTCCAAGAAATGATCGCTCAAAATGACAGTGTTATTGATCATTATGTTGTTTAACCCTTGAAATAGGCATTATCAGGAGCAATCAATGTTGATTCATTTAATAGAATTTTTAATAGTATAAATTATTAATTGGATTAAAACAAATGATCAAATTATTTTGCCAAATAAAATACATATATATGTTTTCGTAGTTCAAAATGTTGTCTTTAATGGGATCATAGCATTGAGCATCAAAATATTTATGACGCATTCTCTACCTTATGTAGTGCCCAGTCATTTCCTGTTTGTTGCGTGAGCTGACCTTAAGTGTCATTGTAAATTGTGATAGGTAAATGCTTGTTTTGTTGAACCAGCTCATAGGACTTACAATTTGTAATTTGGCTTTTTGTGTCAAATGCCAACAACGGCTATATCGTCAGTTGTCGCCACTGAAATCCACAAAAGCTAGCTTCTTTTCAAATAATTATCATTTGGAGTCATTCAAGTCTCACAGTTTGTCCAAAAAGGCCATTTTCTGACAACTTTGAAAAGTAATGAACCAATCATAATATTACTGTTTATTTTCTTTTTTTTCCAAATTTAAACTCATTGTTAAATATAATTGATTTCTATATATTTTATTTCAACATGGCCATCTTTAGAATATATAGATTTTCTAGATAGGAAAGTAGTAATTTAGTATGTATTTGTAATAAAATTAGATTATTCAATTTTAGCCATCCCTGGTTACATGTTTTGAAATTACCATTGAATTATTTTATGATTATCCTATGTAATTATGAAACGCAAAAGTTGAGAGTATTTCCTGTCACAATATTTTGTTTTCCGTTTCATTTCTATTACGTAGTTTTAAGTGTCTGTACTTGAAAATTATAATAACGATATGGTGGAATGAAATGGTCTTTACGTTCAAGGATTGACTGGCTGTATTAATTCGTGATGGGAAACCATGTTAGTATTGACTGGGCTATGGGGTTGCCGTTCTATAATAATTGATACCAACCTCTGTGTTTTTCTGAATCATTACTTTTCAAGAAATAGGCCTATTGCAGCTTTATTATTTTTATCATTTTCGAAGTTTTCAATCTTTCACTTTGGTTTATATCAATTTTGTGTTTTGCAATTTGCCATTAACATGAACTGAAAACCATTAGTAAATAACTTTCGTTATCTGAAGTTACCAAACCATATTGCACAACACGCTTATGGAATGTGTATCATGTATTTTTTGAAACCAAGGCCATTTGAGACTATTTAAGACTATGTTTTTATTGCAACTAGTATTACTCAAGTCATCTTGGCAATAAAAATGTATTGCAGCATCATTCCATTCTACTTGAAATAAGGTCATTGATTACTCTTCACATAAATTACTGTAATACTGTGTGGATTATCCGATGCCCTGCGGGCATTGATCTGTGTTCAATATCAGTAATTGCTATTGATCTGAAATTCGCTTGTCTGTAAAATATTCATGCTTTGGCACCACATGTTCTGAAATATGATTTGGAATTTTCATACTTTATTTTCAAATATTGAATATGTCTTTTGATTAATGTTCAACGAGAATTTTTAGGTTTTCTGTTATCAAAAGATAAAAAAACCTGAAATAGTCTGAACGCCAAATGTTAATTTGGCAGAATCATATTTTTTAATAGAAATGAAAATTTACTATATTCAGTAACCTGGTCCTATTAGGTGGTTGATGTCTGCACCTTCAATAAAATGACTATTTTGCCACATACCAAAATACCTATTCGGAACAATGAATAAGCAAAGTCTTTCACATACCAAAGTACTTATGTATCTCGTATGAAAAAGCAAACATTTAAAAGTCTTGTAATTTCGTATGACTCGCATGTAATTTGACTAAGCGCAATTTAAGTCACCCATGACTTACTTTACTTACGTGCGTTAGTACCATAATTTTTTTTATTACATTGTATGTGCATGTGACCATGAAGAACTTCAATATGCTCATGTGATATCATTAACAATGTGTTGACTTGGACAAGTGCTTCTCTCCTTTTTTCAAGAGCCTCAATACCATATTACCCACTAATGCATTATTTTTGCAAACTTTAAATTTAGAATGTTTCACACTTGTCTTGAACCCCCAGAAGTTCTAACAGAGTTCTAGAAATTTTTTGTTGATGATATTCATAGCTTACTCAATGAATTTTGACAATACATGTCAAAATATTATGCCTTATACAAATTCAGATAATACAATCTATAGATTTATGACTGTGTTAATCCCATCATTCACTATGATAATTGCTTTGTAGCATACTTCACAATGCAATAATTTACTAATTACCAGTAGTAATAAATTCTAAACACCATGAACCAAAACAACTTCTGCATAATAACCAAAATTATATTCCTCAAAAATCAGTAAAACCGACAATAGAACTGTGCTAATCATTTTACTCCGGAGGGACCTACCGTGTTTCCCGGCGAATAAGTCGCTTTTCTAGACCCAAATTTTTGGCCTGATTTTAGGGGGGTCGTCTTATTAGGCGAGTATGATAATTTTCATTTTTTTGGTGTCGCCTTATTATGTATTAGGTAATGTTCTTTTATGGTGGACGCAATCGCGAGTTGAACACAAGTAGATTGAAATTTAAAGACAGTTTGAATTCCTGTAGTTATTATGGATTGAATAATACGCTACAAGAAATTATGGGTTATTTTAACATTATGGGCTATTTTAACCGATGCGCAAACGCGGCGACCGCTCAAAAGGCATTGCATGGTAATTTGAGATTTCGATGTTGATGCGATTTTCCTACCCCGACTTCTTGCCAGGTTATATGCCAAAACCCATTTTTTCAGGCTCGAAAACGGCCCTCGTCTTATTTACCGGGTAAACTTGTTTGCCGGGAAATACGGTATTTCTTGCTGGCCAAGTTGAGTGATATATCTCGATGCCTGACTATAATATTCCAAGTAACTAGAAAATTTTTTTTACCACTCCAGTGCCAACACATGCCAGAAGGATGGAAGGAGACTCTGATGAACATGGATGAGCGTTGGTTGGCTTGTATTGTATTCCTCTTCCTGTTCGTCGTGATCTTCATCAAGTGTTACTTCATATCCATGGTCTACAGATGTTATAAACACATCACAATGCAGGTAATGTGAGAATAATATCATTTTTCAAAGTTTGCTTTGAACGAGACTCATGTTTTTTGTGTACCTCGGAACTAAAAAGCAAAAACAAATGGAGGGAGAAGGCTTCAGAAAGATCTTTTGTGTAAACATTGAAAGTTTTTGAGCTTTTGAAGTTTGATTATGTTATTAGATACATTATTCTGAGCTAAGATGGATATGAAAGTTTAAGCGTATGGTTGATTAGGCTGGGCATAGTGAGGTGCAATCCATATTAAAAATGGGTGGTGGGCGGCTGGTGGCAAGTATCCTTAATTAAAAGATTATTGCTTCTTAAACACCAGTATAGTGACTCAGAATTGAGAAAATTCACTTGCTGAGGGCAAACTGCAAATCAGTGGAAATGGCCTGGCCATCTCATCTCCTTTATCGAATAATTATATTAGATCAAATAAAGTTCTTATACTTGAAGTAATCATTTATATTAACACATTTCACTTCCTGTTGGGGATTTCCATGGTTTAGTAGTTTAATTAATTAACATCTCCATCGTTAGCTCGACTAAAAGGTTGACTGAAAAAGAGTGGGTTATTAGGATAACCTTCATTGAAGTGCTCTATTTAGTACTTTTATTAAAATTTATATCTCTGTGATTGTTATATGATGTGATATTGATGTTCAGATTCGTTTAAAATTGATACCGCCATTCAGAGATGACCAAAACTGAATAACTTGCTATTCTTATTACACTCTGAAATTATGAATTTTAATATGAAATATGAATAATCTTAAATGGATTATATTCGGTAAAATTTGAATAAACTATTGTAAATTTCTATAAATCGACTTTGATGATGCAGAATAGTTGATATAAATACTGTTTTGATCAATTGACGATTTCTCGCTACCAGATGTCAAATAATGAATTTTTATTGACTCTTTTATGAGCTTTTTAAATATTTAATACCCCACAGCCATTTGTTTATATTAGTTGGTCTTTAAATGAACAGGCTGGTTCAATAATATCAATCTTCATTGCCTGAGGCTTTGTTTCGTGAGATCTAAACAGGTTGCGAAATTCAGATCAATCAAGAATGTCATTTATTTGTTCTCATAGGCTAATTAAAACTATTGTAATACCAATTAGATTGTCTGTTACATAATTTTAAAATGAATTACTTACGAAATGATATATAACAAGAGAGCAATGCTCAAGTATATGGAATGGACACAAAGGATGGATGTCAAAACAGTGTGCCCATGAATTAAAATAACAGAGAAATTTGGAGTGAAATATTGGGCCTCACATTTCACTGTGAAATTAAAAAAAATTAAAATAAAAGTGATATCTCTCTGGCAACTTCTAACGATGAGTACTAGTGGTATATGACTGCACCAGTTGGTTGCGGAGGAAAATAATTTTTTTCGGTCCACCTCGGAAGATCACCTAAAAGTTTTCTTTTTGATCATTTGGCTAATTAAGATAATACATATGATTAGGCTCTCAAGCAGAAATGAACTGCAGCAGGTTTTTCTATGTGTTTAATTACATTTAGCAACATCTGGATTTGAGTGTTAAATTACTTTCATCATTTTTAGTGAATATATACTGGTAATAATGTTTGAAGTGTGAAAAGTGCTAGTCTTGAGTTTAAATTTTTTTTATAATTTCTACTTTGTCTGCTTAATGCTTACTGACTTTCCTTTTAAATATCAATATTTTATATTCACATAACAGGTGATCATGCAACGTCGTGGCCAGAGCGAGATCAGCGTTGTGTCAAATGCTCAAGAGAAACCACTTTCCATTCACATCTACAATGTAAGCACAATATACATTCAGTATTATTATATTCAATAAACTTATATTATGTGTTTGTCTATAAGCAAATGAAACTTTACAGGTTAGTAAGATAGTATTTGCACAAAGTAACCAGTTCAGATGTAGATTTTGTATTGTATGAAGATTAAGTTTTTGATTTCTTTGATACTGGTTTTGTTTGATCATGTTCGATTGTGGTCCTTGTTTCCCTATTTTACTCGGCTTGGCATATTGGAGCTGAAATTTCACTTCTGTGTGTAACCGGATAAGGACTTAGTAGTTGCGTCACCATTGTGAAAAATCTTTGAGCCTTGTTCTCAACAAAACAATTCTCAATGGGTACGAATGTAGTGTTCTTACTAAAAATAGAGTCGCTGACTTAGTATTATCGATTCCTCATTTGGTAAGTAATGCCATATACATGAGCGGGTTTTATATATTAAGATGAAACCAGGTAAACTCCCTAATGCTGAACCTTTCTTTGTAATGTAAAGTTGTGCAATATTACTGAACTTTAAGCTTTGATGAAATAGATTTACTCAATTGGAATGGGCCCAAATTGTCTCATGGTGTAATTTACTATGCTTATTTGAAAAAATATTGGACTGAACATATAAATTTTCAGCTTTCACATGAATTAACTATCAGTATTTTCTGTACTGCTTATAATAATAAATTATGGATGTCAGATGATATCTTTTTTTGGGGTGCTCCTATATTTACTGGGAACCTGACATATGGAATACTATACTTAGAGATTAACAGCTTTCTAATATTAAAATTCCATAAATCATTTTATCTATGTCTTCCCTAATTTGCTTGACTATTACAAAACTATTACAAAAATTTAGTTGTACAATTTTTTTGGCATTTTAGTCTCATTAATCAAGAATAGATTGAAAAAAAGTAAAGTGTTTAAGCCTACATTTTGCTTGAATGGATCGTGGCTTTGTTAATAAGCTTTACAAAAATTTGTTCAAAAGATAACCAACAAATACATGGAGCTTTTATGTACATTTGAAATGGCTAGGGTTTCAAATTTTCATGATAAACCTCATTAGCAATGATTTATCGATTCAAATTCCCACAAGAACCAATTTATTTTAATAATTAGGTGTAGGGAACGAACAGGTTGGTCAAATATCATATACCTGATTTACTATGGATTCCAATCAGTAATGGATTTTCATGCATATTAGAGCTTTCTAATTGTTAAGTATGGTATTTACAGCAATGGTTGTTGCAAATGATTGATCATTATCTATTCATAAGAAGGATTTATTTTTAAGTGCTCTCAGAGTAATTACAAGCTCTTCCTGTATGTAGATGCCCTGAATAAAATGACTAACCATTGTCAACTCAATCTGTTGCATACCATAACAGCAAATTCCAAAATTTTGAAAATTATTCAGATGGAAGGCATTAACTACTCATATTATGCCCTTTAGCTCTAACTACTTTGATTGGAGATCCAACTTATTAAAAAAAATTGGCTTATGTTTTATTGTGTTTTAAATTGGTAGTGTGTGGCTCGCTGTCATAAAGTTTAGCATTTCCTCTGATATTACTATTTGGTTTTCGTTGTTAAATTATTCATGTTTGCATAACGCACTTCTTCATATATAGTTGACATTTACATTAGAATTAATCAAGGGCAATGTATTGCTCTATTTCATGTCTATGTAGATGATGTGGATCGTTAATAAAAACTCTGGAATGTATTTTTCTTAACATACAATGTGTACTATAAATGTAATAATGGCTGGCAGTCTGGACCCACAAAGCCATCTTTGAACATCTGATATATTCAAATTATCAACTAGTTGTATTTGAATCTTGTTTTTAAAAAAATTTGAAAAAGTTAAAAGGGTCTGTCCATTTCCTTGTTTATTGCAATTACAGTATTCAGCTTAATGCATTATAAAAGTTGAAGGACTAGAATCTTAGATATAGGTTTTCAGTCACTATTCCTGAGCCCATATCATTTTAATCTTATGGGGTTTAGGAAAATTCTGATGTGCATCAGTATGCCACATTCACATGTGACTCATTTCGACTTCCTGCTTTTTATAATATTTTCAAGGTTGTACCTATCTGTTGATCCTGCTGAAGATTTTTATCACCAGGCTGCTTTATATTCAATGATAATTTTTTATTTTTGCAGCCTCCGAAATATGACGATATCCAGAAGGTGCCTCTGGTGGATGATGCAGAAGAATATGACATGGGACCACCACCTTACGAACAAGCTTAATTCATTTACAAGAACATTGACTAAAAGTGTATCCTCAAATCCTATCAATAATGGGGCATGAATATATTGTGTTATTTTAACCCAACTTGTTCATGCCCCATTCCTATCTGACTTATTTTGTTGATACAGACTTCCCCATATCAAGCTTGATCATTGGCAGTTACGGTAATTCCAGACATGGGTGGTTTATCAATAATGTCTTTGAATACATGGCCATTAAATCACCCACGTCTGACTTTGATCAAGTTTGATGAAATGTATATAGTACCATCATCGCTCTTTTCGTGGATATATTCTGCCACTTATTATAGATGTGAGGTTGTGTATTTGATGTTAATCACTTCTTTTTCTGTTAAACTTTTTAAAAACATAAATATGTCATCAGGTCATGTTTGATCAATAATGAAATAGAGTTTATTTTCTATCCAACCCAACTATCTTGATTGTGATTGCTCTAGTTTGTTTGCCCAATCCATGATTGATCGAATGTGATCTGGTAATCATTTAGCACTGATTTTCTTATTGTATAACATTTTAATTAGAGCAAATCCATTTAATACTAATCATCTGTAAGTTTGGGACTGAATATTTTTTGTCCGTCACTAAATTTAGGTCTACATGGTCTAGCTATGAAACAGTGATTTTGTTGGGTAAGAGTCCCATTTGGCTATAATATATCAGTTGATGAAAATAGTATATTTCGTGTTGCTACAATTGGCCAATATGGCTCAACTTTTACGACTTGATAGTTTGCTTTTATTGTTATGTATGTAGAAGTCCTTAGTATTAATATATTTTGATTTATTTTAGCTGTTTCAGAATATGTGCGAGTTTTAGTATAAAAGACTTTTGTTTTTTCGTATGAGTTGGGCAAAACATATGTTGTAATTTGGAAAGAATGTGGAATCCTTTATGGATATTAATGTTTGCTTATTCGTGTGACTATTCATAGAACTGTTATGGTATACTGATCGCTTATTTATAGCCGAGAAAATAAGGTGAATTTGGTGTATGTATGAGAAAAATGATAATTTTTAATGTCTTTGATTGATTCATTATTGTCAATTGGCTCCTGTATTTTCCTTGTGTGATTTGCAGCAACGTTTGAAGGAAGCTTTTTTATTAGAAGGGAAAAATAACTTTAATATGTATTCAATACAATTCTTGAAAGCATTTCCTAAAATACGAATTGATTCGATAGCTGATTGAAGCTTTGGTTTTAATTACTTGCTTGTGATGAAACTGATAATATACATATTTTCAACTAGTCTTTTAATGTGTTTTGGATTTTATGTTATTATTAAACGAAGCATGCATCATTTCATGATTAATTTTAAACAACTTGGGAAATTGCCTACCAGAATGATATAGTTTTGATATGTGCAGTTTACTCTTATAACCAACCTATTTTTATCAACTGTAGAATGTGCATTTTAAGTTTAGCTTTGCTTATGAATAGATCCTGCAGATTTCTAAAACTGATAAGCTTTTCCTGTCATGTTTAAGAACGTGTAAATTTTTTGATTGTGCACCTCTCTGAATTAAATAGAAACACTGAATTTAACAAAAAAAAAATCAGAAGCAATACGGAATACTATTAGATTTTTTATGTATCTGTTATGATGTTGTATACAAAATGGAAATTGCTTGCTGTTTAATTATTTGGATAATAATAAAAGTCTCGTGGTAGTGATCATGATTTATTTTCTCATCAAAGAAGAAAGAACTAATTAGCTCAAATGAGAGTTTGGGAATCTGTAGGTTGCCCCAGTCTCAAGTACGAAGTCTAATTAATCTCAAAAAGGGCAAAGATGATGATGATTAGTCCTAGTCATTTCATTTAGATGAGTCGACTCAGTCGGTCAATCGTTTAATCGTCATCACAAAAAACAAGTGCACGTAAATTGATACAGATTAATGTTTTTTGTAAGAAGCTGTGAGGTCAAGCACTAACACCTATAACGAAATATGCTATTTACAGCCATTGGCTGTGGCAATAGTCATGGTAAACATATTTTGAGAATTACGGGTAAAATATTACAAAATAAATCGTAGAGAAGCATCCAGAGAAAAAATTTACAGAAAAGGCAGGTTTGGAGAAATGTATACAAATTGCAGGGAAAAATGTTTACAGTGAAGGAAATTTGAAAGAATGTCCAAAATACAAAGAGAAAAGTTAATAAACGCTGAAAAATTTACTCATTAACTAGAACCTCCCCAACACTGGATAGTAGTTCTTTTTGTATGTACAATGTACATCATTTGTATCACGATCATGTTTTCTAATTCGACGAAAACAATACATATATATATTCTCTTTCAACTGATTTTATGTACATTTTTGCAGCAGTTTTATCGGGTACAAAGAAACCTCCAATGACAGCAGAAGTATGTACCAATATGTATGTAATCACATGGCAGAGGAAAATATATTAACAATATAAAAAATAATTACAGGCTTGATATATTTCCCATAGCTCTAGCGTTCACCCTTTGTCTAAAAACAAAGTTGAGAATGACTGCGGTAGACTATATCTTTATATGACAACATGCTCCCCACCAATATGTTTTATCGCGGATGACCTTTACATTAAACGATAGTAAAATAACACCCAACGTATTCACCTTGGAGCAGTCACAGAAAACTAAACTTGGCACGCGAACCGCACGTGGCACAGACACATTCCGCGCAGTCCGAAGAACAATTTTTGCGTACACTACACATTTGACCGATATTTGTTTTTATTGACAGAACATTTTTGAGTTTTTTTTACCTATTCCAACTGGGGTTAGGATACCGAGATTTGAACCCTTTGCCTATCAAGATGTCGGGAATGAGATTTGTTAACCCAACAAGCAATCCGCCCAATGCACTCACGTTGTTGACTGAAGCATTAGTGGGGTCGACTGATTTCTAATCGGTTTATCCCATTTAGTAGTTTATATCACAAATGAGGTTAATTGTAGTTTAATTCCCTAAATATTCTACTTTTAAAGTATTTTGCATGAACTATTACTTTGTAGATTTATATTTCACTTAACATTTTACCTCAGATTTTTCATAGCTTAATGCATCTTCTGATTGATTTGATTATTCTACATATAAATCGTTATTTGATTAAGCGTCAAGCAACCATTGTCAAGTCATTTGTGTAAGTTTAGATTGTATTCCAAACAACCATACAACTTATTTCGAAAAATGCAAAAACAATACTTCACGGAATTTCAAGATTGTATCTATAAACGTCAAGGCGGTGCTGATATGGGAATTACGTCCTGTGGTCGGTTAGTTCATGTGTCGAGTCACCATTAACATTACGTGTCAAAACGGCGCGCTTTGTTTTCTTGAAATAACCAAGCGATAAATGAAAGGAAAATTGCGTGGAACAATAAGATGGAAGTAGGGGGGCCAAGGAAAATGATTTGCCGTGTGCAGACAGGGCCCGGGTCTGAGACGAGTGGCGCCTTTCATTTCAACTTCGCACCTCAAACTTGGGTCAAGCAACTTCTTTTCTGGAGAGACTTTTTGTACCTTTAGTTTAGTAAAACACACTTCTATTTTCAAGCGTGGGCCATGTGGCAGCAGTGACGTAACCAACATACGACTTTGCGATCCTGTTTCTTTGAGCTTTGAGCTAGGTTCTGAAATCCCGAATTAACGAACTTGGCTGTTCTTTGACGATATCACTACACTTACGTACGCTGCAAGTTATAAAATTATCATCATAAAATGAGTACCAAAACAATGGTGACAGAGGAAAACAGAGTTCAACGCTAACTGGGAGAAAACGTGTTATTCTGCTTACAACAATGGTGAACCACAGTGTCTGGCATGCTTTTAAGTAATATTTGTTACATATAAGTGTATCATTTTAAGCGACATAATAACATCAAACACTTTTTCTTGTGGCACTTCAATCTTGGACCACCCTGCATTACATGCTTACGGATTCATTAGCTCAATGCAATAGAGGAGGATAAGTAGTAACCCCAACTAATAGTAATTTAGAATACTGTTTTCCTTGTGATGTTTGGAACTAACAGTTAAATAAATGCTATGATTGCGATAGCTTTCTTGCCGGGGAAATAGTTCGGTATTGCAAAACTGTTTTCGATGTCAAAGATACGAAAGTAATTCAAGGTATAGATACCGTGTTTCCTCAAAAATAAGACCTAGCGAGAATTTCAAAAATGATTTTTATTATAAGCCCTCCCCTTAAAATAAGACCTAATCAATAACACGGATTTTTTTTACCTAGTCAATAACCTTGAGCTACTTTCACTGGTAGCTGGACCAGAGACCACATTGTTGATAAATGTGGTGCCTGAAGTTAATTTATTTTCCGTTTTAAGCGTGCAATGTTTCACTTGATAACAAAAATTATGTGAAGACGCGACAGACTTAAATTATGAAATTTGTATGCAATATTAGGTTATTATTAGAAATGCTTTCTTGAGATGATATTTGAAGTTGAGATAGCCATGTAAGGCCAATAAGTTGGTTATTGAGCAGCAAACATATATATTATACAAAACTTAGTCTCTTCAAGTTATTGTAAATACTTGTCACAAATACAACCCAGCAAACCTAGATTCTTCTCTCCTCGAACAACAGAAATCCCGATGGAGGGCGCTAAAGTGTAGCGAGCTCGCCAGTTGATCAGTTACCAGAAAGAAGCTGAAGCCTCAGAGACTAGTAGGGGCCGGGGGGCAGTTGGACTCGGTGTGCCTGCATTTTTGTCTCGTTTTCTCACATTATTATAAAGTTTGTCTTACACTACTTTTCTATGTTATTGTCGCTAAATAGTGTGCGAGTTGACTCATGTTTACAAATTCAAATTTTCAAATGCCAAATAGTCTAAAACTAAAACAATTCATAGGTAAAATTTTCCTGAAATTTGGCCGCACGGCGTTTGGCCGCAAATTGCCATGCTTATCTAGATCATTTTATTTGTTACCGTATCATCTCATTTGTGCATGACACATTCATAGACTCATTATCCTCAAATCGGTGAGTGGGTACCATTGATGATCAATACTGTATTAAATTCTCAAATTGGAAACACCTAGGCCTACGGTACCGGTACCGGTACTTCTGTATTTCCAGACGCCTGTAGCCTACATCCAGACATCTGTATCTGGTCATGCTGTCATGAGTTGTTGTAGGGTATGACTGTATAATTCAATACTGCAATGATTGATCAATGGTGGTTTGTAAATTTTCTATTAATTCAGCAGTGACGCTTCAGCTTAATACATTAAATACCCGAGGATTGTCGGGTCTGGTATAGTTTAGTACCACATGTACTTCTAGTTGACCTGGCTCAACAATTTTTGCATATGTCAATCCTAACCCCCACCTGACTACGTCACCGAAAAATCACGCCATTTGGCCGTCACAGTGGCGTAATAAGGCCCACCGAAGTATGCGGATGGTCGTCCAAAACGCGCAGACGATCACCCGAAATCGAGCAAGCAATTTATCTCGTTTTCTCGTCACAACGATCATGAAAATGAGAGAGATCGCTGCCATTAGTGATCTCTTTATAAAGTTATCGTCTGCGCAGATGCCATTTCGGGCGATTGTAGGTATACTTCGGCAAGCTCTATGACGTGATTGTGACATCGTAATGACGTAATGTTTGGATGGCGTAGTTAGGTAGGAGTTAGGATTGACATGTGCAAAAATCGTTATGCTACGACCACTAATTAGGTACGAAACTACACAGGACCCCAAATTTTGATGAAAGTTTGTGTACAATAATTCCACTAGCTGACTATACCAGAGATACAGGCTGACAGGAAAGTTAGTTGAGTGACCTACGCTTCCTTTTTTTTTTATCTGTGTGGGCTATTACTTGTATTGTAATTTGTAGTATTGTAACTTTCATACTAATCACAAACTTTTTTTTATCAAATATAATATAGCCTTTACCCCAGCTTGAATTATCTGTCATACTATATTGCAGTGTAAACATACATGATGTCTTCTGCTGAAACCTTGAACTTTGGCCCTCAGTGGTAAGTTTGATTGAGCAGCTCTGTGCTGACGTTTAAAATCTCCTTGCATATATCTATGTACAGATGTACCTATAATGAAATTATGTATGGTAATAAAGGCTTGAAAAGGGCAGTTTTTATACAGTGTTAATGATAGATTTTAAAGCGCTGAATTGGTATGATTGACATTAGTCAAGATTTTTACATGAATATGGGACACTTGCGTTCATTATACTAAGTCAAGTACCACTTTCCACTGCGAATGCGTACACTTTTCACCTCTAACCCATATAATTTTAGTTTCCGCACATGAACGTAATAAATGTTATTATTCTTGATTCATTTTTTGACTTAACTCATATTGTTTCAAACTGTACTGAATAGTCTTTAACATAGCCTACATGATTTATCTTTAAAACTTTGTGTTACATTCATATAACTTGGTAGTCCTATTAAAACTAAATCTTTTCATTTGGATATTTCAGGCTGCGAGATTTATCTGGTGGAGCAAGTACTTCTCCAACAAGTCCACCAGCGATTCTATCTCAGTTTCAACAGCCTACTTCAAAATTCAAACTGGCTGAAAATAGGTAAATGCATTTATAGAATATTTGTATATTGGGGAATTTATATAAACTTTTTTTATATACAATGACTTTATAGTATAATGCTGTATAGTATAATAAGCTGATCACTTATGGATTTAGTTACTATTTTTGCCATCTGTTACGCCTTCTAGTTTTCTAAAAATCAAGATGTGAATATGTGTTGGAATTGCAGTTTGGAGATTTTGGATTTGAACTCGTTTCTTTCCAGGTATGGTCGAGAAGAGATGTTGGCATTGTTTGTGGACGATTCTGAAATACCTGAAGAACTTGCAAGAGCACCATCACTCGTTACAGAAATTGTACAAGCTCCTCTTGCCTTCAGACCTTCCGAATCTAATCAATCACAGGTTGGTTTTTATTCTGTTCTTCATTTACTATAAAGTAAAATTGATAATAGGGGTGTCGTGTTGGCGAAGGATTTTTATAGCGTGGACTTCCACTCTCGCCTGAGCTGTACATGTACATACAGTTCTATTTGAATTTATTTTAAATATTCAGAACTACGCAAGTATCAACAATTCTATCCTCCAGTATAAGACTCAGTAATTGATCTCTGTAATTGAGAATTTTATTAAAATCTGCCATGACATTAAATTTCATCTAGAGAAAATATTGTCTTTGCTTTAACCCATGTTGGTATACGTTGCGCATAACACCTTCTACATATTTTTGTATCTATAGACATATATAGAAGTCCAAACTCAATTCTAGGTTAATCGAACTTCTATATAGGAAGATGTTTGTTTCTGTGACTGTTTCAAAAAGTTTTATTCATCCCATTCTGGTTCTTCCATTCATTTACATAAATGGTTATTCATAAGTCATTCAATAAAGAACTAACAATAAATTTATGAGACATAATCAAATAGCTTAATCATCTGTGTCACATGAGTTATCTTCCGTGCCAATCATGAGTCTGAGCGACAGACACACACTCTCAAAAAAGTAGGTGTGATTTTCATATGCATATATACCAGTAAGTGTTCTTTACCGTGGGTACTGGGTCCGCAAAAACTGTACATTTTTGTTATTTGTACTGGTACTTCGATGTTAAAGAAGTATAAATCATACATCTAATCATTGCGAGATAGAGAAGACAAATGTTTCTTCCGAAACACAAATATAATACAGTGATACATCGGTGGTCAAACATAATTCATTCAGGATTGGTCTTAATTAAGAGTACTGAGACTTTTTTGCCATAAGAAAAATGGTAACTATTTTATCAGATTGCATACCCGTACTACTTCGTTTTGGTCTTGGTGTCCTTTGGTTGAATGGTCAAGAGGCAGCCTAGATGCGCGGTTCGGGTGACATAATCTCACTCGGGTGTTCGAGCAACGAATTTCCACTGGAGGATCTCAGCCTTTTTGACCAGAATTTTTCTAGTCGACTAACTAATTGTTCGAGTATCGAGTCATTTGACTACCAATGTAGTAACTTGTATGTCTAATGTCACTGTATTTCAAAACTTGTATCATAAATTCAACAGCAAAAATCACAGAAAACAATATAAAAATTAAAAATGTCAACTCAGTATGCGGCCATTTTTGATTTGTTAAAAACACTTTGGTCCTCTGTATTTTGCATGAGCTTTGTTTCTAATCCAAGCAAACTAAAAAAGATCAGAGAAGATGAAAAGGTTATATTGACAACAACATTTGATTTAAATAATTTTCGAATTATTTTTCAATTTTCAGCTTTCGTCTGGTTTTCGAGGTCGAGGTGGTATTTCAACTGGTCTCAGAGGTCGCTCCATACCTGGAAGAGGAAGGGGAAGAGGCAGAGGTGATTTTGATATTAAGTTATATATATTCCTTACTTTGCATTTTAATTGTCTAACTCCTGATTAAAAGAAGCTTTGATACGACAAAAATAAAGTAGTAGCCTCTAACGGTCTTTTAGCGATTTCCATCGCAATGTACTGAAAAGTTGTTAGGATGGTATTACTATGTTTTCTGTGGTGCGCAGAATTTTGCTCCATATATATCATATCGGCGTGTGGCCTCCCACCAGATTTGTTTGTTGATCTTTTTGACGAATCCATTGGTCAGCTTATTGTGTAACCGATAACTATGTGAATTACTGCATCTGTTCAAACGCAATCTCTGATTTTAAGCTTCATATTAGTCATTTGACCTATATGTTCCTATATTTTATTATCGCTCTCTTTTCTATATGTGATTGATTTTCGAAAAACACTTTGTTACTTATTCATGACAATATGCATTTCAATAATTTATATTAGAAAACAATCAATCCTTTCTAGGGATGTAAATAAATCGTTACCAACAACAACTAATCCTGTCAATGTACTGTTTTTCTCAAGACAGATTATTATATATTTATGATGTTAACTATGACAAGGAATAAAACTGCACTGTTATTTTGAATAATATATTACACAATTTAACTTATCTATCCTCGATAAGTTGAGTGCAATTTCAAATTCAATAATGCGTCTGTTCTGTAGTATTCAGCCTGTTGCTCTGTAATTCTGTTCTGTCCGCTGTTCTGTAACTCTCCTGTAATTAATTAATGGGTAGCATTCAAAAAAAATTATTACATTTGTTACCTATATAGAATTCATATTTATATACTTATCATTGTGTGTATTACCAGGCACAGCATGGGTGGACCATGACGAAGGTCCAGGTCGTAAACCACCTCTGTTGAGACGATCAGAGAGTGAGGATTGGCGCAGTGACTCACTCCGAGGTAAGGGTGATGGGGCGGAAGATATGATTGGTGGTTTGAAGGAGTGGAGAGGCTCCGGCCAGAGACCTGATTTCTGGAAAGGTACGGTATTGAGCGAGTTACCGGTACTTGAAAGTCTCCCATCTGTTATGTGTTGGTGTTTTGTCATGTATTTACATTGAGTAAATGTTAGGTATACATCTTCTGAATTGGGTCATCTGATTAAAATTAGATAATGACCTGTGAACATGATAATAAATTGTAGGATATTTTACCTGAATGCCCAAAATTATTTTGTTTATGTGTACACCTCCACAATTGCTCCGATTGGGATTGCAAATATATTATGATGTAAAGTATGATATGATATTTTGTGACAGAAAAACGATTAAATTTTTAGTGACTATTTCATGGATTAAAAACAATGAGTTTATCTTATGTGCACTATCAAATAGTGGTGCTCTGTGATTAGAGAGAACTACGGGTTGGCCAATATATGGATGGATGTTTATCTGCAATGTTAAGAATCATTATATATGCTTACTTGGTAATATGCACCTTGTTTAACATATTATATTCGTAGACACTTGGCGTGACAGACCAGGGGAAGTTCGCGAGCAGAAAACTTTCAGAAGTCGTTCCATGAGTGCTAAGGTATGAAACATGAGGATACAATCATTCCTTTTAATGACAATGTGTGTCTTATAAATATGTTGCTTTTTTTTTGAGCATTTTAAAAAGCATGAAACTAGGGAATAGGGATGTAAGTTTCGAATATTTTATTTTTGAATCGAATTTCAAATCAGAATGTTCAAATTTAAATATTTCTGAATCTGGTTCTATTTTGTATAACATCGTATTGTCGTTACCTTTTTTTTATTAAATTTAGAAGAACTATAGCATCAATTGTGATTAAATTACCATAATGAACTTGAAGAATGAATAAAGTTAGTAGAAAATGCACATTGTGAATGGATGCATCAACTACCTAATATATTATGGCTGAGAAAATAGATTTTTTGTTACACAGAGATAGATACACTTAGTCACATATTTACTTATCACATAAATTTATGTTTGCAAACAATACTGGATGTATAGTGATCGTTTCTTCTAGAATTGACCTTCAAAATTTATCCAAGTGATAAACTCTTTCAAAATGTGCGTTGATACCGCTTGTGTCAAAATTTTAAAAGAAGCAATGAGTATGAGGGAAACATCTCAGATTATGTTTTAATGCGGAAAAATGTTGTTATTATAATGATGTTACATATATAATTTAAAGAAACGTTTAAATAATGACATATTTGTAAACTTCTAAACATTTTAAGTAGTTGAACAGAATAGATTGAAACCATTGGTTCCCATAAGGCAGCTACCCATATGGAATATAACAACCATACGAGTGTTACGACTTGAGGTAGCTGTAAAGGAAAATAACAAAAATTGGTCGATTTTGAGACAGCACCACTGCGTTGTGTAATCGTCTTGTGTTATCCAAGTTATTAATATTATTTTTAAATAGAATTAAACCAGTTTTTCTGAAATTGCCTTGATTCAAAATTCTTAAACTTGCATCCCTACATGAAACAATTATCAGTAATTTTGATCAAAATACTTCAAAACCTCATTCAGGATTCCGGTGGCGATTCCAGTAAGTCATGGAACGAAGAGAAGTTTAGAGATGAAGGTTTTAAAAGCAGTAGACTTTCGTCATCTGAGGTTGGTTTCTATAAAACTAACTAATGTGATACTGATGCAATTTATTGTTATTCAGTTGTCATGGCAACTTTTCCCTCCACACCAACCTTTTCTCATTTCATTGTATTTTCCCTTTTCTCAGTCACCTGAAGGTAAAAAAGAGAAGTCTTCACATGAAAGTTCAAAAGAGAGCCCTGGGAAGGATAGTAATACAGATAGAGGTAACGTTCTGGGATGTTTTTTTTTATAAATGATCGCTAAAAAGCTAGGTTTTTTTTTATAATGCGGATTTTGGATTATGTTCATTTGAGTCATTATAATTAGATTAGCCTATATGATATATTGATATTGTAACATGATTTGATTTCTAATATACTGAATCAACTCCATCGTTTGCTTGGTTTGTCAGTTAGCAGTGGACATTACTCTTGCATTCCCTTATAACAATAATATATTTTTAATATTTTTTCAATGTATTGCCTTTTCAGGTGGGAAAAATACATCAAATAGCAATGTTGAAGAGTCTTCCAGCAACAAGTTACCTCAAAAACCTTCTACAAAGCAGCTAGATCCCGTAACGGAGGTACATGAAGTGCCTGAAGTGGAACGTTCAAAGCCTAATGACAAAAGGGTTCAGCAATCTCTGCCACTAGGTGGAATCAATGGTCAAGTAAGGCAAGCGTTCCAACAACCCAATGAAGAGGTGTATCGAAATTTCCAAGCGAAAGGTAGGCTAAGCTATATATAGCTATCTTACATGGTACGTGTTGTAGATGTTCATACACTTGTCCATTTGTGAGCTATGTGACATAGCATAGCATAAGATATAGTCACTCACTGGCAGCAGTGTCTGTGTTTCAATTTGTTGTTATTATAATAGGCCTATTTGTTTAATTTATTTTAACACTGCCTGTTAATTTTATTGGACATAAAGTGTAGGCATATGGATCTTTTTGTTATTATGTTGTTGTTGATAATGTTAGTATTTATTTTTCTTGTTGTTTCTCATCAACTACTGGACCATTTGCATTCAAATTGTCAGTGATTAAATGTTGTATTTTTCCCTATAAGGCCCATACTTTTATTTATTCCAAAAATTCCTGTGGGCTCTATGGGATTTGTGTTTTTGTGTGCAATGACGCCATAAAAATTGCTATATGGTGGTCAGGCGATGTCGTGCAGACTGTGGTACCGGTAGCCTACTATGACAGATTCCGTAAACTGACTACTTCGTTTTGGGCTTTGTGTCTATATATTTGAGCATCGCTTTCTTGTTACTTATCGATCTTAAGATCGGTAAGTATGTTGATAGGTATTTGTTTGTTTGTCTGTTAGATGCACGCGATATCTCACGAAAGCAAGGTTCAATCTGCTCCAAATTTTGCATGTGCATTCATCATAGCTCCGATCGGAAGCCTATTGATTTTCGATGGACTATGTCGTATAATTAGCGAGTTATTAATTAATTAGTGATGGGACACACGGTGTCACTATGGAGTAAGACCACTGTTTTAGGGGATCCCCTAACCTTCGATCAATAAGTCTTCGGTTTCCAACCGAATTCTAGTTTTAAAGTTATTGACTTAAGTTTCAATGATGTTTATTCTCGATTGGGCTTTGTAGCATCTTTGCTTCACAAGATGTATCTGATATAATCGTAAAATAATTGTGTTTACTGGGTGATATCAGTAAATTTAACTATAGTATATGAACAAACACAGAATTAAATTTCAATTTTTTGTTTATTCAGGTATTTACCTTGGCTAATTTGTATTTTAGATACTGGGGGAGCTTCTTCAGTTGAGGAAAACCCAATTACTGCCTCATTGTATCAAGAGGTAGGTTTTACTAATTTTTTCTGATATGATTTTTCTTGATGGAAGCAAAAGTCATTCAAAATTATACATGCAACTATGTGAAAAAGTTTTTATTTTTTATTCTTTTTTTTCACTAGATACAGAAAACGACGGATTCATTTTCTACATCTCTTGATACCAATGGCATTAATCCACCTATTTCACAAAGCATCCCATTTTCAAGTAATTCTTCTATTGGTCAATCACCTGCCCATCAACCTTTACCTATCGGCCATTCGAATAAAAAATCCAGTTCGCCTATCGAACAACTGCAACAGCTTGCAAGTACATGGTTTTATAAAGATCCTCAGGGTGACATTCAAGGTTTGTTTTATGTGAAATTGTAATTGTGGAGTTCCTGGATGAGATTTTTCGATTTTCAAATCAGTATATAGGCTATCAGATTCAATTATGTGTGATCTAGTAGTAATGTTTTTATTAATTTCATCAGTCACGGTATATGTAAGAATTAAGGTTTGTATGTGGTAACTTTTTATCTGGAATATATATCATCTGTATTTGGCAGTTGGCTGGAATACTTGAAACTTAATATGCCTTGGAAAATTTGATATGATACAATTTCAATTAGGAATGACATTTTTTCTGTTTCAATTTTTTCTTATTTTGTAAACCAATTTTTGGACATTTCAAAGTATTTTGTAGATTTTTTTTATTCATCGTCACAGTTAAGAATTTCAATTTTGGGTTCTGAATCAAAACTAGTTCAAATAGGTTTTTTCAAGTTTGTATTTTTAATTGTGTTTCATACAATGTTTTATGCCTTCCACTTTGAATAAGGCTCTTTACAAGCAGCAACTGCTAGGTAAGAGCTATGGAGGATTGGAATCGTTCCGGTATAACATTAACTACCAAATTTTGTAAGGCTACGCCCTGGGTGATGGCGGCATGGGATTCGATATCGAGATTTTTAACCTCCAACGCCAACATGGTCGAGCCCAATGCTTTAAACCAGCCATTGCACTGAAAAAAGAAATATGTTTTCATTACAGATTCGTTCAAAAAAATTTTTTTTATTTATTTATTAACTCCATTATACAAACTTGTATTTTTAATTTCAGGTCCGTTTTCTTCCACCCAAATGATGGAATGGTTTAACGCTGGTTATTTCACTATGGTTCTTCTCATTAAAAGAGCTTGTGATACCGAATTTGTTCCATTGGGTGAACTTATTAAAACATTAGGTCAGGTACCATTCACTTCACCAGCTCCACCAGTAAGTATGTCGTAGATTGGGCGTAGCAAAACAAATAGTATGTTTACTGTATTCTTCAAACATTGACTCTGTGGATATTTTTAAAATCATATGCTCTTCAAATCAAACAATTGCAAATGAAACACAGTTAAGTTTGGATTGAATATAAAATTAGTCATTCAAACATTGTTGTCCTAAAATCCCCAACTCGTGAAAAAACCATCGTATACTTTACCATCACCATCACCAAAATTTTTGATGTTTATTTTGAGGGTTTTCATAAACTTCCATAATGTCCGTAACTATCATTTGATAGCTAATTTTTACCCATTTTTTCATACTTACAACCAAACTATACTACTCAGGAAATGAAATAACAACTTAGAAATTCGATTTATATCAAAATTTCGGTAACACAATGAAAAACTGACAAATGCTATTCAAAATCACAATAACGGGCTAATGTTTACTGCCATGCTTAAAAAGCTGTCTGAGTGGAAAAGTTTCTTGAGCATCTGCCTAATTTTCAATTGTTATTTTACCTTGACTTATTTGCGGTCTTTTTCAGTCATGTACTTGGTAAATTAAACAATACATGTTCAGCAAAAACTTTTATGTTTTCAAATTGAAATACATTATCTGCAATAATGTAGATTATTAAATAATCATTTGACAACTGATGATGACAGTTGACCTTTGAAATATTAAATTCGCCCACGATTCTACTAGTACTAAGTTCATATTTATTTTTGTTTGTGTACACCATTTTCAAGGAAATTCTCACTGACAATTCTAGATATTTATGGACATAGTTTGTGTATGGCCAACCACTTGCCACTCAAATATCATACGCCTAACATTCATCAAATTCTATTCCTGAAAGTTTCTTATTTATTTGCAGCAGTTGCAAAAATGCAACAATGTTATTTCAGAAAGATCTGCATATGAACCAAACGTAACGGCAATGATGCAACAAAAGTTTGCTGAGCAACAGTATATAAAATTGCAAGAACAACAACAACAAAGTGCAATTGGAAGGTGAGAAAATATTATTCCATGATTTTTTTCAACTTTTGAATTTGAAAACAGTATTATTATCAACTTTTCTCCTGTAGTTCCAGAACGTTCCAAAATCAACAACCAGATGTTGAAATGATTTTATCAGAATTAATGAAAAATCAAGACTTTCGTCGTATGTCTCCTCAGCATCAACAACAAGTTGTTTTACAATACGCTGAAGAAATAAAACGACATTCTTTATCATCTGATGTGCAGAAGAATACACCTTTTCAGAGGTATAATATTTTTGAAGAATTATTGTTGAACTGAGCAATAGCTTTACCAACTCTTTTACTTTAGTTTGCAGTTTCACCTATTAAATTTCTGCCAATCTAAATGCATTTATGAAGCTTTTTTTTAAGTATGGCTATTAAAATTGATTTTAGTGTAGTTTTTGATACAGTCGTTCTAAACCAGTGTTCTTCAAACTTTTTTCATCACGACCCACTTGGCATAGCTAAGTTATTTCGTGACCTCCAGGAAATAAAATGAAAATGAAGAAATGTCAATAATACTGAAAATATTAAAAAAATTAAATGAACTGACAATACTTTGAGACCGATGTGCTTGCTTATTCTCGCACCAAAGATTGAATCTTGGCTCTGTTTCGGTGATGGTGGGTCTCAGTTCTGGTCCACAGTTACCGTAAATTGGAAAGTCAGTTAGATTTATTCGCAAAAATAGGACTTTTACATTTCCCCGTTCAACTATTAAAATGATCAAACTTGTATTATTCTACATAGAATATTGTTTGATGTGATAGCCTGGTAATAGCACAAAGCAAACAAACCTTAATTTTCCTTATCTTTCATAGTACTGTAACAACTGATCCCAGTAGAATTTCACAAGAGCAACAACAACTTAATTCAATGCGATTACTTGGAAATATAAATGTTGAAAATGTTCAACACCAGGTGGGCTTGCGTGATTGCAATTTATTTTGTGAATGTATGCATAAATTTGTCGGTGCAGTTGTTCAACTATATGGTTAATTAAGTTTGTTGTAGCTTCTATATTTTTGTAAATCTGAATATTTTTCAGTCTGATTATTTGTATCAACAAAAGTTGATGGAAGAAAAAAGAAGGAAAGAAGAAGAAGAAATCAAAAGAATTCAGAAACAACAAGAGGTGAAAAGACTGTTTCAAATACATTACTAATTTTGAAGGTTTTTGTACTTTCGATCACAAATTTGCATCACTTAAAGATTGGAAAATATGCTGAAAGCCTAAATTTTTTTTTCAAATTTTTTCCAAGCCCTTTTGGGTCGATATTCCACCCAAAATTTGGGTTTTAATTACAATAATTCAACGCTTTTTACGGTGTTTTGGAACACCATATTCTGTCATACCCATTATCCGATCTTTTCAGCAAACTCTGTGCTCAATGGGGGTGTTACTAGTGCAGGTGTGGCACCTTTGTTCTCATATATTTAAACATAGCTAATAGCTATCTTGTTTTAATAGTTTTTTTATTGTTTTAGGAACAAAAAGAATTATTGAAGAAACAGGAAGAAGAATTTCAACGAAGAAAAGAAATGTTAATAAGAGAAGAAGAACAAATAAAAAAACTACAATTGGAAGCTCAGAGGAAAAAGGTACATAGATACATAATGACCAACTTGTTATCATAATCGTTCAATGATAGCTATAATTGTTACCACTAATTTTAGTGAATATTTCGGCATCTTTTTCTCAGTGAATTCTTTATTGCAAAATGCAATGCTCACAAATAGTACCAATGTACATCCAAATTCTGGCTATGAATGATAATGTTTGTATTTGAATAGTTTAATATATCATAGTTTTTTATATGCTTTGTTCGCAACCAATGGATTTCATTTTTTCAGTACTTACAGATGGCAGAATTCACTTGATGGATATTACTCTTGTTTGGTTTTAAATTTCCCACGGGAGATGATATATCACCTAAAATTTTATTTCAGTCAAAGGGGAACACTGTTTATTTTATGCTCCTCATTCACCTCATTATTGCTTTCTCAATATTTTCGGCAAATTCAGTGTACAGCTAAAGCTTTACCGGTACTGGTGCACGATCTTTGTGTCCTATATTTGAGCATTGTTCTACTGTTATTCAAATAGGAAGAATTGCAAAGAAAAATTGAAGAAGAAGAAAGATTAAGGAAAATTCAAGAAATGCAAGAATTAGAAAGACTGAAGAAAATTGAAGAAGAAAAACAAAGACTGGTTTGTTTTGATTACTAAAACCTTTAGGAATAGCTCGATTTTAAATCAGTATTGTAGTCTGGCACACATTATATACTTTAAAGTGTTAAAATGTTTAGTTTAGTTTTAAGAGGAATTTAACTTTCAATATGCATAATGTGGCCATTTTAGGTAATAAATTCAAAATAATTGTTTTGTTTGTTTAAATTTAACAGCAATTCATTAAAAAAAATAGTTTAAATTTCTACCCAAGTCAGCAAAAAATTGCTGAAAAATAAGTTTTTTTTACATAATCATGTATTGTTTGAATACGTTATTATTATTTTAAATGTAGCGGACACCATGGTTTTACTGAATGCTTTCGGTTACGATAAAATGTGAAAACTGTATATTCAGATGAAAACAAACTCAAAATGCTTTTGCGAACATTTTTTTTGTTTTATACAATAAGATTTTGTATACATAAAAAAGAAAAACAAAACAAATTCAAAATTCTTTTGCGAACATGTTTTTCGTTTTTATGCCATAAGATTTTGAATACATGAAAAAGAAACAAGCAAAGAATCTGTGAATATAAAACAGTAGTTATTATCTTTGTCATTTAATAAATTTAGTTTTTTTTGTTACTCAGCATGAAATTGAAGAAAGGGAGGCTGAACGCAGGAGAATTCAAGAAGAGGAGGAAAACAGGAGAAGAGAAGAAGAAAATAGGAAGAGATTAGAACAAGAGGAGGCAATGAGGAGAATGGTTAGTGTGAACATTACTCATTCCTAGGACTAATCCTGACTACCTGTATTTCAAATAACAGGGATTTATCTTTGTAATTTAAAATGGAAGGAATCAACCTATTGAAGCAATTATGTGTTGAGGAGCTTATTCTTACTACATGCAAATCAACGTTCGGCCCATGAACTTTCTGTGAAATATGAAAATGGTATTTGGGAGTGATGTGCAGGCAAAATGTAATGTAAATATTCAATTTTGCACATGTAGACATGTTTTCTGCAACCTTCCAACGCTAAATGAGAGATTTGGAACCAATGTTTAGCATATTTTTGTGAGAGCCAAGTTTTGAATGGAGTCGGGAGTTCAGAATTTTGATTATGACTAAAGAAGTCAAAATGTGCTCTAGAAACTCAAAAATTATTTCTCTGCTTATTCGATTTAATGCTCAGCATTGCCATATTTTACGATTAATATTCAAACTTTAAACAAAAGTTTACCAAGCATTAACAGTATTCGTATATTGGTTTGCATACGCCAAAGTTTATCTTAACAAAATTTAGTTTTTTCTGAGCTTAAGCTGATTCAAAATGTTTTGCCATTGATGGTTGGCTGGTTGGTGTCAAAATTTTGTCAATCAACAGTCATACATAGAACCTGCTGCATTTGATTAAAAATCTATATTTGTTTGATCCCAGGAGATGCAAAAACAAGAGGAAATAAAAAGATTGGAAATTGAAAGAGAAGAAAGAAGAATACAAGAAGAATTGAGAAGGCAAGAAGAAAGAAATCGACAAATGGTGGGTTATTTATTTGGAGCAAGAATAAAAATCAATTCTGTTTCTTTAATATTTCATTAATTGCTTTATTTAAACCAGGGTTGAACCTCTGAACCAAAAAATTGACTATCCGAAAGATAAAATATATGAAAGTTGTGACAAACTTTTATATTTCAATTGTTTTTTATAAAATAGTTTTAAATTTTCTTGGTTATAAATTTAGACCAGAGAAGCGGAAATTCAACGAAATCTGGAAGCAGCGAGAATTCAAAAAGAAAAGGAAGAACAGGCCAAAGCACTTATAAAACTCAAGGTAAGTAATTAAATGGACTGATTTGTCATATGTGTGACTAACTATTTTAGTCAACAAGTGGTATTTCAAAAAACGATATCATATATATGTCACGATTTCACAATTTTGTGTTTTTCAATTTCTAGCAACAAGAAAAACAAATGCAACAAATTCAATTACCGAAGTCAGCCAGATGGGGACAAGGAAGTCAAATTCAACAATCAAGTCATTCTCAATATGATTCACTATCGCTCGTGGAAATTCAAAAAATGGAAAAAAAATTTGAACAAACAAGACTGCATGAAGAGGTATACTTGCATTATGATTCCACTGTTTCTTATGGTCTGCAATATTATGTTTTTTATCTGCTCATAAAATGTTTTACAATTATTAACGGTAAGAATCGCAGGCACAGCTCTGATAAACGGGTTTGGGCTACAAGTGAAAATAGACACATTTTGATATGGTCAGCCAAGCCGAAATTTAAATGTGCTGGGTGTTCATAATGTCTTGCATTAATTTAGGTAAAAGAACTTCAATCTGCTTCATGCAACCAATGTAGGGCATATAAAGGTGTTTTAAATGAAGTAAAAACAAGATTTAAATTAAACACTGATCAAAGTAAAACAAACCTGGTAAATTTATTTTGAGAACGGACCATAACATAACTTTGAAATTGTAACAGGACTTTATGAACACCTTGTACATTTATTTATGTGCTGGGGAAATCACAATAAATTTGTTGTCTATAGCTGTGTAATATTATGATGTATTTAATGTGATTTTCTTATTTTCTTTTAATAAAACCAGTCTTACTTTAATTATCCAATTAACGTGTTTACCGCATATTTTGAGAAAATCTCATCAATGTTTATCTATTTACAGGCAAGAATAGCCAAAGAGACGCATAGTTATCAGACTCCAAAACCAAAATCAGGGTGGATGACAAATCCAACACAGGATAGCGGTGGAATGTCTTTGTTAGATATACAACGTGAAGAAGCAAAACAAATGGTACAAACACAACAACAATTTAAAACAAAACAACCCGAGGTAAGAAAATCTCAGCTACAAGCTAGTGTTACACACAAGTGCACTCTGGTTTTTGCGCATTTTGAATAGTTTCTAATGTATCCACAAATATATAATATATTATTACTAAATTAATGAACAATAATAAGGAAACAACACTAAATAAAAAGTGATATTTACTCCTCGAAAACAACAAAATTCCTTCCCTGCCAGAAAATGCTGCCTTAACATGTTATTTATTTTATCTCTTTCAGTTTTCGAAAAATTGTTTGAGAATAAAACCTAGCAAACATAACAGGCTCATTAATAGCAAACAATCTTAATTATGTTTATTTAATGGTCATTCATAATTCTTAGTTTTATAAGATGCATCAACCATTTATTCGAACCTTGTTTTCTTCGCAAAGTTAATGCTCGATTTATTTTTTTTATTTGAATTTGTAAAAACCATCAATTGTTAATTTTTTATATTAGCTTCAAAAGTGTTACTGGTAACGCTATATTGTAACATATTTATAGTTAATTTGGTTGGAGAATGTCGATATCTACTCATAACGAAACATTTTTCCATCAGCAATCCTAAAATTTATTGTGTATTTCCTCTTCTCTCTTATTAAATATTAGGATATTTAATATTAATAATTTGAAATGCATCCAATTTATTTTATTTTAAATGCTTATATCCAGGGAAGGCCAAAACCGAATATTTCACTTTTTCCAAATACATTATGAGAACATTTTTTAGAATATTGAATACTAAATTGGGAGAAAGTTCATGTGGAAAAATACATAAATCACTATATCTTCATGTTGATCATATCTAAAACGACATAAATATGAAAATCATTGTTTTTTCTATGTTGTTTCGTTACCAGTTAAGATATCATACATTTAAATCCGCTTGTCTGACAGCTCAGAATCACTAATTTTTCGATGGGAATGTTCTAAATCAGTGGTTCTCAACCCCGGGTCCGCGGACCGGTGCCGGTCCGAGAGATATTTTTTTGTTATGATGTTTTTATCCGGCCTCAATCGCTTTGTACCGTATACAAATTTTTTTTTTGGTACTTTGTAGCCTACCGTATAAAACTTGCGTTGGCTCATTACGCAATTGCGACATCTTGACGCCGTCTTACGCGACATCTTGGCGCCGAGCATTCACACTTTTCGCCTCCGATTTATCGCGAATGCGCTCCATCAAATCTCGCAAAATTAAGAAGCCTCAAAATCGGCACGCGTGCTTTTTCTGTTCTGCGTGCTTTTCTTGCCTAATATGACCATCCATATAAAACGTAATGCATATCTCCTTTTTTAAACCAGACAAAAGTCAAGAACAGTATAATATTCCAGTAAGATATGAACTTGTTGCGACCCCACAGGTGGTCACGAGACGCGCAAAAAAGCATGGGCCGCAGAGATTTTGTCCAAACACAGTAGGATTTTAAGCCTGTTGCCAAGTTACCGACGACTTTGTCATTGTAATGCAAATTTATTTGGTTTTAGGCGTCGATCAACTGCAGAGGGATTATTATGATGAACCCATTAAAAAAGAAAAGGCTTGATTAAAATGGCGATTCTACTTAAGAGTCCTGATTAAAAAAGAATTACTTATCACAATTTTAGATATCTCTTGATAACGAATACTCATCGCCAAGTAATCGAACTGTTGTCCGTCTTTTCAGCCAGTTACTGCGATATGCGAAAAAACATTATCATCACTAGATTCAATTAAAACGAAACAAAGAAATCGGCTACACGCGGCTGCAGAGCTACGTGTTGCAAAAACTTCTTTGAGGCTTCGTTTGCAATCTTATATTGGAAACGAAACAGCAGCAAAATTCTCACAGGAGTTAATTGTGTTTGTACATGATTTGGCATGTACCTGTTTTTAATGTGAGATATTTTATGTGTGCCTTTCTTACGCATAATGGGTGCCCAGCACTGCATTTCATTACGCAAATATATGGTATTATTTTATGTTTCACCTATTTTTGATTTTTGGTCGGCACATTATGTGATAGTTTTTCTCCGTGGGAAATGTTTATAAGTGTGCTTTTTTGCCTAGAAGCAGGTTGAGTGCCCGACATTGCAATATATTACGCAAATATATGTTATTCTTTTCTGTTTCGGCCATTTTAATTTTTTGCCGGTCCGCGAATACATTTAATCTAATTTTACCGGTCCGCCAGGGTAGAAAGGTTGGGAACCGCTGTTCTAAATTATTCCAAATTACAAAGATTTACAATATCAAATATAATGAATTCGAATATTCGATTCGTTTTGAACATCCCTATTTCCTGCTTACATTGTTTACTCTTAAAGGCTCAAAAAGTTCAAAGTCTTGGTTACAATACATCATGGAACAAACCTCCAAAGATCCAACCTGATCCACCTGTGGTGAAACAATCTGCAGCAGCATCATCATTCTGGGATCAGGTCGTGGAAGAAAATCAACCGAAACCGAGTCCTGTTCGACAAAAACAAACCAAACAACAGCAATCAAAACAAAGCAAACCGAAGCAATCAAAAGCAGCAAAGGTAAATGTACTTTTCATTTTGTTTTTTATTAGCATTTTCGCTGTGTTTCATTTAGTTTTTCCTGGTCTTGAAGTAGATCTAGAAATAATTGTATAGTTGTTGTAGTCAAGTGTATTTTCGTATTGCAAAATTGTTGTCATTCTTGGGACAAAAAAACGTCTCTGGTTTATAAACCAGACCAATTGCTTTCAAATTTGCAGTGGTTGACGATAAAGAGTGGTTCAAATACTATGTCCGGCACCGCACCAAGTGTGCGAAAAAATGGGAAAGATTCCTCACCTAGCATTGGATGCTTATGCTGAGCCTTATTCAGAGAGAATAACTACAACATATAAAGCGAATCTTATAGGATGTTTTATTTCTACTTCCTAATCGTTCTTTATTACCAGATCTAATTACTTCTTGAATTTTATTCTCAATTCAATATAGACATCTCAGAACTGTCAGAGCCAGAATTGAATGACAAATGGTCTGGTCTATTGTAACCTGTAGTGAAGTATATCTTAAGTTTTAATGACTAGAAGTATATTGCTTATAACAGAAAACAAAGGGTGATGAGGGTCAACAAGTAAAAGCAATATTCCAACAACAAATAACAAAAGATAGCTTCACGGAATGGTGTGAGAGTTATCTTGAAAGAATGAATGCTGGATCTATTGACAGTGAGTTATTATGTTATTTTCTAATGTTATCCTCTAGTATGGACTTACACACATTGCTCATCGAAAGTATAGTTCCGCTTTTTAACAATGATCAGCTGTTTGTGTAACAAATCCTTTGTAACAAAATAGAACCAAATTTACCATCTTATTAATGATTCAGTGTCAGTTTTCTATGTAGCCTATTCATGAAGGGTACTGTAATTGTTTGTAGTGCAGAAAAGTTATTTTAATTTTTTTTACAGTTATCATAGGTTATAATATGTGCCTCATCTTTGCCCAAATGTTCAATTAAAAATATGAACTTTTTCCAAAATCAAAAATTACTATATTGTTTATACCTAATTTATAATATATTTTAATATTCTATTGGTACTGAGCATCCCTGGTGCATTTGACTGTATCAATATTTATTCATGTTCGAACAACTACTACTTTTTTATGTGAATCCCTGCGTCAATTTCATTTTTCATAATTCTATTGTGAATTTTTTTTTTCCAGTTCCTACTTTCGTAAATTTTCTGCGAGACGTAGAATCACCTTATGAAGTTCAAGAATATGTGCAATCGTACCTCGGGGAATCAAAAGAAGTCCGAGACTTTGCTAATCTGTTCCTCGAACAACGTTCAAATATGAGTGGGAAGCATAATTTCAAAACCCCGCAATCCAGGGTAAGCTTGATATTAATGGACAATAAATTATACAAAACTATCATACATATTTCTTTTGTAGAATTGAGACCATGAGCCTCGTACTGCTGATGTTTTAAGAGCTGCAAATAGATTTTTTTTGTTGCTATTAGGGATGTACAAAGAATCCAGTATCTAAATCGATTTGAAAATAATATATATTCAAATTTTAAATTACTGATTTCAGGATTACTTCAGAAATTTTACTTTTGGACAGTTGTCTCATGGCATGACATGAATTTCTCAAAACTCAAAAAATGAGAGAAGCAGTTGAATCATTGTCAATATTATTTTTCCCTCATTCCAGATTCAAACTTATTGACTATGCAGTTTTTTTTCAAATCCGTCCCAATTTAGAATATTTTTGATATTTCATTAAGAAATTCATGGTTTCGGTTTTTATTGGTCACCCTGTATTCTGTTGTTAGGAGGAAGTCAATTCTTCTTATGGAAGATTTTATTTTTGCATCTGACGATAACAATTACAGTTCATGTAGTTGAAAATAGTAGTGCATTTGAATAATACTTGGTACTCATTTTATAACGTCTCTCTCACCATTGTCTTCATATAGAACAGGGATTCGCAACCTGGGGTAAATTATGCAAGAATAAAAATTCATTTTTTTCCTATTTCATGAATAATAGTCCTGTGATATTAATTCATCACTTGGTCAAGTGAGTTAAAATAGGTACTTTATATGGAAAGGAAAATATAAAAAGATTTGGGACTTAATTTACTTTTGAAAATTTGCAAAGCTGTACATAAGGGATTAGGGGCTGAGATTTGAGAAACACTTAATTCAATAGGATTTTTGTTCAAATTGAATCACACTCGCAAATGTATGTATATTTGTTTACTCTTTCAATAGACTTCTGATAAATCTCGTTCATCAGCATCAAGAGATAACGATGGGTTTGAAATGGTTACTGGAAATACGAAACGAGGGAAGAAAAAAGTGAAAAAATCACAAAAAGTTGATCCAAGTATTTTAGGTTGGTGTGCGATTATGTCATTTGTAGAAAAGCATGTCAGCTCATCATAATCATCTTTCTTACAATGCCTTTAAATCAACTTTTAGTACTTAATATATTTGAACAGATTAAGGAGATTGTCAAATTATTTCAAATGGTTTTATCAGAAAAACACTATAAAACTCAATCTCAAAAGAAAAACTAATTACCGGCAACTATCCCTATTACCGACCTGGACGGGTAACTGTATGAAAGGCAACGGTTTACCATATGACGAGCTCTCTTGAATAATGGGTTGTTAATTATTTTGTCCATATCCAGGTTTTTCTGTGAATGCTGCTTCTGACAGAGTGAATATGGGTGAAATACAGACAGCCGATGACTGAGCATGGTTGCCTGAAATCTTTTTAACTCAGGATAATAATACTGTATATTATTTACTTACATTTACCTTCTCTTTTATCGATAATATTTTGAATTTTATTTTGAAGTGGCAAGGTTGCTTTGCATCTCTACACCTATCTTATCTTATTACTAGTAGCTTGTTCCTAAATACAAAAAGTTAGATCTCAAAAGTTTTATCAATTGTTAAATTTCGTGACTAGTTTTAGTAATATTTAGATAGGATGTATAAATTTGTTCGAGCTCAAAAATGCCCAAGTCACTACATTTTCGGCTCTTGCGCTTGTTTTTAATTGGGTAGAGGTATGAATGAAAATTCTTTCAGTTATTTGTGAAGTATGCATATCCAAAGAATTCAGTCAACAAAATTCACACTGTATCAAATAGTGTGCCTTGAGAATTTGTGTAACTTTTTTCCAAGCTGTACAGTTTTGAAAAAAAAATTTCAAGAAAGCGTAATTTATTAAGGATTCAAATAACTGTTTATTTTATTCAAATTGAAATTGGCCTTATGATCCTTCATGATTTTTTGCACTACGATGTCATTTGGGATACTCAAAACTTGAAAGAGTTAAAGAACAATCTCTTTTTTTAAACCACTGCTCTACCATATTTGATTACAGGGAAGCTTTTCATTTTATATAAATGTATGTTTCGGAGTGAAGTAGATCATTTCAATATCTCAGTCATTCCTAGCAATAATATAAATGACGAGCTAATAGTATCTAATAGACCTAGTCCGAATAATTTTACATTTGAAATATTTGAATTTATAGCAATTTAATATTCAAACTAATTTAATTTTGAAGGTTTTTGCTTGTAAATTTTGATTAGTCTTTTTGCATTTTGCATTACCCCCTTGCAACTAGATCTCAAATGAATGCAAGACTTCTTGCAAATATATGAACCATACAGGCATATTGTGATTTGGGTAAAATCTCTTTAAATTTTTTAATGTCAACTAAGCTTATCTTGGTGTTTGGACTTACGAAATTGTTTAAAAGTCTAGGATGGTTGGGAAAAGGTTCTTGCACGAACCACCTCTACCTCCACTGTTTTCAGTGAAGTAATCTTTCTCGATTGCTTGAATTGAATTTTAGTATTTCGGAGATACAAATATTTAATGCTATCAATATGTAATATGAAGGGCATAAATTTTCAAGCTTGAACATCTCTATTGAGTGGGCCGTACTGTTCTTTTGATTTCTCTCACCTTTTTTGAAGGTGATTTATTGTTTCACTGTTTTTTCATTATCAAGTTTTCATTGTTCTGCTCTAGAGATAAGAGTAGTCATATTTCAAGATTCAAATATTAAAAATATAACTGGTTTCTAGAATATCAAAGTCCAAATATGTATTCTTCTAACTCATCTTAGCTATAAAAAGCAAAGAATTTGGATAGTATTCTCTTCTAGTTGTATAGTAAGCTCATTCATAAAAAATGGTTTGTTCATATATCGCTTTTGACCGACTTATATTTGTATAAGGTATTATTTGTAAAAAGAATTTTCTTAACCTGCCCTGTATTAGAAGACACCAGCATTGAGTTCTTATATATGTATAATGAATGATCAGTTGAAGAGTCAAAAACTTTAAAATTTGCATTTAACAGAATTATCTAACAGAAACGTCCCTTAGTCACCGAAGTTTATGTATTTCAAAATGCGCCTTATTTTATTTCTGTTTTTGCTATTGTCGAATTTTTCCTAGCGCTATTTATTGCTATTAAAATTGTCCTATTTATTTTCATTAAATGAATATTTCTTTTCTTAAAAACTAAGTTTTTGCTTCGTGGTATCTTCTGATTTTGCGAAATTAAAACAAGGTGGTGTATGGTTTCATAAAATACCCCGATTTGCTCATTTATGTGGTGTTTTTACAGTGGGGAACAGTGTACTATTTATTATCCACATGCACAACCGGTACGAACGAATACATATGCTTGCTTTGCGCGACTTGTATTCACACTTGCTGTGAGTAAACTTGTAGCTAAATTCAAAGCTGAAACTAGTTATTTGTTTTCGGAAGCATGGGCTTGATGGTGGAGGAAGCCGTAACCGACCAGCGGTTACGTGAACCACTTAGAAGCTGTAGTAGGAGATGATCAGTAGTTGAGCGCTGTGTGCCGACCATTTCGAGATTAATCCAATGTTGTTGACGATCAATCCTGTCGAATCTGAATACGTCTCCAACACAGTACTATAATGATGCAGTCGTGAATAAATATGGCCTTATCGGAAAACAGTGAGCGGTTTGGAATATAAAAAGGAATCGTGAACTTCCTGTGACCACAAGAAAAGTACCGAACAGCATTAGACTATGTAACTTAATTAGGTTTGTTCCATAAGGGTATTTACGCTCAGTAAATGAGATAACGAATCTCTATTTTGGCCAGAGGGTTGGCGCGTGGTGAGTGTTAGGTAATAAATAGGGTATACGCCTGCCATCGAACTGTTTAGCCTGCGTGAGTTCGAATCCAGAAGATGATAATTACGTGCGACAGTATTGCCGGGCTCCGCGCCATCGTAACCGTTGGTCAGAATAGGCCAGTGATTTTTAACACTCCTGAGATTGAGAATCGGCGTAAAGATAACTCACAGAAGTATTCACGCGACAGAAAAATTGAACAATTTTCGCTGCTTTATAGTAATTTTCGAGGAAAAAGAGTATATTATATTGATAATTAATCGGCGCCCAGGCTGCACTTTCAACTCTAGATTAAATCTATTTGAATATAACGCATGAACAATCTCACTTCTTAGGCCACTTCTTCAAAAACGTAATGCGCTCGTTTACAGAAAAGGGTTAAATACCCCTGCTGTAGCATAATCCTAACTTTCAACCGGTGTTTCGCGGAACACTGATGGTTCATGAAGATTTGCCAGTAGCAAGAAGTTTACACGCGTGTCCGCACTTTATATCAATTAATATTAACATGAAGAATGAATATTTGAAAAGAAAAAGAGACAACTAAAGTATGAACTGTAGAAGGATGATCAGTGTGTTTGTCTTTCGTCAATCTCTGACAGAATAGAAGGTTTGTGATCTCATAGACATTTCAATATTACGACGTTTGTTCAGCCCCTGAACTTTTATTGGTACCTTAGATTAGATTTGCTAGATCTTTTACCAACTCGAGTCGATGGACTAGTGGCTATTTTATAGTGGGCTAGTGGCTAGTCGCTATTTTATTTCTATGCTTAAACTGACGGAGATAAGAATAGAGGTTATTAGTCAATTGGATCGATTATTTTCGAAGTGTGAAGTATTCATTTGATGTTCCACAAAAGAGGTTAAAGGGTCAAAATTGGATTATGGTGAAAACAATTTTAAATTCTTCTCACTTTTTACTTGACCTTTTCTAGTATTTTTTCATTGCCTTCTTCACATAAGCTTTTGTTCTAAGCGTGGCAAAAAAATCAATCTCTCGCCTGGAATGAAGGAACCGTTTCTCCTCTGAAGATATCGTTTTCGTCTTCAGAGATACGAAGGAATGTTCACAACTGTTAAGGCTTATGATACAATTTATTTTCCACTCTCAATTGAAAGACACAATTAATGTTTTGATTTGCTGCAACATCCAACTTCTAAAATAACTTTCCTCACCTAATTCATTACCTTTTTGTGACATCTTGCCAAGGTGATGATGTCACAAGAAGTTATGAACAAAGGCAACGACACCACAAATAACTAACAAAATTCTAGCTAATCTACTAACGGCTTTGCAAATATTCTTGCCTTGTGAATATTTTGCAGATAAAACACACTCCAGCACGGCCGCACATTTCACCTTCGACGGCGCAGGTTGTGCACTCCTGGACCATGGCACCCCCTACCCCCGTTGAAGTCCATGCATTTGAGAAAAATGACAAACCTGAGATGGAATGGTAACCGGTCGAGAAGCCGTTGTTTGTATGCTCATTATCTAATCGGCTTCCCGAGATACATAATTATGTATATACCTAATTTTTTATCCGGTAGGTTTTATGGCTTCCAAATATTCACAATTGAATGTTTACTGGCATTGTAGCTATGCGCAAAGATCTTGTTTATAATTCGTCGCTCTTTTAGAGCCAGTGTCTCCTTAACGGAACTTAATTAATCTTGCGTCTTGCAACTCTAACAACTTTTCGAATATAAACGCGGCGTTTTGATAATAAACTACGCATCTGTGAAAAGTTAAACGTACGGGGGCGATGTCATCTACTCACGGTATTATATCACACAGTAACGTATATATATAGTAGGGCGGGGGATGATGGCCCCCCTTATTGAAATTTATCTATATTTCGAAAACCTTTCTTCAAATATTCCTAAAACTTTGCAAGTACAAACATAAGGGGCTGAACTCTTTAGCCACTCGGCGGCGTCCGCCGGTCTCCAACCATCGCAACAGCAGAAACGTTTTTGAGCGAAAAAAAAATTCGGGGAAGTTGGACATATGGTCGGATATGACGGACATGTAATAAAATCGCATCAAAATACTAGTATTGCGTTCTGTTTCTTATCAGAATATCAAAATATGCAATGTATTTGGAAAAATTTTTGGGGCATTCGAAAATTCCCCCTATGTCCATCTTACCCCTTAAATTTTTGAAGTTGTGAACCCATATAATTGTTCACGAAAGTATGATAAAACACCACCTAGTAAAGCAGCCAAATTTTATTTGATCATACTTTCACACAAATTTTAATCATAACACCAAAAGAACATCTGGGATAGCATGAAAGCTATCGTCATGGAATTTTACATTCGAATGAAAATATTTATACAAAAAAGCTTCCGAATTATATTCCGGATTACCGAATCTTTAGGGTACCATCAATACAAACAGAAGTATTAAATTAAATTTGTTCATTTTCCTGTGAACAATTAAGAAATTCATGGTTTCGGTTTTTATTGGTCACCCTGTATTCTGTTGTTAGGAGGAAGTCAATTCTTCTTACGGAAGATTTTATTTTTGCATCTGACAATAACAGTTACAGTTCATGTAGTTGAAAATAGTAGTGCATTTGAATATTACTTGGTACTCATTTTATAACGTCTCTCTCACCATTGTCTTCATATAGAACAGGGATTCGCAACCTGGGGTAAATTATGCAAGAATAAAAATTCATTTTTTTCCTATTTCATGAATAATAGTCCTGTGATATTAATTCATCACTTGGTCAAGTGAGTTAAAATAGGTACTTTATATGGAAAGGAAAATATAAAAAGATTTGGGACTTAATTTACTTTTGAAAATTTGCAAACACTTAATTCAATAGGATTTTTGTTCAAATTGAATCACACTTGCAAATGTATGTATATTTGTTTACTCTTTCAATAGACTTCTGATAAATCTCGTTCATCAGCATCAAGAGATAACGATGGGTTTGAAATGGTTACTGGAAATACGAGACGAGGGAAGAAAAAAGTGAAAAAATCACAAAAAGTTGATCCAAGTATTTTAGGTTGGTGTGCGATTATGTCATTTGTAGAAAAGCATGTCAGCTCATCATAATCATCTTTCTTACAATGCCTTTAAATCAACTTTTAGTACTTAATATATTTGAACAGATTAAGGAGATTGTCAAATTATTTCAAATGGTTTTATCAGAAAAACACTATAAAACTCAATCTCAAAAGAAAAACTAATTACCGACACCTATCCCTATTACCGACCTGGACGGGTAACTGTATGAAAGGCAACGGTTTACCATATGACGAGCTCTCTCGAATAATGGGTTGTTAATTATTTTGTCCATATCCAGGTTTTTCTGTGAATGCTGCTTCTGACAGAGTGAATATGGGTGAAATACAGACAGCCGATGACTGAGCATGGTTGCCTGAAATCTTTTTAACTCAGGATAATAATACTGTATATTATTTACTTACATTTACCTTCTCTTTTATCGATAATATTTTGAATTTTATTTTGAAGTGGCAAGGTTGCTTTGCATCCCTACACCTATCTTATCTTATTACTAGTAGCTTGTTCCTAAATACAAAAAGTTAGATCTCAAAAGTTTTATCAATTGTTAAATTTCGTGACTAGTTTTAGTAATATTTAGATAGGATGTATAAATTTGTTCGAGCTCAAAAATGCCCAAGTCACTACATTTTCGGCTCTTGCGCTTGTTTTTAATTGGGTAGAGGTATGAATGAAAATTCTTTCAGTTATTTGTGAAGTATGCATATCCAAAGAATTCAGTCAACAAAATTCACACTGTATCAAATAGTGTGCCTTGAGAATTTGTGTAACTTTTTTCCAAGCTGTACAGTTTTGAAAAAAAAATTTCAAGAAAGCGTAATTTATTAAGGATTCAAATAACTGTTTATTTTATTCAAATTGAAATTGGCCTTACGATCCTTCATGATTTTTTGCACTACGATGTCATTTGGGATACTCAAAACTTGAAAGAGTTAAAGAACAATCTCTTTTTTTAAACCACTGCTCTACCATATTTGATTACAGGGAAGCTTTTCATTTTATATAAATGTATGTTTCGGAGTGAAGTAGATCATTTCAATATCTCAGTCATTCCTAGCAATAATATAAATGACGAGCTAATAGTATCTAATAGACCTAGTCCGAATAATTTTACATTTGAAATATTTGAATTTATAGCAATTTAATATTCAAACTAATTTAATTTTGAAGGTTTTTGCTTGTAAATTTTGATTAGTCTTTTTGCATTTTGCATTACCCCCTTGCAACTAGATCTCAAATGAATGCAAGACTTCTTGCAAATATATGAACCATACAGGCATATTGTGATTTGGGTAAAATCTCTTTAAATTTTTTAATGTCAACTAAGCTTATCTTGGTGTTTGGACTTACGAAATTGTTTAAAAGTCTAGGATGGTTGGGAAAAGGTTCTTGCACGAACCACCTCTACCTCCACTGTTTTCAGTGAAGTAATCTTTCTCGATTGCTTGAATTGAATTTTAGTATTTCGGAGATACAAATATTTAATGCTATCAATATGTAATATGAAGGGCATAAATTTTCAAGCTTGAACATCTCTATTGAGTGGGCCGTACTGTTCTTTTGATTTCTCTCACCTTTTTTGAAGGTGATTTATTGTTTCACTGTTTTTTCATTATCAAGTTTTCATTGTTCTGCTCTAGAGATAAGAGTAGTCATATTTCAAGATTCAAATATTAAAAATATAACTGGTTTCTAGAATATCAAAGTCCAAATATGTATTCTTCTAACTCATCTTAGCTATAAAAAGCAAAGAATTTGGATAGTATTCTCTTCTAGTTGTATAGTAAGCTCATTCATAAAAAATGGTTTGTTCATATATCGCTTTTGACCGACTTATATTTGTATAAGGTATTATTTGTAAAAAGAATTTTCTTAACCTGCCCTGTATTAGAAGACACCAGCATTGAGTTCTTATATATGTATAATGAATGATCAGTTGAAGAGTCAAAAACTTTAAAATTTGCATTTAACAGAATTATCTAACAGAAACGTCCCTTAGTCACCGAAGTTTATGTATTTCAAAATGCGCCTTATTTTATTTCTGTTTTTGCTATTGTCGAATTTTTCCTAGCGCTATTTATTGCTATTAAAATTGTCCTATTTATTTTCATTAAATGAATATTTCTTTTCTTAAAAACTAAGTTTTTGCTTCGTGGTATCTTCTGATTTTGCGAAATTAAAACAAGGTGGTGTATGGTTTCATAAAATACCCCGATTTGCTCATTTATGTGGTGTTTTTACAGTGGGGAACAGTGTACTATTTATTATCCACATGCACAACCGGTACGAACGAATACATATGCTTGCTTTGCGCGACTTGTATTCACACTTGCTGTGAGTAAACTTGTAGCTAAATTCAAAGCTGAAACTAGTTATTTGTTTTCGGAAGCATGGGCTTGATGGTGGAGGAAGCCGTAACCGACCAGCGGTTACGTGAACCACTTAGAAGCTGTAGTAGGAGATGATCAGTAGTTGAGCGCTGTGTGCCGACCATTTCGAGATTAATCCAATGTTGTTGACGATCAATCCTGTCGAATCTGAATACGTCTCCAACACAGTACTATAATGATGCAGTCGTGAATAAATATGGCCTTATCGGAAAACAGTGAGCGGTTTGGAATATAAAAAGGAATCGTGAACTTCCTGTGACCACAAGAAAAGTACAGAACAGCATTAGACTATGTAACTTAATTAGGTTTGTTCCATAAGGGTATTTACGCTCAGTAAATGAGATAACGAATCTCTATTTTGGCCAGAGGGTTGGCGCGTGGTGAGTGTTAGGTAATAAATAGGGTATACGCCTGCCATCGAACTGTTTAGCCTGCGTGAGTTCGAATCCAGAAGATGATAATTACGTGCGACAGTATTGCCGGGCTCCGCGCCATCGTAACCGTTGGTCAGAATAGGCCAGTGATTTTTAACACTCCTGAGATTGAGAATCGGCGTAAAGATAACTCACAGAAGTATTCACGCGACAGAAAAATTGAACAATTTTCGCTGCTTTATAGTAATTTTCGAGGAAAAAGAGTATATTATATTGATAATTAATCGGCGCCCAGGCTGCACTTTCAACTCTAGATTAAATCTATTTGAATATAACGCATGAACAATCTCACTTCTTAGGCCACTTCTTCAAAAACGTAATGCGCTCGTTTACAGAAAAGGGTTAAATACCCCTGCTGTAGCATAATCCTAACTTTCAACCGGTGTTTCGCGGAACACTGATGGTTCATGAAGATTTGCCAGTAGCAAGAAGTTTACACGCGTGTCCGCACTTTATATCAATTAATATTAACATGAAGAATGAATATTTGAAAAGAAAAAGAGACAACTAAAGTATGAACTGTAGAAGGATGATCAGTGTGTTTGTCTTTCGTCAATCTCTGACAGAATAGAAGGTTTGTGATCTCATAGACATTTCAATATTACGACGTTTGTTCAGCCCCTGAACTTTTATTGGTACCTTAGATTAGATTTGCTAGATCTTTTACCAACTCGAGTCGATGGACTAGTGGCTATTTTATAGTGGGCTAGTGGCTAGTCGCTATTTTATTTCTATGCTTAAACTGACGGAGATAAGAATAGAGGTTATTAGTCAATTGGATCGATTATTTTCGAAGTGTGAAGTATTCATTTGATGTTCCACAAAAGAGGTTAAAGGGTCAAAATTGGATTATGGTGAAAACAATTTTAAATTCTTCTCACTTTTTACTTGACCTTTTCTAGTATTTTTTCATTGCCTTCTTCACATAAGCTTTTGTTCTAAGCGTGGCAAAAAAATCAATCTCTCGCCTGGAATGAAGGAACCGTTTCTCCTCTGAAGATATCGTTTTCGTCTTCAGAGATACGAAGGAATGTTCACAACTGTTAAGGCTTATGATACAATTTATTTTCCACTCTCAATTGAAAGACACAATTAATGTTTTGATTTGCTGCAACATCCAACTTCTAAAATAACTTTCCTCACCTAATTCATTACCTTTTTGTGACATCTTGCCAAGGTGATGATGTCACAAGAAGTTATGAACAAAGGCAACGACACCACAAATAACTAACAAAATTCTAGCTAATCTACTAACGGCTTTGCAAATATTCTTGCCTTGTAAATATTTTGCAGATAAAACACACTCCAGCACGGCCGCACATTTCACCTTCGACGGCGCAGGTTGTGCACTCCTGGACCATGGCACCCCCTACCCCCGTTGAAGTCCATGCATTTGAGAAAAATGACAAACCTGAGATGGAATGGTAACCGGTCGAGAAGCCGTTGTTTGTATGCTCATTATCTAATCGGCTTCCCGAGATACATAATTATGTATATACCTAATTTTTTATCCGGTAGGTTTTATGGCTTCCAAATATTCACAATTGAATGTTTACTGGCATTGTAGCTATGCGCAAAGATCTTGTTTATAATTCGTCGCTCTTTTAGAGCCAGTGTCTCCTTAACGGAACTTAATTAATCTTGCGTCTTGCAACTCTAACAACTTTTCGAATATAAACGCGGCGTTTTGATAATAAACTACGCATCTGTGAAAAGTTAAACGTACGGGGGCGATGTCATCTACTCACGGTATTATATCACACAGTAACGTATATATATAGTAGGGCGGGGGATGATGGCCCCCCTTATTGAAAATTATCTATATTTCGAAAACCTTTCTTCCTTCCAAATATTCCTAAAACTTTGCAAGTACAAACATACGGGGCTGAACTCTTTAGCCACTCGGCGGCGTCCGCCGGTCTCCAACCATCGCAACAGCAGAAACGTTTTTGAGCGAAAAAAAAATTCGGGGAAGTTGGACATATGGTCGGATATGACGGACATGTAATAAAATCGCATCAAAATACTAGTATTGCGTTCTGTTTCTTATCAGAATATCAAAATATGCAATGTATTTGGAAAAATTTTTGGGGCATTCGAAAATTCCCCCTATGTCCATCTTACCCCTTAAATTTTTGAAGTTGTGAACCCATATAATTGTTCACGAAAGTATGATAAAACACCACCTAGTAAAGCAGCCAAATTTTATTTGATCATACTTTCACACAAATTTTAATCATAACACCAAAAGAACATCTGGGATAGCATGAAAGCTATCGTCATGGAATTTTACATTCGAATGAAAATATTTATACAAAAAAGCTTCAAGCAGAGCAGTCATCACATTGGAAGGACACAATGTGTTTTCCATAAATCCTGGCACAAATATCGTGAAGCCACTTTTGGCATTTCTGGCACTGAATCCATCCCTCGTCCTCTTCGTCGTCAAAATATTTGACCTTGCTGACAGCACAGAGGTTACTGTAACAATATCTTTCATGTCGCTCATTCTTACGTTTATTTTCTTTTTTCTTCCTGGGAGCTGCAACTTTCTTAGACGAGCTAGATGACATCGTTTCTGCGAGTGCTGTAGTTTTCCTGAACGAGCTAGGTGGCGTTGTTTCTGCGAGTGCTGACAGTTCGGCTACATAATTCTCACTTGTTAACACTCTAATTCCTGCCTAAATGGCTTTCTTTGCCTCTTGGCTCTCTGAGTGGCTACTGGAAGAGGCAAATATATTCAAATGATGAACTGGTGCTATCAGATCTCTGCTATTTTCTTGCCTCAAAGAATCACTGACGTTATCAGAAACTAACTGAACTCCTGGTGAAGTTCTACTTGAAAAAATCGTGAGAGAGCACAGAGCAGCATGGTTCACTTGTGACACTTTCTACCTCTGTCGTGGTGTTAACCTCATGAGATGGTACATCTTAGTCTCTATTTGTTATTTGCCTCTGTTTGATATTCTTTGGTATTTTCTCAACATTCTTTAGGATTTTCTGTTTCCCGAGCATCCAAAACTTGCATCTGGAAAAACATGATAGTACATAAGGGTAAGATGGCCACCCCCCATAATTTCATAAGATTATTGAGATTATCCAAGAAGTGTTTTGACAGGTAAAAGCAATAACAAAATTAAAAAGAATACTTTCTGGTATCTTATTCACAAAGAACGGGTTTGAACGGTCAAAGTAAATATAAAACCGAAAAACGCAAGAAATTTATTACGCCCTCATAACCCCCCCATTTTTACATGATCACATGCTGAAAGATATAGTTAGCTGCTAGATGGCACAAGTCGCTCAGTTAGTCCTAAATCATTGTCAGTAAGTATAAACTTACCAACAAACGCGCGATTCAGAGTTCCTTTGCTGAAAATGAGCATATAGTGCCTCCAAGAAAAACGTGTCCTTACTAAATGCCCTTTTTTCACCCTTCAAAAATCACAAGCCACGTGGAAAGCTACACAACTGACGAACTACGCCAAGCGCTGAACCGAAATGGCTAGAACGAATTCCCTCCTTAGCAACGAACTCGGCAATGGCATTTGCAGAACCAAGCCCCATAAGATGTCGCCAATAGGTCAATTTGAAAAAAAGTGTCCATCTAACCCCGTGTGTCTATCTTCCCCCGCCCTACTATATAAGAGGAGTCACTACTTATTTGGTCATCTAAAATCGAACGTCTAGCTATCATACTACTACTACTACACCGTCCTTTTTTTTTTTATAAAAGTTTAATTCGCTTTGTTTCTGTCCATTTTATTAGTATACGAAAACTCTTGATCTGTGGTGTGCCCAGTTTTTATTCTGTGGGTTAAGGCGTAAAATGAATTTTACTTATTTTGTGACCACGATATTTTTACTGTAAGGATCCCATTTGCTTAGTCCAGGCTCAAGGGCCATTGGTTGTGTAAAATGTGACTTATACTTTTAAAAAATCTCTCTGCCGGGTATCTTACCCATTTGAGCGCAACTCGCCTTTTTCTTTTTTATTTGTTTATGCCTCACCAATTTGTAAGACTAATCAAAATATAACGGTAATTGAGTGTGATGTGGATAAGCCGGTATAAATATTGATGAGTGTTATGAGTTTTACGTTTCCTAGATTCAACCGCGAATACAATTAACTTCTCAATCGGAACCATTTTGTCGGTATAACGTTTTTAGCATCGCGATCTATTTATCGGCTTATATGACCATTTAAGAATATTAAATGAGACCGTGTGCAGATCAAAACCCACTATAACTGATTGAACATATGTCACGAATATTAAATGAAAAAATCGGGATTATTTATCGCAATTGATCCAACGAATGCAGTGAGCGCTACATGAGTGGTTATTATATGTCGATTTGGATTTAGTTGTTATTGACCGTGACGGCATTCGAATCAGAGAATTGTGCGTTGCAGTGAGGTTTAGCATTGGGTGTATTTTTGGAATAGAATACTTTACTTATCTTTACATCTTCTCCAGAAAACTTAATTGGAGTAGCTAAACTTTAGTATTGAGTCGCTAAAATTTTGGTATCAAGTGCGGGTTTGTAGTCAAATCACAATGAGATCAAATAATAAAAGAACTTTTTTAATTTTTACCGGAAGTTGTACAGTTGATTTGTATCAAAAAATAAACACAAAATATCTATGCGTCAATATATCAGAATCAGAATCGTTTCACAATTACAGGTTGAAAAAATGGTAGTTTTAGATAGAGAAACGATTTGTTACGAGAAAAAAAAAACGATGCGAAAATGTAAGACAGAAGAGAGCATAAATTTATCTAAACGTGGGTATATATGTAAAATGCAAGTTTTTTTACGGTCAGGCTATTTTAACTCGGAAAGAGTGTATTTTCGACACGCAAATATGATTTTGTCCGCACGTGTGAGCAAATAGATATCGTTTTAAGATTCATTTATAGCAAATTTGATGTATTTTTTTGATTTATCCACATGAAAACGTGGAAACAAATCGTAAATACACAAATTCAGCTGGAAATCTGCGTAAGAGAGCCAATATAATGAGAGATATAACATATTCAAAGAAGAAATAAAAATTTTATTATGACTTTGCATATTATGATATATATATATATTATAGAATATATTTACAGAATCTAGGTCACATGCTGACAACAAGTAGCTTTCGAGCTCCAATACCTTCATTTGGGAAGTTTTCAGTCAATTTTTTCCAGGTGGGATTATTTATCAAAACCACATTTGTTTGTAAGGTATGAAGTCACAAGGAATATCAAATTTGCAGCCATTTACAACATCCAAACTGGACCAACATGCGATTTACAATATCGTACTTTTACTTCACATATCTTGTTATGCTTCGGGTTGGATTTAGTCGCTCAAGGAACATCGACAAACAAACGGAATTTACGATTGGGATTATATCATCGGAGTTTACTGGTATGGGACAAGAGTCTGTCGGATCTGCAATGCCAGATAGTAGAATTTTATCGAGTGATAACGCTCAGTGGCAAGATATTAAACGATCAGATCGGCTTTCGGTCGCAATACAATTTGTTCTTAACACTTACAAAAACGTGTCTCAAAGCTCTAATGGAGGCGCAACTATTTTTACACCGGATTCAGCGGTATCTCTGCAATATATTTTATTGCGATCACCTTGTGATGCGGGAGAGCTAGTAAGTGCAATCAGCTCTAACAAGAACATATTTGATGCGTACATTATTGGTGAATTTGTAGAAGAATGTGTCAGTCGGGACAGCGATAACTCACTTTCAGCAAGTGTAAAACAGTATAATTTATTCTGCGACGCGATAGATTTAATTTCGAATATGTGGCGTATACCATGTGTTTCATGGAGTTGTATACCGAAGACAGAAGTTTCTCAAGTTTTAAATTTTCGAAAACAGCCTTTTCCGTTCCATGTAAAGTTTTTCCCAAACAGTCAACAAACTGTTAAAACTTCCCTTGCTATTTTACGAAGAGTAGGATGGTTCAATATAGCATTGCTATCAGCTGTAGATATTGAACCCTGGAACACATTTTGTGGAGAACTCAGAAACGAGTTGCTTCTCAATAAGGATTTTGCATTGAAATATTATCAAACTGTAAATTTCAACGCCAAGAAAAAGGGAAACAAATCGATACAAAATGTCAAATTTATGAAGAAGCTATTTTCAGATTTCGAGAATTCACATTGTAAAGGTAAGTTAGTAATTTTCATGCTTCATTTATCATTCAATATAACGATTTTTATGTTCATCAACCTCTCCAACACCTCTTATATAAATAACAAAATCCAAACTTATACCTAGTAAAACTGTATGTACCAACTTTTTCCCAGAACAAGTATTTTACCAATGTAAACTAAGTTTTTAAATATTTTACAGTTATACTCATATGTGCCCCGACGACGTTTGAAAACAAAGATGACAACAGCGTCATTGATCGTTTTGTGACGATGTCGTCAACGTTATCTTCAGATAGAGCTTTTATGTGGATTGACCCAATCGGGAAGTTTTATAACGAAAAATCGCTAAATGACGTCATACAAATAAAGAAAGAAGAAGCGATACAAAGAGAAATAGAGAGGAAAAAGAAAGAAGAACAATCAAGAAAGAAAAGAGAAATTCCGAATATTCTAACGACGAAATTTGGAAGTGTCAATGACAAAAATATTCTTTATAATGCAACTTCTGACTTACAAAGGGTCAATTATTCGCGAACGACGATTTTGTTCGAAAAACCGACGCTGTTGAAAAGGCTCGTAAGAAGCGTGGTAGCCGATGACGCGATTGCTGATAACATTCTACAGATAGAAAAGGAAAAGGAGAAAATATACAGCAATCCGGTGTCAAAATTAACATCGCACAACATGATGCTTTTATCACCTGCTTTAGAATTCATACTGGAATCTCTCACTCAACATTACGTTGGTACATCGAGTCAACCCATCACTCACAAACCTCTCGAAATGTCAGCACTTGGAGTATATTTTTCCGATGCTCTTATTATCTTGATGAAGACCTTACAACGCCAAGCAAAAATTGACTATGAAATTAAAAGTATAAGGTAAGATTGAATTCCATGCAATATTTGAAATTCAAATTTATATTCTCATAACATATTGAATACCGATTGTTTTTCATTATTCGAGACGAAAAAGCTGCTGGAAGTTGCGATTCTGAATCTCAGCTTTGTGCTCTCGTCAAAACTGATTCGAGGGCGAAGTTAGATATATAAAGTCTAAATACAAAAATCAACCTAACGTTTTTGTATGGGCTTACAGATGTTTTGCCTCACGACACCAATAACTTTTTTGTTATTACAATTGACCAGTATAGGCGAGTTTAAAATTTCCAGCGCATTCATAACAACACGATCATTAAATTTTAGCATGTACGACTAATATAAAGCGTATACCCATTAGGCCCGGGGTTGTCACGGTTTTCGGACCAACAGCCAAAAATTTTGCCCACCTAGACTGGCGGGTCATGTAAGTGGGATGTAAAAAGTTGCATTTTATGAACGATATTTACAGTGTTACAAAAATCTGTATGGAAAACAATGAGCCTCGTGCCAAAACTAAATATAATCGCAATCTCAACAAATACCATGAGCTATTTTCAGCTAAAACATCTAAATTTGGTTTCAGCTTGGTTGTGGCAGCATCAGGCGGGCCAGATTGAATCACCCAGCGGGCCGGATTTGGCCCGCGGGCCGTACTTTGCTCATGTCTGCATCAGACGCCGAATAATTCCTTTCAAAAATACGTTACGTTTGACCGTCATAAATTATATGGTTTAATTATGTTGTTAAGTTTGCGTTAAAACTTTTAAGCTCGAAAAAAATGAATTATAGCATAAAATAACGAAATATTTTACTTTCATTACCAAAACACTTCACTTTCTTTAATTGTAATACCGGAATAAGTAACTGGTATTTTGTGCAGTGTACGGTAGGTAATATAATATTATCACATCGAGGTGGACGCCTAAAAAAAAATTTCGACCTATAGAGAACATTTTCAGCAAGCACAAAATACGGTATTCAAGTAGTAACTGTACATTTTAACCCACGTACATTTGAACCCATGTATATATCCGCGGGTTCAATCTATATGCGGGTGCTAAAACCCATGGGTTGGGGTTAGTATGATTTCAAATATCCGCAAAACAAAAAAATTTTCATAGGTGCAATAGTATGCAGGTGCAATTGTTGTGGGTTCAAATGTACGTGGGTTCAAATGTACGGGAACCTATTCAAGTATCTCATAAATCACGATGTACACATAATCGTACCATTGCTTTTATCGGATTGTGAGTCAAACACAGTTTACGAGGTCATTTCAACATGACTGGAGAGATGCCGTTGGTTAAGTTGATTTTATTACACGTTTGATAATTACAATTTTAGATAACGATCTGCATATTTTCGAATTTATTGTTTAGAAAATCGCCATACCCTGGGCCTCGGATATATTTATGGGGTTGAAATTTGTGATATCAATAAAATAGTAAGCAAGTATGTACTCTATAATGCCTAAAGACAGATTAGAAATTTTGTAATTTGTTTTACAGTAATCAACAAATACTGGAAAATGTCCGTGACATGAAGTTTGCAGAAATGCCTAGATTTTCGGAAACAAATCTGCTTGAACATCCATCTTATTATCTGTACAATTACCTGGATATAACGAAGGGTAAGAATTGATGCCGTGATACACTTCGGTCCTTTTCTTAAATTTTAGTAGCAAAACTGCAAAAATACTCTCATTATCATTTGCTTCGCTCTACCATAGAACAAAATGGAGATGGCCCTACATACGTTTCTCTCTGTTTTGAATAATAATTTTCTATTTTTTGAAATGGAAAATTGTATTTAAAAATATTTTATATTTTTCTTCTGTCTACGTATTTCAAAAAAACTGATAAGACTTACTTATTTGTGAGCTATATTCTACAAGCTGTACATTATCAAGTAGAATACCAAACTTTGGTTTGTTACAATGATTCGGATTTAACGCATTTACTGTGATAAACATTGAAGCCCGTTTTAATTCAAATTTATTTGTCAATACAATTTTCTACTTCTAGTTCAAGATACATCATCACTGATGGTCCCAATGATGGATATTTATCTTTCAAAAGATGGAAGAGCTTTTGAGGTGATACATAGTCAAGTTTTTGACAGGATATATTGATTTTAGTTCTAATATTAACTTATTGATTGATACTAAACTATCTCTGACGTAATGTTTTAAAATTCGTACTACTACTTACTACTTACCCTGTTATGTGAGTTCGCCAAAGCATAGGTAATTTAGGATTTTCTGGATCTTCAATTCATACTCATTTATTTTATTATAGAAACTTTCCAAACTTGACTTCAACTTCGTTATATTATCACTGTACCGCCTTAAAAGCAGCATATATACTCGCTATTTGGACCAATTAAAAATGTGTCGATCCTTGACGGTCGGCAAATATAATATAATTGCTAAAGTCATGTTATCCAGATACCGAATGAGCAAAAGTCATCTCTTGTTCAGAATGTAGGTGTAAAATTGCCAACTGAGAAACAAAACATTGCTTCATTATATGAGCAATGAATTCGACTGAAAAAATACATCCAAGCATGTATAGAACGCTCAACGGCGAGGCTGGCTTACTCCAACAAAGCTTTCGTTATTTAGATGAAAGAAAAAGTACCTGAAGGTCTGATTTGGTCAAAGAACGGAAAACCGAAATCAGACGGTGATTGTGAAAAAGACGATTTGTTTTGTCATGTGACAACAGGAAACTTGCGTGTTGTTGATTTGTTTATTGCTATGCTCGGTATGACTGCGGCTTACATAGCTGCTTATGCAATATGGAGGTTATCAAGGTATAAAAGTAGATTGTTATTTAAGAATGAAAATTAAACTAAAAAGTTATAAAATAATAATGACGACAATTATGCGCTGACGTCTATGATTGATTAAATATGATATATTTAAAATTCATTCATATTTAAATATATTAGGTTATATTTAATTAATTATTAACTCATATCCACCTATCAATGCAAACAAATTATCGATGATTGAAGCGTAACAACTGTTTACTATTCATGCCCTGTGTGTTTGTCTTATGTATTGCAACTTTTTGTGCCATGTATAGAGTTCAAATTAAATAATGAAGTATTTCATAGCGATTCAATTTATATTTCATAGAAGAAGAAGACCCTCTTTTGACTTGGGATCAGGAAAATTATTCCTGTCACAAGAAGATTTACGACTGCTCAGGTATACAGAACTTTAGCATGCCGAATTATTTCATAACTTCAATTAGCTAGATAAAAATTTTATATAAGAATACAGGAATACAGCATAGGCATTGTCTATTATTGCATTATAAATATTATAAATTATACAACAATTTTATACACTCAACTGAATTTCAGTCCTCCAAACAATAAAACGAAATCTGGCATCGGGAGTTCATTACTGGATTATGGGTCAAATACATCCCGCATGGGAAGTGTTTGCACTTTGGGTATTGATCAAGTTCCGACAATTGCACCAGGAGAAAACATGTTAGCTACTTTAGACGTAAGTATAAAACCATATTTATTTCATAGCGTTATTGTTTCGCCACCTAATGCCTATAAAATCTCAATTACAACATAGAAAAGTGTGTAGTTTTAGTTCAAAACACTTTTATAGAGTGATCCACGAAATATACGAACTAGAATGCACTGGACAAGAAACATATTTGCCAATAAAAGCGTTAAATTCTCATCTGCACACAATAGAAATTTCTGTTAGTCAAGGAAGTTTATTTCCTTTACGATTCTTGCAAGTAATTCCGATTTGTGAAATTTAATGTGGAATTGTACAACTGACATTTTCAACTGTAATTGTTTCAACTCATGCCACAGTAGGCATCTATCAATTCTGCATAAATAAATAGAAAAAACGAATCATATCCTTATAACACAGTCAACATTTGTGAAGTTACAAAACAAAAAGAGGGAAATGTTAAAACTATTTTAATATTTTCGTTAAAAAGGGAGAAATGGTATTTGTCAAGAGACTGCAGACGAGTCAACAAGAAAACTGGAAAACGACTAAAGATGTTCTCAGAACAGTAAATATTTATGATTTTATTCAATCACTAAGTATGCCGAATAAGTAATATAATGTGATATTTGTTGGACAAGTGCTATAAAGATGGGACGCGTGTGGCAAGAGATACAAGTACAGGACAAATAATATAAGTACAAGATATACAATTATGGCACGTGGAACAAGTGCATCACGTGTCCCATCTGTGGAGCACGACATGTTTGGGACAAATAAGTTAAGTACTTCACATACTTAATAAAAACCGACTTCATTGCTCATAATAAACCGAAACACCATTATTCTTCGATGTCGAAACAGTTCCCTATTTTTCAAATTTGATTTTCAGTTATCTGGAATGAGGCACGAAAATTTGTGTTACACATATGGTATTTATCATGGTTCAGCAATACGAGGTCTTGTGATGGAATACTGTCCCAGAGGATCTTTGCAAAGACTTATTATGAATAAAGATTGTAAGCTAGATGTGACGTTTATGCTATCAATGATACATGATTTAGCCAAGGTAAGTCATATTCCATTATTATAGATTGATAGTGCAGCTGTGCGATTTTATTGATAAGTATGCTCGCTAAATTTGTAATCCCTCCGAAGATTCCGTGTGCTACAAAGACACACAATAATAATATGATGACGGAAGTGGGAACTTGGTTATCCAGCAAAAATACACGCATAGAACAGATCAAATACAGCGCTACGAAAACACGTCCGACCTGGACGCAACAAAATGGAGTCAATTTTCAGTCCCGCCACAATAGTATATGTTTGCTCATTTTCACAAAAGTGGAAAATTGCGTAAGAAATCTGCGTAACAAGACGACTATGCTATATGATATGAGAAATTGTGTATTTGAAAACTAATTTCCAGCCTTAGTTTTGTTTTATCACAGGGAATGAAATACATTCACGGAAGTAGTCTGAAATGTCATGGAAAATTGAAATCATCCAACTGTTTAGTTGATTCCAGATTTGTTTTGAAAATCACTGATTATGGAGTTAATAATATTCATAATTCCCTCGTTAAAACTCAACAAAAAGAGGAAGAGCCTGCAGGTGGGAAATTGACAACTAGATTGGATGTGCTATGGTTTGGCAGTCCTTGTGCTGTATAGGTTTGCTGATATTGCAGGTTTAAAGCTTTAGATGCCAATAGATTCCTATTGTTAAAGAAAACACCAGCTGCCAAGTTTCATCACTTAGTAATATTTTTCTTTCAAGTTTCGTTGGGATTACACTATGAAGAATTCAGACGGATGTGTAATAATGAATAGGAATGTTACCTATGTGCATACATTACATGTGTATGCATTACATTGCTGTCAATATTCGATGACAACTTAATTCAAACCGTATTTATCTGACTACATATATATGACAAGTAATGGGAATATATCGATCATTGTGTTGTCTCACGGGTATCATTTCTATGAAATGTAATATATATGTAAAAATCGATCAAGTTTAATCAATATATTCACTCAATCGACATTCCCTTGTTAATATATAATTGATAATGATTGGTTAGCGCATGTGTTAGAAACACGCCGCCCAATGCAACAGAACTTCTCCCGCACAAAGATCGTTGTTAGTTCGTATCATGCACGTTATGGATATAATCATATACACTATTACTGCCAAACTTCTTGCAGGTTCACGTATTTGGGTTAGACCACCCACAACAGCCATCAACTACAAGAAACCATGATTAATCTGCGTATTTCGCTTTCTTTCTCCGTAATAAATAAAGATTAGGATTCTTGAAAATTTGGGATTCCACCCAGTGGTGATCATTCAGTATTGGTTTTTATTGGACACGAAATGGACCTATGCATCGTTTTCTTATTATTATGTTGTTGTTGTTGTTGATATTTTTCTTTTTGTTGTTACCGCTTGAAAAAAAATCGCTTTTCTATTTAACTAATGAACCAATTGCTTTGAAAAGTTCAGTAGTTATAGATTCTATTTTTCGCCAGTAGTCTTTTATTTTTTATTTCAAAAATTTCTGTCGTCGCTAAGGTATTCGTTTTTTTGTTTGCAATGAAGTCATAAAAATTAAGAATTGCGCTCCTTGTGGCGATTTCGCCTTAGCGTTAGCGATCTTGTGGCCCGGCGAAATCGTGAACACCGCGGTACCGGTAGACTACTACAGGTGACAGGCTGCTTACCTGTACTATTTCGTGTCCATATATTTGAGCATGGCTCCCTTCTTTTTCATTATGAAGCTTTTATAAAAGTTTCGATTATATGTGCGTGAATTCCTACTAATATTATAACATTTTTGGGGCTAATACCTTATAGATTTTATAATTATGTACGTATCCATAATTGGACAAATATTTGTCTAATCGATAAATAGCGACCGTACAGCCGACATGCTAGACCAAAATACCCGTATATTTAAAAATATAAAGCTCTAATATATTTTTGCATTGTTGCAAATGTTTCATTATCAGAATTACTGTGGACAGCTCCAGAACTTCTATTAGACGAAAACAAAAGAAAAAACGGAACACAGAAAGGAGATTCTTATAGTTTTGCTATCATATGCCAGGTAGACTACATAACTGATGACAAAAATATTTGAATACTGTGGATCTCATACGCTGAATGACCACTTCACTAACTTTTCACCTGTCTTGTTCTCTACATACACGTGTTAACAATCAATTTATCTTCTTAGGAACTCTTTCTGCGTAACACACCGTATTGCACTTTAAATTTATCACCCAGTGAAATAATAAAAAGAGTCAAAGCGGCGGATCCAGTGACCAGGTAAAGTATTTGGAATGTACATATTTGGAATCAACTGAATATCTAAGTATTGCTAATATTTAATTTAAAAAAATATTTCAATCCAGCTTTCACTGAACCTTCTCATATTGTCCTATTACACGAAATTATTTATAAATCGGCCTAACTTTTCAACGACAAATACATCAATGCGCCAAGAATATATGCTGAACGTTCCCGAGATTGATGACATGCTATTGTTTGTAGATATATTTGTATTTAAATTTTACTTCGATTACAATTTTATGAAATTATAACATTTGACATAGAATTTTTCAATTTCCCAGGCCGACAATTAGTGACGAGCAGATATCTCCAGAGATGATCCGCGTCATAAAACAATGTTGGCAACAGCAACCTCAACTTCGTCTCACGTTCAGGTTTGTTGTAGATTCATTACAACTCAAATGTAGACGTTGAATGATTACACAGGTTGTTTTACCTCTGTTCGTTAGGGTTTATATTGCTAACTCTTCATGGATTCTGGTAAAATTTACTATTTTTCAGCGTCGTCAACAATGAAATGAAAAAGATGCGGAAAGGTACGAAACACAACATTGTTGAAAACATGATGAAACAATTGGAAGAATACAGTTGCAGTTTAGAGGATTTAGTTGCTGAAAGGACAGCTGAATTAGATGAAGAGAAAAAGAAAACTGAATCCTTGCTCATGAGAATGCTTCCGCCGTAAGATCATATTCCCCAAAAATGATTTTTTGAGTGCCCCCTTGTTTGCATCAGCAAGGCACATAACATTTGAGAATAGTTTATGCTATTTTTATAAATGCTTTTTCCCGATCGGTAAATTATGGGCGCATGTCCCCAATACTTAACTATTCCACCATGTACATTACAGGTGCGTCATCAAGGACACGCGCATGTTCAGTTGTCACCACAACCTTTTGATGGGTCTATTGAAATGATCCCCCTCTTTTCAACTCCATAGTGCGCATCATTGTTTTGCATAAATGAATATATTATGTTGTGTTCTTCAAAATGTCTTTCAACTCTTTTAATTAATTTGCTATAAATTAAAACACATAATGATATAAATCTTTTTCGCAGTACGGTAGCACATAAGTTGATGTCAAATGATATTGTCATCCCAGAAACATTTGAAAACTGCACAATCTACTTTAGTGATATTTGTGGATTTACTACGATATCATTAGAGAGCACACCAATGCAAGTAAGTTACGGCAACATTACATTTGATGAAGCCGTTGAACAAACATTCAAGATATCATACCTTTTGCAGGTTGTAGATTTACTGAACGATTTATACACATGTTTTGATGCGATCATCGAAACATATGATGTCTACAAAGTTGAAACAATCGGAGACGCGTACATGGTGTCTTCCGGAATTCCAAAGGTTAGTAAAGCGAATAGCATTTTGAATTCATCTTATTAGGTACGATGTTAATGTTCTCAACAGTATTGAGTTTATATTAGAAACATTCAGCAGTAGGCCTAGATAAATAGCGCAACACAAGTAAATAAATATTATTCAGATCAAATGCAATAAACTCCTATTAATCCAAAACAGATTATTAATATATACGAAACGTTTAAATTAATATTCCCTAGAATAAATCATAGCTTCTTAATATACAATTGTTTGTTTTTCTTTTTTCGACTTTATGCAATAGCGATACAAAAAACCTATCATAATCTTTGTTCAGCGCATCGGTGATAAGCACGCACCTGAAGCTGCTTTGATGGCATTAGACATCATGAGTGCAACTGCAGCATTCAAAATTCGACACATGCCGGATACTGTCTTGAGAATTCGTATTGGGCTTCATTCAGGTACTATATATTAGGTTACCATTACCATTTGCTTTTATGAATATTACCTCAAGGCAAAGTTTCGAAATCACACTCGAAAATCAGGAGAAAATTCACTAAAAAGGTGAGTTGCAAATAATATATGACATACCGGTAAAACATAAATCATTTTCCCAAACGCACACTAGATGTCCCTTTCGGAAATAGCTCTCATCTAACATTAATTTGACATATCCATCCTAGTTGAATATTATAATGACAAAATGTTCAAAATTTCAGATGACTTTTATCAGAATAAGTTCAGGACGACGCAGAAGTTTTAAAATAACATGTCTCTAATTCTTTTTCTATAGGCAAAGCAGTAGCAGGCGTTGTGGGTTTGACGATGCCTCGTTATTGCTTGTTTGGAGACACAATTAACACTGCTTCTAGATTGGAGAGTACTGGAATACGTAAGTAATTATTGTCAACAATATTGATACACAAAGCAAAAACTTCAAGAAAATATATTGTCTTGTATCAAATAGAGCCGTTGATGACACTATGACTTCATATTTTTGTATTGTGGTACCATAATTTGTTGTTATTTTGTATTTCAATGCCCTCTCAAATACAATTGTGTGTGTATAGATTCATCCACTAGACATTTTTTAATTTATATTCTACAAATATCATTTTCATTTTTGTTTATAAATACATACTTTATCTCACAGCAAGCCGAATACATGTGAGCGATTCTACCCGTAATATGTTGGTGAAAAGTGATCTGGGATTTAAACTTGAAGAACGTGGGACTATTGAACTGAAGGTAACAGCCCTATTTATCAATATGACACAGGGACAGGGCTACGATAAATTTTTCTGTTATTTCACGATGGTGGCCAAAAATTACAGCAGCCAAACAGTACATTACAAAATAGTAAATTTCCGTGGGGTGAGAATATATATTCCCTAATGCATTTTTCACGTAATGTTTCGTCTTACAGAGGTTGTGACGTCAGAGTGTCCATCTGGTTGTATAATAAGCGAATGATTATTATATTAGTCATAGTTAATCATACCCAAAACACATCAAAGATCGGATAAGATAACTGTTTTCAAGCAACATATATATCTGAGGTATTGCAGTCAACTTTCATACCATATTGGTGCATTTCACTTCTATCGATGTTTACAATCACCATATAGGGTCGAGGAATGATGACGACATATTGGTTACATGGTGCAGACGGTTGGAATAAAAGTCTTCCAACTCCTGGTGATGTTGATGGCCCTTCGCATGGAATCAAATTAGTAAAGGTAAATATTAGAAACGTCATATTTTCTTATGTAGTTTCCGTGGAAGTCAAAACACCCTATTCATTTTTATATTATATAATGTAACAGTGGAGAGCGTTGTTTTCATTTAAACCAGAAACCAAACCTATAATAAATATTATATTACTTCCTGGACATTCCTCAGAGCTTCATATTCCCTCTTTTGATTTCGGAACTTTCGGAACGGACCTCACTGTCACAAAGTAATCTGGCGGCCTTTGAGCGTTGGATCTAAATTTGTTGGCGCTTCATGCTAAATGTCTCGGGTTCAAATCCCATGATCACCAACCGATAAGGGATAGATCGGGTAGGCAATTTCAAATAAAAAGACTCCGGTCCTTCGGAAAATTGCAGCACCTGTGGTTGGCTGGCTGATTTTACAGATTGATGTTTAGATTGAGGGTGCGGAAATAGGGCCAATAAAAAAACGGAAATAAGTGACTGGAAGCATTTAGCGCCCTAGCGTCTATACCTAAAGACCATTTGTTTTAAATTTCTTCAATTTATCTTCTAGGTTTCATAGTGACTTACTTTTCTCTAACGATATGAATGCCTTGTGTTTGACGATGTTTTAAAATTATCCAACGACTCAATAATTCTTGAGAGAAATCGATTTCAAAAATGGAAAAATTAATTCTCATCCTTTGATTTATTATGAACAATGAAACGTTTAATCGGATTAATATAATATATCCTTGTAGATAAAATCCAACCTATAGATAAATGGATTCAAAATTTTATCGAATTACCATTTCCGAATGTAAATGGATTGGCATATATCATTGTCATTGTTATTTTATGCAGCGCTATTTTGTGCGCACAAGATGTGATACAGTGTAAACGTGTGACAAACAATGAAGCAATTTACTGGAACTGTGTACGGTTGGAAAATTCAAAATAGTTTCATTCTCTAAAATTAATATAAATTTTTATTTTAACAAAATTTGTTAACTAATTTTGTTGAATAAAAAAATCAAATGCAAGAAAATATCAGTAATACTACTTATTTACTAATTTGTAAGTCTATACTTTACTTTTTCTTCACAGAACGCTGTGTCAGCAACAGCCATAGCCGCAAATTTAAAGAATCAATCGTCACTTGAGTCAAATTCAAAACAAGGAGAAAAAAGGTTATTACGTAGTGCTGCCATTTGTGTTAATTTTTCAACTTGTTATTTTTACTGTCCCAAAACGACGCAAGCCGCATATGGTAGTTGGCACGCTTCCAAACTGATTTTCTGCATTGCAAAATTTGTACAATTGTATATGAGATGTGTGCAGTTCATAAAAGCGACGAGAAGCAGTCAGGGATCTTTCAACGAATGCATAGAATAGAACTTTAATATTTTCCCGGGGAAGGCGAAAGCCGGTTAGGCGGCCTAATCATATGGCGTACCAGGGTCTCTCATCCAGTTATCAGTCCCTAGTGGGTATGGTATTAGTTAGCCAGCTATTTGCTTCAGGTGCATGGAATGATGATTTCTATGTTTCTTCGGGTAAAATTTAGAAAAAAATTAACATTCATCTATTTATGACGAAACTGGATTATCGAGCAGTTTCATGTATCAATGAAATCAGATTCTTTCACAACGTATATGGAACGTCTTGAATTTGAATTAGAATAAATATTTTCTGTTATTACTCAAAATAAATTTCATTCGTATTGAATTACGACTCATATTTCGTCGATAATGCACCCTAATCAAACCCCCTCCATAACAGGTCGTTTTCGGTATTTCAACTTGTTTTGATAAAATTACATCATTTCAGCAATTTCGTTGATACCGTTAATAAGTTTCAATGGGCGTCATTTGTCGTATCATGACAGATTTTCGGATTTCAAACTTACCTGCAATTCGTTATCTGTTTTTACAGGACATCGGTATCGTCAAAAGCAAGTAAGTTAATGGGTGCTACTGTCAAGGACGAAAAACCAGGGAAATCAAATAACAACAACAGTAATAATACCTTCAGTAGAGATACCATAGGATCTGGAGTAAACGGATTCCATTGGATAGTAGCAAATCAAAAAAGGGACCAAATGATTTCAACGGCAAAAACGAAGCTCTTCAAAAGAACGAGGGTCTCAAATATAAATCCTATCTGAAACATGTTATTTTCTCCCTCGTATAGAATACTGTTCTCTCATATTGCGTGTAGAATGATGCGATCTGTGTAAGGCCACAGATCGAGAGTGGCTGCTCCGTGTGTTTTGTGATGATTATATCAAGTGCTGCACAATGATACAACGTATAATATTTACCTGCATGTTACATAGATTTACATCTTATAAAAATAAATATAAGCGATATTCTATCATAATATAAATACTTATATATATGATAATATGTGTCCTAATAAGACTAACAGTAGAGTCACATTAGTATCGTAAATGCTAATTCAAGTTTATCTACATTGCAAACGTGTAAGAATTAATGAGGGAAGTCCTATCGGATTGTTACGAGTTTATTTGAAGAGAAATCAAAGAATTTACTCGTCGTATTCCTGTCATTTGCTGATATCGTTGTTATAAGATGCATAAAAGTCAGATCTTCGGTTGATGGGGTTGATATTAGATAGGTTGATGAATAGATATCAAGGATACTTGTTAATATATATATATTCGTTTTTTTGGCAAATCATCTGTCTGCGTACAAAAGGACAAATCTTAATCCTTCAAATTTAGTTGACTTCTGCATACTTTCCTTGGATTCGCTAAATTTACAAGTCTCAGAAACTTTATTGGTCACTATTTACTGCGACAACCAAAAATTTGAAATCCATTGAATGCCGATATTTTAAAAAGCCAGATAGAGAGAGACTTTATTTTTCGACAAAAAATAATCGAAATTGCCTCTTTGTGCTCATACCAACGATTTCAGATTGTCAATTATGTTATTGAATTATTGTTCATTTGGCACCAAGGTGATTGATGGATCACCGAATAGAGGCGGCTAATCTCGATGGAATAAAAATGTGGACGATGGAATAAAACCTGTCCCCTTCAATTGAAAAAAAAAGGAAAATGGCTTGAACTATATTTGAGTACTAAAATTACACATCGATTGGTCCATTCGTTGTCGTCAAAACGAACGATAGGTTCATTTCGTGTGTGTAACAAGCAGATATGCATACTATACAAATAGTCGTTTACGTTTTGCAAAATATTATCATTCAAATATCGGATTATTTTGGATTGATTTGAAAGATAGGACCATCGAATATAAAATGGTTCAAATCACAGGCACAATATTTATAACCTTTGTTTGATGATAGATAACATTATGCAGCAACATTTTCACCAGCCAATTAATATTTTATACTTTCAGTTAATCCTAGATTGGTCGTGATACTAATGGCGCGAATATTCAGCGTAAGCTTTCTACGTAAAAGAATCTATTTTTGGACTGATTCCGATAATGCCGCCATTTTTTGCTCGTTTCTGATCACGCGCGCATAACAATACTCAATCAAGACCGCGTTTAAACAACCAAACGACCAAAGGGAATTACTACGACCAAAGGGAATTAGTGATCTTGTATATCAAACCCCGGTTTACAATAATTACTGAGGTCGATTTGAATCGTTGAACAGTCGACAATTTGGGGATGATGAGAGGCTTCAAGTGAGGGTTTGTGCAGAATTCAATTAGTTTGGTTAGAATCTTGCAATGGTGCAAGTGCATCGGGGTTATAGTTGAGGAAGCTACTTTAACGACAAAAATGCAATATAAACAAAACGCGCTATTTAACGTCAAGTACGTAGTGCGATTTAAACTCGATTTTATTTTCCATATCCTCTCTTCGAACGTGACTAACCGTAAAGGAAACCATTAAAAGTAGCCATTCAGTAACCAGCATTGGTGATGTGGTTGATAGTATATGCTCGTACCCAAAACTTCAATCCAAGTTTATAAAATATAGTCATTAACTAATATTTATATTGAAGAAATTTGATGGTATTTATTATTTATGCTATTAGTCAATGACTACTCAGAAATATATAAAAATAGCCAAAACGTTTTCAAAGCCAAATTACTATGAATCTTGTAATTATCCGCATACTGATATTTATAGAATACATAAGAGTTTAGTGTTTACGTCTTGAAGCGATAAAATAAATTAATACGTTAGACTAGTCAAATTAAGACGAGTTCGCGGGTAAATTCGTATTGAAATCGTGGCAGACTATTTACAAATACTGTAAGTTTCTACACGACCCACTTATGCAATCCAGGACCGGTCTTGGGTCACTACAACCTATACGCCAATAGTGGGGTCTCACACTTCCATAAGCCTAGTCTATTGCATGGTACGGTGCAAACACTTCCGATTTTCGTGTAGAGAGGTTGCAGAACCGCTACAAATGATTTTTATTAATTATTTAGAGGTCATCGCACAAAATTTCGAGGTGAAAAACGAATCACATAGAGCCCACAGAAAGTTTTGAAATTAATAAATCGAAATTAAAAGCAATCGGTGCAGTAGTTAATAAAAAAAAGAATTTTTTTAAAACAACAAAAAGCAAGTTACCAACGAGAACAACAACATAATAACAAAATGATCTATAGGCACACCCTCTCTGTACACTGCAATCTTAATTGAACACGTAGTGGACATAACGATTGTTTTGTTGTTCTTGTTCATTGACACGTTTTGAAGAAATCGCTTTTCTCCTTGATTACTGGACCAATTTCTTTGAAATTTTTAGTGGTTAAAGATAGAATTTTTCTCCAGCATGCTATTACTTTTATTTATTTCAAAATTTTCTATGAAATTCAAGAGATTCGTTTTTTGTGTGCCAATTGGAAATCACAATGAAAAATAGCGACACTTTGTGGCGATAGCGTCGAAGAAGCGAATGTGATTCTTGCTCGCCAAGAGTTGTTGCGAACTGCGCGGTATGTTAGTCGTTGGCGATACCCATACCTGATGTTATAATACAGTAGTGTTTCGGATCTGGTGTTACTGCAGTTGCAAGTCGGATCATCTTGCAATTTCAATTAAAGCTGGCACAAGGTAGGAACTGGTGAAGATAGTACATTTTCGGTACCGTAACACAGCACGGTGACTTACTATTGCACAAATTCAATTGTATACTAACGTATTTGTTTATTTTGATAACAGAAAATGAATTGAGTTTGTATATGCCAAAGAAGAACCATTCCACGATCGAATACCGGTATCAGGCTTACAGGTACGGTATGGTACTGATGAGTTTAGGGATCGGTACCATACCACAGTGAATTACGCTCTCATCTTTTTGTTACAGTTTCTCAGTGAATAACGAAAGTATGCTAGGGAAGAGGCATTACAACTTCTCCGATAATTTTTAACATGTGACGTAGGTAAGTGCCAGAGCATATCAAGTTCATTTAGATGTTTACTCTTACTGCATTTGCAGTCAAATTAACTTGTTCCATTATATTTGTACGCTTGCACAGCTGCTATGTTTATGCTCATCTTTTTGCTTTTTTTCATTACAGTTCTGCGGTAAACAACATCAATATGCCAATAAAGAAGCATTACAATGTTTCCAATAGTGTTCAACATGTTATGAAATATGGTGGTCGCGGTTATATTATTGCAAAAAACATTTGCTGGTTTAACAGCGTGATGCAATTATTGCATATAGCTTTCGTGTCCATATATTTGAGCATTGCTCTCTTTTGTTCATTTATTATCCTTATTTCTACCTAGACTCGTCTCCATGCAATACGTTTTGATAGTTGCAGCCGGTCATTTATGTATTTTGTGATAAACTTAGCAGTGGCGAAAAACTCAGTTTAATTTTACCATCACATTCTTAGTTAACCAAATGCGAAGTGAAGTAAACGTAAGCGAAATTGAATTGGTGAAGAAAAATTTGAGAAGGCGTAGGTAAAAGTGAGTCACATTGTATAAATTTTAAGAAATTTCAATCTAATATCTTCACGAACGGCGAATATTAAAAGACACGAATAAAGAGATGATCATTTGAAAATGAAATATATTGATACGGTTCCTCGTTATCACAGAAAAATAACAGAAACTCGTTGCAGCTATATACGTGTATATATACTAATGTTATATATATATATCGTATATACTAATACCGACAGGGGCAATTGTCGTTTGTAACGAAGACATTTTTGTACGAGAAGTTTTTTGTACGAAAAACTTTATCATAAGCAATAATCCAACAATATAATTAATTCTAGTCTAGAACGAATTTGGTGGGTGGCCCCGTGGCAGTAGTTTTTCGTTGCATGATCGATTTTGACGCAGTCTGACTTGATTATCTGGTACCACTTTGCTAGTTGATTTCACTCGTAATTAGTGCCACTTTGGTATGTGTTTATCTCATAAAGTCATTCTCATAGAAATCAGTTTTTAACCCTAACTTTAAATAATATCGCTGGGATTACACAACCGATGAGATTGCATACCAAAGTAACACCAATTAGCCAGTAATAAGTCATACAAGGACTTTATTGCAAAATTTTAACGTGCAGGAATCAACTCAAACTGCAACGTCAACAGATATCACAAATGTCAAAATAAAAACATCCCATTGCCCCCTGTTCAGCCGATGGCTGTCCAGCAGATGTCTCAAAATGTGGTGGTCTCACTTGTTCCCCTTTAGCACAATTGTCAACCTTTGCTACACATTTCGCACTGTTATGGGTCGAGGTAGATTTATATCGTGATTGAAGTAAGCATATTAGGTGAAACGCTTGATATGTTATGGGTTAGGATAGATGAACACGTGGGACGAGTGGAACACGAAATTTTTTATAAACACCCGTTGTCAAGAAACGGCTTTATCCTTTCCCCATTTCCGGTGCCAATAACGTCGACATAATTTCCACTTGGTGCAAAACACAAGCAAATGGAAGATTGATGTTTGAGTGCACTGCCCAACAAACATAAAGTTTTCACATCTTTAATTAACATCAGTCAGGATGTTCGTGATTGATGAAGTTATTATATGGAAAATTATAAAAAATCGTTTTCAAAATAGATGAATATATTTGTACGACGTGATAAGCATAGATTGCAATACACAGAAATATCGTTTAGGCCAAAATTACATAATTAAAGCGGTAAGTAACCCCATGTACGTTCCACAACGATACAAAAGTCACGTAGAGAGTAATGTGTTGCAGATCACGTATGCTAAATAAACTTTACCGCAAATTAGAACAAAAACTAAATATCCGCTGGCTTCCAATTATATGCCTTCATTGCGGTTAGTTGGTAATATTTGAGAAAATTATCTTTGCGTCAAACATGAATTGAATATAATCACAACGCCTTAAAGCGTAATTACGGTATACCCATACATGGTACTATATTATGGTATTTTTAACATGCCCTAATTCTTTTCCCACGTGTTCTGATATAGAATATTTCGCGTAATCGCGTCGTTCCAGGTAGTATAAATATTGTAAGGATAAGTAAAAAGTTCAGATGTGTATTGTCGGTTGTGTATTACAACCGACAATACACATTGTAGGCCAACTTATTAAATATAGAGTTGGCCTACAAGTGATAGGACCGTAACGTTTTTTTTTATACGTAAAGCATTACTGATAAGGCCCGAGTGATATGAGGTGATGGCTTGTGCGGAATGCACGGACTTGTGATTGAAGTCGATCCGAACTCGATGTTTCTAAACTACGATACCAGCACGCCGAGCAGCAGCACGTAAACCACTAATTCATTCAGTTAATTTGTAAATTTCTTACTTTAATCAACTATAATTTAACTTCGTAAGTTTCTAATTTTAAGATGGACGCATTATGGTAAAACAATTATATATTAGTTAAAACTGAAATTTTCCGAATTATTTACGTAAACTGCCGTATTTATTTATACTGTTTGTATTACTATATGAATCGACCAAACAGTAGAAAAAAAGTTTTATGCAAATTAGGTCAAAACTAAGCTCTGTACGCCTTGTTCGTTTTGCATCAGATAATAACTCATTCTGAGAAAAACTTTTGTTATACACAGCGAACGATTCAAACATTAAAATTTTGTAAAGATCATTATCTCCATTCAAACATATCTGTCACATATACCAGATAACAGTCAGGGGTAGGGAATCTGGAATTAGATATGCGTATAGATACAGGTCACACAAATTTCTTGATGGAAATATCTTGAGCAAAATACATTCCAACTATTAATTTGAGCATCTCACGAATTGTTCCGTTCCAAATGTGCATTCGGGTCGGAGTGTGTATGTCATTACCGCATTCACGGGAACTATCGAAAGCTCGCATCCTTGATTTGCTGAGTGCATTTCATGCAACAATAAATAATATTATTAAATATTTCAAAGCATATTTTTGAGGTAAATCCGGTTCGTGTAGACACAGTGGGTAAGCTATTTTTTGTGTTTTTCTAGAAATTTAGATTACAAAGCAAATACCGATGTTTTGAAACTCCTATTTTGTCTTATATATGCTTGCAAAAATTAAAAAGGTATCGGTATCATGTCAATACCATGAACATTAGCATATTTGTTTCAAATATAAATGAAAACGATGATCGAGGCTTGTTGCAATAGATAAACAATGTTTTCTATAGATTCTTAAATTTTCCCCCTGACATTCTTATTTTTTTACAAATACATTATTACGACGGCAACCTAATGCGGGAAATTGATTTCTGCGAAGCAATGCGTAGGCTGTTCTAAGATTATTTCGTTGTTTTGATTGTACGCTTTACTTGTTTATCCTGAAACTGTTCCAGAAATATTTTGGGTATTATACAGCCTATGTTAATTAGGTTTCTATTTGCAGAAAGCTGCTTATGTTTGCATTGCAGGTTATATAACCACTACCATTAATAATGTCATGTAAAGATTAGAGCAATGACGTTCGTAAATGCACAATTTTTTTAATCTGTGTTAGTATATTATGAAGCAAGCGCGGAAATGGGTTTATTGTGTTGTTCACATCTCCGAAAAGCTTTGGTTTGTACTAATTATAAGTTGTACGAGAAATCCACTTGTTTTTGAAACCTACATTTCTAATAAATTTCGCAATGTTCCAAGATTTTTTTTTTTATAAGAAATTAGAAGATTATTTGTGGAGTGCTGCGTGAGTCAGAAAACGTTTTAAAATCGAGGTCAGCTGATCAAGATTCAATGTTATTTTTGTAGTGTTATTAACATTAAGTAATCTCAGCTATTTTACGATGAAGTTGTGTTTAATATGTCACGAATAAAAAGAAAGTTAGCGAATTTCTCTCAAGTTCTTTGAAGAAAAATGGCCGCTTGCGTGTGAGTGATTGTCCAGTTCTAGAAATTGTTAAAATCATAATAAAGCGAATTACGCCTGTGATACAAAGAATTGCGTCATAATAAGAGCACGTCGCTCTTTAATACTTATCAAATAAGCATTTATGTCCCATGCTTGGTGATCTAGTGTTCATAGACTTTTTGATTACATTGATTTTATATTGCACTTGGTTTTTCAAATGTACGTACAAAACGACAGACAATTAGCTTGATGTTGTATGGGCCAATCATGTTATTATGTTTTCGAAAGGTGATATCAATTTAACGAGTTCGTTGTTCAAGGGCTTCAAACACCATCCGGTCGAAATTCTACCAATTAAAAGCGGATATAATAGTCTTAATTAGCATTTAGCCTGATCGCGGACATCTCCTATACTACGTAATTTGGACATGAAATTTCAGAGAAAATTTGAGAAAAAGTCAGGCCAAGTGGCGTCAGTCGCGCCAATTTCTCACAGGTAGCCTTCACAGTTTTAGCCGTTGATATTAATTACTTTCGCTTCAAAAAACAGGTTGTTAGCGACCGCATTACTAAATGACCACGGCCGGACTACGTTAATACGAATTACAAAGATTAAAAAACAAAACAAAAAAGTTCAGGAATTTTAGTCTGATATGGCCGCTGGCAGAAGATCTTCCTAATCGCATCGGCGATTGAAGCTTAATTCGTGTTAACGTCTAACGTATCAAATTTTCTACGCCCGTACGCGGCTTTTGGGTATCTCTGCTGTATCTTGCATAATGGTGATAATCTCAGGTTTTTTTTAATCCTTCGTTTAACGCAGCACTTAGTTCAGTTTGTCAAAGATTTGTGTTTGTAAATAGTGTAATCAAATTATAAAATTCAATGGTTAAAGCAATAGATAATGCAGCACGGATATTAGTCGGTAAATTCGTACCTTCAAAAGCGATGCCTGATAAGAAGTCCGGAAAAAGAGCAACAAAAACCCCCAAAATAAGGTAAGAAACATGCTAAATTACCTTAAAAATGAAAAAGAAAGCATCCAAGCTTGTTGCAAAGTTTGTCCCACACAGATAAGAGCATTGGAACACAACTTTATTAATTGAAGCTGATAGTTTATTGCTTATACACTTTTTATTTATAATAGCATTCGAGTTGCTCTTCTTTTGAATATCATATGCCTACATGCAACAATAGGGAATACCCATTTAAAATAAATTTGAAAGCGTAACAAGAAAAATTATAATTTTCGAAATGACTCTCAAAAAATTCTTGCTGAACATCAATATCTATGGTGGCAGTGGTAAACTGCTTGGGGATTGATTGATGAAAAGTTTGCACTTCTGCGATTGCTGGTCTTTAATAATTAATTTAGAACGATATGTACGAATATACCAATTTATTTTTCGATATAACACATGATGGAATATTATAAAAAATGTCATCTAATGCGCAAAATTAAATTCCTTGGATGTTGAGACCAAGCGGTGATCACATACAAATGAAAGTGGGTATGCCTCACCGTTGCATAAACAACATTACGATAGATGCCGCTGGCAATGTAAAGATGTAACTGGCAGTTAAATTTCTAATATCTACGTTGGTGTGATACCAATTACTTATGTTTTAACTGCTTAAATGCTCTTTGTATACTGAGAATATGGCAAGTCCATTGTTCATTTCAAATAAACTTCCTCTTCGTCATTCTGACTGTAAAAAGGTGTATTGATATTCAAATGAAATCGAAAATCTTTTTTTATAATCTTCAAAAATGGTTGTTTAGCGTTTTGGTTTGTTCCGGAAAAAAGATTGTAAAACACTCCATACTATTAATACCCCAATCCACCACTTCTAGTATATGCCATTATCAGTATAAAATGAGCGTGCACGCTCTCTGATAGCTTACATTCAGTACATGGGATACCCAGAATCGATCGAACAAATATATCATAATGAACAATAATATTTGATCTCCTTATTCTAAATATACGATATAGAAAGACCTTTCCATATATTTGTGTGATCAGAGCTAGATTATTCAAATGGTGGTACACCGTTTTCTGGTACACTCTTATCTTGAGAACAAGAATGTGATTATACGATTAATTAGTATGTTATCTTTCTAAAATGGAGGAATTGGAATCTATTAGTATCTTTGAAAAGAAAGCCAAAGTTCCTAAGATGTTTCTCTGCACATCTAATACTGCAAATATCATGTTTGTCTTTTGTTTCTTAATTGAAATTATAATTCCTCAAAGCAAGATCAGAATAACAACCTCATATTTAAAGAATGGATGATTGAAATTCGTTTGAAATTAATCAGAAAATTCCTCCAAATGGACCAAGAGCATAATCAGTGAAAGTGGCATTGCCTGAAATAAAAACCCAAACTGAATTTAATTTTGATCGCGATCATTTAATGAAATGGCGATCCATTCAATAAAGCCTATAGTAGGCTCCTCGTGAGTAAAATAATTTATGTTGTGTTTTATAATAAAAAAATCAATATTTCATCAATTTTGTCGCTCATTCCTTTTGGTTGTAATTGAGATCGACTAATCTAGCTAAATGAGAAAAACTTCCCCAAAATCAATTTTTGGTTTTTAATTTCAGTAACAAAATCTGTCTTCATTTATTAGAAGTTTATTAAATTCGGCAATTGTTAGTAAAGATACCTATTTATTGTACAAATCAAGGAAGGTCAAAATAAATCTACACTGAGTACTAAATTTCTGTCAAATTATTAGAAATGAACATAATTTTAATGATCGTGTAGTACATCGAGTTCATCTGGAACCGGATATGTCTAACACTGTAATCCAAACTAATTACAGAATTGATTTCTAATTTTAGGCTTTATTCTACTCAAATGAGGCTAAAAATATACTGAAAGATAAATCACGTCGCCAGTAAACTACCAGAATTTTTACTTGAGTCAAACGACAAATAGCCAGCTGATTCGTGTAAAGCGTTTGTACTCAATCATAGTTGACGATTACAATATGATACCCTTGTTTTACATCACAAACTATTCCATTTAACCGTAATAGTATTCAGTATATATATGACCGTGAATAGCTGCAAGTCGTTTATGGCTAATGCTTTAAACAAAACTTGTAGTAACAACAGACCAAGGCTAAAATATGTTCATGGATACGAAAGTCGCGCACCGGTACTGGTAAGAGCTCACCTGGACATCCAGTTTGCTGAAATGATTAACGGACCAGCGTGACAGAAGAAAGTGTTCCATACGCACAAAAATGGTGTTCCTGTGAATTAAAATGAAAATTTGAAATAGATCGTTTCATTAATCGCAGAGACAGTGATTTTATCAACATCCACAACAACAATTTAGCGAAACACCACCAGATACGTTACATATACATACTTCGTGTCAACCAATACCAGCAGTATTAACTCAGCAACTTTCTTTTTCAGCAGTCCCGTACATCATTGGTTGGCTCATCTAAAACATTCAACATCTTCAGAATCGCACAACCTTCTTCAGCATTCAGGTTTAATGAAAAACAGGACAAAATACAGCATCGTACATATAGTCAGGAATTTACCAAAGGTTTTGATAATAGGAAATAAAAATTACACCAAGTTTGCAACGAGATTAAATTCGTAAGTGTTATTCTCAGTTTCTGAACTTTATTTTCTATCTGTAAGCAATGTAGGTACTCCCTCAGTGTGTGTGCCAGATTGGGGTTAGACTCTAATTTTATTCTGATTTTCCTTATTTTAGTTCTCATACGTGTTCGGGGTCTGGCTGTGTTAGCCAAGCCCATAGGTTTCAGTCCCTTTACACAACTTGATGTAAAGTAGGCAAACAAAATTAGTTACCTCCACATTGGTACACACACTTCTGGAGCGACGCAATGTAGGCTAATACTTTCAGTTTTTGCGCGTGTTTCGAATTGTTATTTATGAAGTGTTTGGACAATATAAGCGTGCAAGACACGAACAGGATAACACAAATCCATAGCCAACAATGAAACAGTCATTTTGAACAAGTCGATGTAATGACGAAAATTTAATTGCATGTGAATATACCTATAACCCAAACTCTTGCAAACTAACTAATGTACGATTCAGTATACTTTTCGACCAAACTGTAGTTGTAATTAGTAATTTGACTTCTTTTATTACATGTAGGCTACTACTTATAGGGTGGAGTATTGGGTCGTTGTGCATAAAAATTGCTAGTGAATAAATTCTTCGAGCTGTTTACTGCCTTACTCAGAGAAATAGTACTGTCAAAATTAGGGCAATAATATAATATTTCAGTAGTAAATAACTTCATCTGCATTGAAAACTACTAAACTAGAATATTTCGATTTCTTTTATATTAATTAGGTGAAAATCAGTTTCGTATACAGCGTTGAGCATAAATGTATAATTTGTTTCTTGTTCAAAATATTTGAATGGCATGTTTTAAAACAGGGATTAATTAGATTCGGCTAATTTTCTGGAAACAATTCTTTGCGAATTGCTCAAGGCAAATTGCCCGAAACTTACGCTTTGTTAAATCTCATTGTAAAATAGTCTATCGCCTAAGTATAAGTGTAATAACTGATTCCGTACTACTGATAATATGGTGTGCATTTTATATAGAACACCTGGATCAGGACTATTTTTAAAGCCCGTTCAAGCTTATTGCATGACATTTCAACGAGGAATTGTTTATAAACATTCTAATGCCACAGTCTAAACTTCATAAAACAATAGGTTTTGAAAGGGTTGCTCATATCATGTTAATGAAAACTCACATACTAGTAAAGAAAATTCCAAATAAAACATATAACAAGCAATCCAGTGGAAAACGTGATATCTGTCCAAGACCATTATGTTGATTCTTTTATTGCAATGTAACTTGTCAAATCTATTTTTTTTGAAATTTCCTTTATCAAAACTATCTTCTCTATAAATGAGAAAAAATGGATATGATTGCTATGGTCGCCTCGAACGTTCTTTCCTACCAAAGATTTATACGAACATCACCTACTCAGCTACGAATCGGCAAATCCGTAGAACACATCGTCTTCTTATAGCCCCAATATTTATCATTTGTTTAATCAAATTAGGCTAGAATAATATTTCTTATCTGGATTAATTTATTTTTCAGAATGCTGTTATTCAGCAATGGTGCAGATGTTTACACTCATCTGCTGCGTATGCAGAAACTAGTTTTGCAATGTCACGATCATTTCGTCGAATACATGAAGCCCTATATTTCACATAATATATTAAATCGTCTTCAAGATGTGAGTGTCATTTTCATATATTTTCATTGACAAAGGAAAATAAATTCTTCTGATTTTCTTTTATAAGTTTATTTACTAGTAACGGGGACATAAATATGGTTCAGTTGCATTTAATTTTGTCACAAAGTGTGATGATATTCATTTCAGAATTATCTGATCTTCCTATTTCAAACACTATAAACCGGAACTTGGAATTTATAAAAAATAAACAACACTTTTGTTATATTTTAAAATTATGTGTTTGTATCATCAACTTTCCGTTTCAATTTAAAAATGATAGTCCGCAATCGTGATCGAATATATAATAAAAAAAATTCAGTGATTTTACTTCGAAACTGTAATGTATAGCTACAGAAGACTAAATTCGGAGCTGTCACGAAGAAATATGCTGCTAAATTTGAATAAGCTGCAATCAACGTTCTAATCATCATGCAGACTTGTACTGGAAATCCATTCAGCTTATTCTATATACTGTTCTTATTTTGGAATACTGTTTAGTTACAGTTGAATTATACCATTTTTGCTGAAACTGCGTTTACACGAATTTATGTTTTCGTAAACAAATAATCCTCAAACCTTCGGTATAATTATAAAAATAGTAATAACAATAACAGTCATTGTTTATATTTACGCAAACACTAAGCGCGAGTTTACCATTGCACTGTTTATCGCTGACGCCCCGTAAGAACAACTTATTAAACCAAACAAAAATAAACATAGGGACATGTATTAAAAAGTTTCTGTTCTTATATTAAATTTATCTTTTTTCATTTATGGTTCGTATTCTGCACTTAACCTCGCGACGCATAGTAATAAATTTGAATCTGAGTTTGTGAAAGTGATACGGATAATCGCCTTGAATTGACTTTTAGAAATTAGGTGATATGTATTTGTATCATTTGATCTACATCTTCGCTCTGGACGAGAAACTGATAATGTTTTCACTTGGAAACTTTAGTCTATCTTGAATTACTGGAAAGCATAACATTTTAAATTCTTGACATGGAATGGGTGGTTTTACGATGTGTCCATGCAACCCATGACATCAAATTTGTAATATTTAGATCGGATATATAAAACCAATCAGCATTCATTTTTTTTTAGTTTAGGCGGCGTTCGTAAAATGTACTCGAATTCACGATTCTGCTCATTTTTGTATGAGTTTAGTACAATACGTCTGCCAAAAAGAAAAGAAAAAACATTGAAGTATAAATAACTTGAGCAACTCAATAAGAGTTTTGAAATTAGCTTAACACGCATATTGCTATTACGTTTTTGCTGTTATATTTACGGGAAAAGGCTATGAAAATAATAAATACGTTAATCATCGTCTTTATCTGTTTTCAAAGCTTACTGTTGTCATATAATATTGTGGCGAAGAAACAATATACTATATGATTGTGAGGGGGTGGTACCAATATGCAATATGTCTTGCATTTGTACTTATTTTAGGCTCTGAAAACTGAAATGTTAATCCGCAGGCAGTAACAATACTTTTAAATCTGCAACTATTTCAACACTAACTTCACTTAGTGATTGAATGTTAGGACGTAAATGCATTTCTATAATTAAGATTAATGCGGATTCATACATAGGCTAGATTTTCGACCGCGCTGTAGGAAAAAACTGAAACTTTACCCGCATAGTAACATTCGACCGCATTTGTCACAGATGTCTTCATTCATCCAAGGAACAATTGATGATATTGACAGTTCTTCTGATTATGTCGACACTCGAACGCAGAGAATAGTTTCGGATGATGCAAATCTAATATTAAAGAAACATTATTCTGATGTTGAAAATATTAAACGACTCTTTGAAATGATGGTGACAGAGATTTACAAGGTATGATACATAAGGCTTTTTGAATATTGGATAAATCTAGCGAAATTTTATCAATATTATAAAGAAATTTAGCTACCTGACCATCCACTTGAGGGCGAATATGTCTGAGTCCCGATACCGAATTTGCTTAATAACTACCAATGTTATTGTAAGTTAGTAGAATGATGGGTGTCATATAACCTCTTAACAAAAGCTCCAAGCATGGACAATTTTGTGTGAAGTTTGTAGTACAATGATAAAGTGAGAAAAGCCTGGCGTCGCCCTATGTCATTCTTATCCCTTAATATACTCGCCAGTACATTCAGAAACAGATACCTTATAAACCAATAATTTATCAGGGCACAGATTCTATGTAGAACAGCAAGACGAAACATTATTCCGTATCTAAGAACACACATAGATTCGCTCAATCAGAGTTTAGATTATTATTGAATCATATCCCAATTAGGACGAAACCATTGTCAAATATGAACGCTTCATTTCTGCATTAGGGTTTCACATCGATGTTACAGTATTATATCTACGATTATATATATAACAAATAAACTGCTAATTGTAAATTCATGACAATCTCAATAAGTGTTAGTGGATATATGGATGCGCCTTACTAGACTTTTGCCTTCACTGTGTGTGGTCATGGCGTACAAACAGGTTACTTTGGTTGCCTTTAAATGATTTGCATAAAAATACAATAGGTTCGATTGATAGTTCTTCGTGTAAAATTAATTATCCGCATAAGAATATATAGAAATAGCAAGAGTTTTTTTTTGTGCATTGGTGTTATTTCTTACATTATGTTTTAATTTAAAGGTCATCATACAATTTATGGAAAACTGCACGAGTGATTTATTGAAGGACACAATCATGCGAGAAATATTGCGTCATTTAGCTGTGGCATCACAAGGAGAGTTTGTTGCTACGTGCTTAAAACAAGTAAGCAAACAAGTATGATTTTACAGATAACGCTGTGTATGTACTACGTTTAGGGACAAATGGACCAAATTTATATTATCGGGAGACCCCGATTCGGCCCCGAAAACTGTGTAACGGTCTCTAAGTTAGAAATACGTTCAGGAGATACGTGTCAGGCGAAGTCACACATTAGATTGGATAGTTTTGATGACAAAAGTAATTAGCTATGTTATCTAGCTCTAGCAGATTGATTTGATAAATAGAGAGCTACGAAAAACCGACCCACCCTAACGGCATCCAGACCAAATTCATGATGCAGCGAGGTCACGCCGGCAGAGTTACTCGGGGTCGTCAAAAATAATGAAATCTATTACATTAGAACATACACTTGTCGAAATCATTGTCCCGACTCCACATCCAGCTGTACACGGCCCAAGATCAACAAATAAAACAATAAAAAAGAAAGAAATCTAGTACCCATCACCCACCCAACGTACTTCGGTACTTGAATAATCAGGCCTTCACTCTTCACGATTTACTTTCCCAATTATTTGAGCTGGAGTTGAATTTACACAGGTTTTATTCTTATTTGCAGGCAAATGCCGTACCACTGTTCTTGAAGAATCCAAAAGAAATATTTTTCAGGGGATTACTAATCATATGTCGGTTAGATTATGATTTATCTATTTCAATGTCATCAAATGCTGATCAATTGTGCCGGGTGGTTGACGACACAAAGTGAGTGTGTTTAAATAATACGTGGAATTAGAATTACTTTTTACAAATGCCCTCCTTCCATTATTTGGTATTTGGTAACCTAATCTATGGATTCACAAGATAAGATGTGCATTTCTTAAATACCTAAATAAGATAGGATATATATATATATATATAAACAAAAGAGTAATGCTCAATGGACACGAATGACCATTGACGAAGTAGCGTAGGATCAAATCGCGGAACAACCACACGGTGTGCTATTTTTTATTCGGATAACGTCATGGTACAAAACGTCAAAGTAAAAAAGAATTTCCCCGCAGAATATTTAAAATAAATAAAAGTAATAGCCCTATAGTGACAACAACAATCGTTAACCATTTTTCAAAGCAATTGGTCCAGTAGTTAAAAAGGACGGCGTTTTTTTCACAACAGCAACAAGAAGGATCCCAAGAATAGAATTTAACAAAACGATCCATAGGTCCAGTTCGTGTCCAACAAGTGAGCGAATCTCAAAAATATGTATACAAAGGTCATATTACTAACCGTTCAATATCACTGACAAGTATAACAGTTGCTTCTGTGGCCTATACGTAAATAAGTTGTTTGATCATTCAGGTTCTTCAAATCAAAATTACGAAGCAAATCCGCCACCGTATAAATTTCCGTCGTTGCAGGCCTGGTCGTAGATGAGCCCCAGTTTGTCGGAAAGTGAAGGGCGCACTAGTCTGACGTATTGTTACATGGTGGCGTAATAGGCGCAATATTTGTGATGAAATATCGAGCACATTAGTCCAAAGCAGGGGTTCCCAAACCGCGGCCCGCGGGCCAACTCCGGCCCGCGTAACGATTTAAAATGGCCCGCCGAGCTTAAGTGAAACAATGAAATAGATTTTGTTTCTACCTTTTTACAATCTAGAAACCGCCAATTATGCCGGTATCTCAATTATACGTACCGTATTAGGATTACATAGGGCAGCAGGATAGGATAGGATTTACATATTTATCCCGGGGGAGAGGAAAGCCGATAAGACGGCTTATCCATATGGCGAACCACGGCCTCTTCGTCCGGTTACCATTCCAAGTCGGGTATGGGATTAGTTTTACTGTATTGTTTGTTTTCGGAAGCATGGACAAGGTGGTGAAGGAAGCCGTAACCGACCAGCGGTTACGTGAACCACCCAACGACGGCGAGGAGTCCAGCAATCCTCTCGCACATAACCATCCCTGCATGAGATTCGAACCTGCGAACCCACGCAGAGTAGTTAGAGGTGCGGTGGCGAGCGTATTCCTAACGCTTAGCCCGTTGAGCCACGTCGGTAACTTAGTTATCAGCCGTTCAAGAAAGGTCAATAGAGATGTCAAATAATATACAAGACTCTGAAAACAGATGTTACTCCGATAAATGGCATCGTTCGTACTTCTGTATTGAAAAGAATCACACTTCAGCGATTTGTCCACTTTGCCGACGAACTATTCAAGTTATAAAACAATACGACATAAAGCGCCATTATGAATCAAACAAACATGTTTAAAAAAATGTCAAATGTGAATCCACAGAACCCCAGCTAAACCGTTGCACACTTTCGGGCACTACACTCTTCCGGCCCGCGAACACCCTTTCGATTCTAATTTTGGCCCACGGCCAATAAAGTTTGGGAACCCCTGGTCCAAAGAGAACATTTCGTTTTTTCACAACAACAGCAACAACAAAAAGACCACCACCAAAAACAACAGAAATTTAGCAAAATTATTTTTTCATATGTACATTTCGTTCCCATTGTACCACAATTACATGTACATAACCATATATATACTTCAATTTGTTGGGGCCAAGGAACCATTCACGTTACCAAATTACAATTTTGAATTAACTCATGTTACAAATGGCTGGAAAGGTTATAATATTTGTTGTTATTTTTGTTGACAGTTAATATATTAAATTACAATCATACTAAACCAAATCGAGAATCGTCATCGACTGTATTGCTGTAGCAAATTTGCAACTACGGACTCGTTAGAATACAGAACGTTTAGTGTTGCAATACTATATATATTATTTGCAGAGATGAAGAAGCAAGAAGTCTGGCATTAGAAATCCTAAGTATGATTGTTAGTCGTGCTTCTAAGATTTTGAATGTCGAAAAATCGAACGGAAAAATTGGTGTGCATGATATGAAACCTAAAATTGATAAGTTGCTTTCTGACAAATTATCAGCAATAGCATCTCTGGCGACGAGACAATTATTCCGTGTTTCTTCAATAAATTCAACTCAGGTAAAGGCGTCCTTGGTTTTCAGTTTTGGTTTAAAATTCTCAGTAAATATTTACATCAGTATTAAACATTTTAAGGCATACAAGCTTGTCATCATTTATACATATATACTTTTCCTATTTTGTGTTACGCCCACTCTGGAAAGGTGTGGGAATTTTCAAACAAGAACGCAAAAATACTAGAGTGCACTTTGGTTATGCATGTTGGTGGTTGTTATATACGTATAAAACATTGGAATTTAGTCTATTTGTCTGCCATTTTACTACTTCATTACATCTAAACTGATATTAAAAACAAATCATATTTATTATTCAAATTTTTTGTAATGATTTGCAATTTCAGGTGTATCATTCAACGTTAAAAATTATTTGCGGAATTTGGAGAATTTCAAACAAGCAAACGAATGGGACAAACGGCATTCATCAAATATTATCAAAAACAGTAGAACCTCTCATAGCAAGATTAGACGACTTAGAAGAAAAGGTAATGATGTTGATAATGAATTAAGTGATTGATAGCGAAGTAGCAACGACAGGGTTCCTTGTTTTTGAAAAGATTCAGCCTATCATACTATATGACGCCATCAATAAATATATATTATAGTTCAAGCTTGCACAACTCAATTGAACGAAAGGGCCGCAATATAAAAAAAGAATAGTTCACGGGCCACAAGTTATCATTATTACCGAATAACTTCTATATCATGACATATTTTTCATAATAAAAGCGTATAAACAATGTAACACATGATCAATTCCTCCCAACAAGCTTGTAATGAGATATATATGTTGCATCTTTTGCTGACAAGCTCCTCATAAATATTCATTTAATGTTTTTTTACCGGTATTTATTTTTCAAATTTTAATTTTTGTTTTCGGTCATTGCGATTTTGTTAATAAATTTTGGAACCAAACGTTACTACGGATGTTTCTCCGAGCATCGATTTCCTTGTTTATTTCCGTAACAATGACCAATCAGCAAATTTAAAGACGACAAATGCAATTTTTGCAGCCGCTCAGACACTTCGCTCGATCAGACAGATATCTTAGCATTGCTTCGTTTTGGCGGTTTTTCGTGGTATTTCTCAGTTTTTGGTTGTGTTTCCGAAACTTAGTTGTGAATGCAGTAATTTAATTGTTACTATGTCTTCCGATCATCTTTAGTTTAACTGCAATAATCAAAAATTAGTCCCGGAAAAACTGTAATAGACTAGGATAAAATCAGCTGTCAGTATCTGTAAGCGGGACGTGGTTGTATATTTGGTGCTCCGGTATTATGTGCACCGAGATGGCGCACAACCTGAACATAGTATGTGTACCCTCCAGGTTGCGCGCCATCTTGGTGCACATAGTACGGGGGCGCCGTATATATATTTTAACAAAAATGATGGTTTTGAGCATTTAAATCGGGTTGTAAGTGCTAACTATCCAAAACATTTGCAAAATTCTTGCAATAGTAAAGTATAAGGAGAATTTTTTCGGGGTCAATGGTCGAGGAATCATCCATTCTACCATACAATTGTCCCTTATAGCGCACGAGATATTATGATATAACAAACAATCAAAGTACCAAAATGGCACCTCGGATATTATTTGAATTAGTAATTTGAACATTTAAATTAATTTATTCAAAATTGCCTTATAAATGTTCTATCGCTTGCATCGCTTTCGCACCGATCGCTTATATTTTTGTACGCATAAGTATTTTTTTCACCAGTAATTTCACCTCGCGTGCCGCATAAAAAGCTTCGCGGGCCGTAGGCTATGTTGTACAGGCCTCGATAGCTTTTATCCGATCATCAGGGATGTAGCCTACATTTCAGATCCTGGTATTTATGATTTGTGTGTTGCAGCGGATTGTTGATCTCATCCCGATCGGCGAATAATTACTATGCACGCGTTTTCTTGTTTATCCGAATGCGGATCTATGCACTCTATTTCATTGAAGCGCTCACTGTATTAATCAGTCGTTATTAGTCACATCTGTATAAAAACTCCTGCCGAATTCAGTCCAAAAACTAAACTTAGTCAGGCGGGATATCGATTTAAGTTGGATGATTATTTTATTCTAGGATGCCAAGACTAGACATCTTACATTGATTGTAATAGCTATGCTGGCGCGACACCGAGTTTCTCAAGAAAAATTGGCGAAAAAATTCGTCATTCAAAGAATTCTCCAAGTACGTATTATGATTTAATTTCCTAAAACTATTTGGGATATGTATTGTATTTCTTTGATATTGTGAGTAGTAGATCTCCCATTAAACACGTTTGCTGTTTTATCGCCCGCCTTTCGCTAACACGAATTGTTGCTACATTACCGTAATTAGATAGCCCACACATCACCCTAACGAGGCAAATGTCCAGTTTGTAAGCTAACTGTAACAAATATTGTTTTCTTGCAAATCTATCTTCTCGATATTTGGTGGGGCGTATCAGCAAAAAAGCAAATCGGAATGGAGTATCAACAACCAGACATTTAGCAGAAAAATATATAGGTGTTTTTAAAATACTAACTATTTGAAGTTTTAAGCATAAAACAATCACCTATTTCAGATTATGGAAGATGTCAATTACAAGAGGACGAACTTCAATAACAAACAACCATATTCTTCATCCGGTTATGTTTCAAGCACGGACACAACTTGCTCCACAAGTTGTGAATCCTTGGTGAAACCTTTCGCTTCCAAACGTAAAAAACAAGTTACTTTTGCATCGGATTGTACGCTGGCTTCAACCTTACTACGCCCAGATGAGGTTGCACCATCAATAAACAATGAAATAAAAGGATCTTTACCTGATTTAATAAATCCAACTATCAACATACCAAGCTCATTAAAAAACAGAGAATGTGATGCACTACAAAGGTAAGCATCCATACCACTATTTGGCAGCATGCTCTTATTTTACTTTGACTTGGTCAATAAAAACTTGGAGGTGAAGGTAATTAAACGTTTCTATCCTCGTAGTTCATTATTCTTCATCAACGTTTGAATTTCGTTTTCAGTTATACTGTGATCTAAATTGTTTGTATCCACTTCATCCTTTTTTCAATTTTAGAAAAACTGTATCCGAATCTGATACGCAGTACGATCGATTCATTCTTCACAATTGTGCGATAGCGTTAGTGCGAATTTGTTTGAATCACAATTCATCTTATTTTTTGGATTCTGGAGGAATTGAAGTCATAACAAAAATCTTGAAAACGGAAGACTTGGGAGAATCAATATTGCCATATCTGGTAAATAGAGAAGCTAAAATTCAACTTATGAATATAGCAACCGTATTAATATTAGAGGCCGCTGACATGCTATCCTTTTCCCTGAAAGAAGAATAACATACACGAGTAACAGAATAGCAAAGCTCAAATATATGGACACGACAGACCAATAACTAACAGCAGTAGCCTACCATTGCTCACGTGATTACACTGAAACGTGGTCCGCAAAAAAAAAAAAACGAAAAGCAGTCGTGGCGTAGGCGCTAATAAAAAACAAAATTTTGGGTGAAATATAGGATCTCGTAGGACTCGGAGGCAAGTTAAAAAATAAGATTAATAAAATCAATGGCCTTCTACGACTTTGACCTTCGAGTACTCAAAATTTGGAATTGATACTCCTCAGCAACAACAGTAAAACAAAACGATCAACATAGCAATAAAATCTCCCGTAGGCCGTAACCCAAATAAATATCAACAAGCAATATTGATTTTTTCTAATCCATCCCTTATGTATACATATATATATATATACATTAAAAATTGGCAATTTTTGATTTCGAAAGATTTCGTACGACTGGAATTGAAAACAAGTTTCCAGACTTAAATATATATATATATATATATAATTTGGTTTCAGGTGTGCTTGCGTGACATTGGGAATAATAAAGAGGACATCACGTCACAAGATGGGTCAACAATGGACGACGACATTTCGCGATCGGGGTCCATTATTGATTGATTTCCAAATAATGACTTGTATGAATTGTTTTACACACGATGGCCTACAAATCGGAAACACTACCTAAATTTACTAATAACATTTCTTCAATAAAGTGTTCCTCCATTTTTTTAAGGATACCAGTAAATTAATTTTTTTTTAAAGAAAAATAAATATGGATACACGGTAAGCGTGACTATATGATTCTGTACTTAATATGATCAAGATTACAAAACAAGTAGCTTAGAGCCCTAGAACTTATAGATAGAGTAATGAAATATTCGTTCTCTTCATTAAATGATACTAGTGTGCCAAAATCTAAACTTTAAATCTTTAAAAGTTTATCGCAAATGTGTGATTTCATCGCAGCGAGATCGGCAAAGCCCTTCTCTGCTTAACCAAGTCGGTTTTCCATTGCTTCACCAAAATATGCAGAAATGGACTTTTACTGCTAAGAGCCTCAAAGTAATAAACTTGTTATGAGAAATCATCAAAACCCTTATTACACAAACTGGGTCAGATCTTCTCCATCGTCCACATATATATCTGCCGATTACCTGGTTTGCTATTTCAGCATATGACCTAAGGACCAGATGAGAAACTTATGGTGGTGCATTCTTGAGCAGTATGTTATCAGAGGTCATTCAACTGGCGATTGGGGTCATGTAGCCACCCTCCAAAATAACCTCAAAAAAAGACATAGATGATAGTGCATCTCTCCGTTTGAGTGCAATTATAAATGCACATGCCCAATTTGCGATACCAATACGAGCTAACGAACTATCCATCGCGCCCATATTGCTTTACTTCACCGACTTTCGGACCATAGAATATAGATGATACAAGTAGTTGAGGTTGTTGCATATAATTGTTAGTATTACGAGATATGTTAAAACAACAACTAATAGATATGCATAATAGTAATATGTTTACAGTAAGATGCAGATGACAAACATGAGCAGATATTTAGAGCATATCTATGGGAAAATATTGAGTGGTCATAGTTAGGAAGTATTTGAAATCAATAATTGAGTTTAAAAAATAATTGAGTATCAAACCATAACCTAATTCAAGCTATATTGTATCAACGCGATGCTATCGTTATTTCGTAGTATTATATTGCTACAGATGAAAAGTAATGAAAAGTAAATAATTTCCTTTACAAAAAGTGCACAGATGGCAGTGATATAGTTGATCCTAATATAAAATTTGTACTACTGATAAACTTAGCCATAGAGTTACTTAGTCAGTATGAAAGTTAGGTAGGGTATGAATTAAAATAAAAACACTGTAACAATTTGATACAGAAAGGAACTAACAGAGAAATGAAATATTTTTTGCACTGTTAGAAAATTTGAAAATAGTAATAAAAAGCGAACACCTAACTCTTTGCTTTGATGCCCATAGGTTGAAAAAAATAAATTGGTTGCTATGTATCTATGTACTGTTGAAATACCAAATTCCTTTGGTAATCATGTCCATACAACTTATATTACATTGCTACATGAGTTCAATAAGATAGGTTGGAAGATATTTGTAAAAAAAAAACTTTTTGAAAACAAGTAGATTTTTTTTCAACTGTTTCATTCATACTTAAGTTCCACATAACATATAAGTAGTATGGCAAACTTAAAATAATATAATACAAAACTATGAGACAAATAGGTAAAAGGAGTTGTTGTGAAGCAACATAAAAATGAAAAACGGCTGTGGGGGAAAATGTTAGAATATTTTATAATAATGTATTCTAGCAGTTCTGGAATAGAGGTATAAAAAAAGAAAAAATTTAACAGACAATCGAATGTTAAAATCAGTAAATATTACATCAAATCACTACCATATATAATATATTGTAATAAGCAAGTTGATTTACAAAACATTTGGAAGCACAAAAATATTACCTAGATATAGTTTCTGTGTATAAATCTCATCTCGTTAAATTTATTTCCAATATTAACACCAGCACTACCTTGATTGTGTTATCATAAATATTAAGATTCTTTAGGATAAATATACTGCATAAAACTTTAACACAAATATTTGAACTCTTTGAAAAGTCTTATTACAGACTTTCATAAATATAAATACATAGCATCATCGTTTTAACTTGTATTATTATACAACATATACATTCAAAATCTATAGAAGTTGGAAGCGTTTTATTTAGTCCGTTGTGAATTACCTTAACTTCGAAAATCTACCAAATTACAAGCACAACAGACATCTAGACTGGCTGATACAACCAAATATTGTCATTACATTAAAGATACAGCATAATACAAACTTGATGAATACTCAACAATGGGCAATGTGGAGTTTTTGGCCTCTTAAACAAAACTGCTACTGTCTGTGTATGATATTTGTGTATTAAATACGCAATTGAACAAATTGAAGCGTAATAGGTCGATTCCCTTTAACAACATGATTCAAAGATGGTCCCATATTCTTATATCTGTACTTGGTCTTTGATCCTAACTCTAATAAAGTATTAGTCCTACATAAGAGAAGTTTAGATTGGTCTCTTCACTCTCTTGTGATGTTTTGTTTCTTGCTTGGAGGCAGATCAGAGTTAATTCCACCATAAATATGATTATGAAGTGGAAATTGAAGTCAAATCAAACGGCATTATTTCGTTGCAATTGTGCAATTCTATCTTGTACTGAAGAAGATGGTTTCCCAGGAACTGATGGTTTGTTTGTAACATCTGGTGCTCTACGATATGAAACTGGAGGTACGATTGGCTAAAATGGTGAACATATTGTATAAATTGATATATAAATTATGAAATAGCAGCATCAATGAGCATAACATAAAATTAATGAGAAATTGAGAGTCATAAAAATTGAGGAGAAAAAAATTGGGATATTCTCATTTGAATTCAGAAGAATATGTTGGAAAAAATATGGAAAATCAATCATTCGGTCATTGTCATCTCTGATATTGTCAATGGCTCTTGATAATATTAAAGCCGTGTTAATTATAACACGCCATTGTGTTATTTATAAAATTAAAAAGCATCCAATTTTTGAGCCCACCAGATATGAAACAATAGTGTTCAAACTTAGCAGATGATACATACTTTTTGTGGCATCTGTGGTTTGGCTGGAGCAGGTGGTGGAGCAGGTCGAGCTGGTGTTCTTGGAGAGGGTTTAGCTGGTGGTGGAGGACGGGGTGGGTTATAATGAGGTGGAGATGTTGGTGGTTTTTCAATAGTGACATTTGGATAACTAGGCCTTGAATTGTTGACAGGTTTTATGCCTGTATTTGGAGGTGCTGAATGGCTGGCAGAAGCATTTGCCTTTCTTGCTCTGGAAAAAGTCATTACAAATATCATTAATAAACAAATTGAATATTTAATCAAAACTTATGCAAATTAAAAATTATTCTGATTAAATGTGGTCATTTGTTAATGATTCATTTTCAGATGAATTAAGAATTTAAACTATTAAGATAACGAAAATCACACATATCAACAGAAATGGCATGTATCCAATAAATTTCGCAAACATAAGGTTTCAATTCATACAAAGTATATTTGCCACCAAATGATACCAATTCCGTCAGCACATGAGTGAATGAAGTCCAGAGAAATTTTTTTTCTCTCAAGCTATTCAGCACATATCCATTTTGTGAATTAATTAACCAAGTAAGAATCTTTAAATGAAATTAGTATCCTAATAAGAACTTCTTAAAGAAGGTCAATTGATTTAAGATATGTTTATGACCCAAAACTGTTTTTCAATAACTATAATTTAGGACTAAATAAACTATATGCTCATGGACATCTTTAGCTATGGCAACACCTGTTCACAATGACACATTGTTAAAGAGTGATTAAAATAAAAATAAAGAGGGTGGAATCCAACCCTGAGAATTGAAAATAATCTACCTAAGTATGATCGCGATGTGTTTCATGGTACAATCATTTAATATGAACATGCATAAATGAATAATCGTCAATGGCACATATAGATAAGGAATAAAAAAAAACAATTACAATGAGTAAATTGAAACACCCTTTCTTTTGCAGAAAATATTAGCATGAAACACAAGATTGCACATAATATAGATATACTCCGTTAAAATAACGTGTAAGGGACCAACGACCGCCAGAGTTGGTCAATGATGGGTTTTCAAACGTTATATTCACCATTCCACCCAGGATGTAATGTAGAACCAAGAAGACCGCCCCCCCTCAAAAAAAATTCATAGATTCAAATACAGAGAAACCTAATCTAACTTATGTCAATATACGGTTAAGATATGTAAAGAAAATGGAATCACAAACCAAGTAATAAATAGGATATTTGAATACAAACTCGAAAGCACCTTTATATGATTATTTTACACAAACAGAAAAATCACCCAAGCTAATAAAAATGCATAGGCCTACTCTTTATCTCTAAAATAATGATCCATTTAGATTTATTTAATTACTCCATAGATTAGTGTAACTAGCAAGTGATTAGGAATCATTGTGTTATGATTGCATCTAACATTCATTGGTTGTTATTGTGAGATAAGTATGATTATTCATTACGAATGAATACCGGTAGATAATTAATATCAGGATTGGCTATACCTATATCTGTGCAGTACAGAGCATCCAAATTTATTGATGATTTTTGTACATTTGCCAAGATGAAATACCGGGAATGAATGGTACAATGTATCATTGTTTATAATCGGCTTAACAATAAAAGGGCTAACTGTTTGTTGTTTTTATTATGTTATATTGCCTGAGGCTGGACATGGACTGGTCATTAGGCCAGGAATCGCCATTAAAATCAATAGCAATAATAATAAATTGCCAGTTGGCACCAATTTTGCAGACTGACATAAAGAAGAATAAAAAAGATTTTGAATGCATTATATAAGAAGTAGCTAATGGATATATGATTGGCAATGAAACCTGTGACGACTGTATGAAGAATTTGGAAGACTTACTGTACAGAGAAGTCAGACCCTAATAAAACAGACCGCATTATGATGTGCTGCTCTCTATCATTAAATAAGTATGCAAAATGAAGAATGTTATTTATCAGCTATTCAATATTACCCAGCCCGAATACTACAGAGCATAAACATTACTAGCATGAAGCAAAATATAAGGATTACTACATGATAATTTGCACCAATCAATGTAGCAGCAACAAGCCAAGATATCCAGAACATGCAAGAACACATATCCGAGTCATGAACATACTATCAGGTTATGCTTTGACAAAAATTGTTTTTAGCATAAAAGCAAAATATGGATCACAATCATGCCAATATCGGATTTAATATGACGTAAGTTTTGAAAATCAGAATTTCACTGTTTAAAGAAGGTCCAATCAGAAATGTTAAAGCAAGATTAGAGCTCAATTCTTCCTTTATTAGAAAGAAAGTTTCTTAACATTTTTAGAATAAATAATTGCAATTGTATAGTTTTTGAAAAAATTCCGAACACTTTGTTATTCTATTTGTTTTGACATCCCTAGATACTGATAAATGTGACCCACATAAACAAATTATCTGGTAGCATAACCTGAAAGCAAATTCTGACTAGATTCTTACTCATTGTCAACAGTCCTTGGAGATGGTTTTCCTTTCCTGTAGTCTCTGTGTGAGCGTGCACATATTTATGAAGTTTAGAAAATAAATAAACAACAAAATATGCTTGAATGTGAGATGAATTTAAGTTTTCTTCATATTATGTTGTTGTTATCGTTAAAATAACATGATAAAATAACTGCACTTTAATTCAAAATCTTCATTATCATGCAAACCACAATCTTGAATACATACCTATATAAACAAAAATTCATTGTGGCACCAATGTCACAAGCCAAATAGTTTATTTTAATACTTATACAATGCAATACAATTTTAGTACCGGTACTTCTAAATTATTCCTTCCCATTCACCAACAATTTAATAATATTAACACACATTCAGTGTAAAAGGTCTATCTATAACAGCGTTTCCCAACCTTTTTTGGTCGCGGACTATTTTCTCACTGACGAAAACCTTTGCAGACTCAACGTGAGTTTATCGCAACCGTACTCTGTGTGAAGAAGTAATAAAACCAAACACAACAGAAATTTTCCAAATTTCAAAATCGGAAATGCTACGCAATTACGCCTTTGTTAAAAGGGTCAATTTCTTTAGTGTATAAAGGGCCTTTTCTGTCGCACAATATTCAATCCTTGACAACGACAAGAATTTAAAATGTGTTCCTATTTTAATTTAATTGTGTTCATGGTCACTCGCGGTTGCGTTGACTTATGACAAGATGAAAGCAATATTTCTTTTGAATGCCACGGCAATCTGCGAACATAATAATGTGAGATTTTATTGCCCGGTCATAATTAGTTTTGATATAAATTATTTGCGATCTTGCGAATCACCGTTAGAAAAATCCTACTATCTGCTATAAATTTCTAGAAAGTACAACTTGATTTAGTACTTATTAATAAAATAGTATATTAGTAAATAAAAATAAAAAATATTCATCGCCTTTCTTTAATATTGATTTAATTGTGATCCATTTACTCTGCGATTCGTATTTTTTTGAATTCGACAAATATGAGCTGTTCATACAACAGTAAAGCCAGGAGTCAGCAACATTTTGTCGCTCGCAGGCCGAAATTAAAGAATACAAGTCATTGGTGGGCCAAGCATATTTTCAGAAAGTTAAAAGCCGGGGGGTATGGCCAATGAATCACATCTTTTCATACAAATCAGAAGTTAAATTTTGAGCAGCGCCCGAAGACTGACCATTTGAATATTGAACCAATTGCACTTGGCGTTCAACTTTTCTGCGTTTTGTTGCCATTGAATGCCTAATTATAATTAAATTATAGGCTCATTCAACGAGTAATTGTGAATTATATACTTGTTGGTTTATGGTATAATTTAGTCTAAACGTGCCGCAAAATAAATTCTGTCACGTAAAGAATATAATCGTAAAAACAGCTGTTTTGTTACTATAATTCAGAGAAGCGACGCGGGCCTGATTATATTGCTCCGTGGGCCATAGGTTGCGGACCCTGCAGTAAAGCAAAGAATTCTTGGGAAATGCCCTGATACGAATACTACGCTAGCACCCGAAATTTTGCAATTTGCAAAATGTCTAAAAAAGCCTTTTTAAAAAACTCATGGTGTTTTCAGTTTTATTTTTTGTATTGCCGCTTTTCAATTTAGAAAATTTAGGTTGCCACCATTGACACCTACCAGAAAAATTTTTCCTCGAACAACAACGACTAAATCCAATCGTTTGATTAAACGACGCGCAAGTGACCTGTCACGTCATTTGTTACCAAACTTTCGAATAATAAATTGCTATTCTAATAATTGAATATTCGAATATATGCCAAGCTCTACTCATTCAGTATCCAGAAATTATTGACTCGATTAATGTTATATGAAAAAACTTGCTTTTTATGTTTTATGTAAATTCAAACGTAAATCGTGGCTGATGGTTAAGTTTCGCAAAAACGTTTGCGGTCCGCAGTGAATTTATGGCTCGTTGCGGACTCATTCAAACGCTGCGTGGACTCATTTGAGACCGCGGACTCGGGTTGGGAAACACTGATCTATAAGTACAAGTTTTCATTAGTAGAACTATAAGCAGAATCACCATGACCATCTGGGCCATACGTAAATTGAATTATCAATTACGATTTAGAGGTAAAAAGAAAGATTGGTTGCAGTTGATCAATTGATACACCAACGAGAAACAGAAAGAGAGTTACATATGTTTTATACATCATGAAAATACAAAGTCATTTCAAGCTCTACATGTTATGACAATAGTTTGTAGATGGAACGGTTGTCATGTGAACCTTTATGGAGAGTTCACACAGCGTCCTCACATTTTCATCCAACTTAAATTTTAAACCAGTGTCTCGCGAAAAAGAAAGTAGTTATAGTAGCATTAGCAAGACTGCTCTGAGTAAATCAAGATGAAAATAAAAAGTGGAGTAAAAACATTGCCATCAGAATCACCACGAAGAGCAGAAAATTTAGTGAAAAAGTTATATACAAATATGTTGATAGAAAGCTAACTGCATTTGATCATTTCAATATTACGATATACTGAAAATATATATTATATGAAGATTTAGTATCAGTTTTCGCGGATTATACAAAAATCAACTAAAATGATCGATCTATGATGAAAACACTTTGCCAAGTGAGCAAGTTATTTCTTACAGATATAAATCACTGATTGTAACGCGAAACAGTGAGAAAGACATTTTTATTTCAATTTTTATTCGCCTTCCGCAAGCATGTTCATTAGATAAATTCTAATAATTTATCAATATCATTTTAAAATAGCAGCATCAGCAATGTATCAAGCTCTAAAGCACAGTCAAGCATATCTATTATGTCACCCATACATTGGCATTTGCCTCTATCGCGGAAAAATTGATTCCTTGATAAAAATTCTGCTACGTTAAAAATTACAAAGGCAGTCAATGATTACAAACCTGTTCTTTCTCCAAGCATAAACTTTTTGTTTCCCTCCACAATTTCTCCACCAAATGACTGCGATTATCGCTAAAATGATGGGAAGTATAACAAGGAAGAATACCAACATCAAGACGACCTGCATGTCGACTAAAAAGTTAAAAAAAAGGATTCAGACTATTTTGTAGATGAGCTGACTAATTACATGAAGGAAAAATTAACAAAACGAGATAAAATAGGGAAGCCACTTTGGGTCACATATCGACAATAAGTGTGAAAACATATTTTTTTCTATAGGTACAACATATTTATGAGCCGTTTACTCATAACAAGTTTCTGCACAAGCAGACACTGCTTGGTAATAAGCTACTATAGTTTGAAATGGCCGGAGGGCCCGACCAATATTACACCCTACCCTGGGTGAAGCGTTAGGCATGGGAAAGAAATTTAACTTGCGATGTCAATGTCATCATAGTTGAGTCTAGCGATTTAACCAAACCACCTACTTCATATAGTGGCAATTATAGCCATAATCAGCTTTAACCTTTTATTATGTCACACATAAAACATGGCCAACACCGTGGGAACAGTTGAATTAGGTACTGAAAATTGATTCATTTAATAGACCATTGACAGAACTCTATTCTATACATTCTATAGGCATTTCGAATTTAATATAAATTTCCCCTAACATTGAGTAAGAATGAATAGAACCAACCTCCATCAGCACATATTGGTCCACTGTCTGCACTTCCTCCGTTGCCTTTTTTCTTACAATCCGGAGGAGCCCATCCCGGTTCACAATGGCAATTTCCAAAATTGTTGCATAACTGAATATAAATATAACAGTGTCCATTGAGTTTTTTTTTTTAATTCAACTGAAAATTTATAATACTGTACACGGCTGACACATCGTGCTGCTGAGCATTACGAACAGCCTTTTCATCACACTGCTGATTACCCTGCGTGTTTGAATATTTAAATATCTTGGGAGTTTATAATAGGCTATTACATGTGAGTGGACTGCTCAACCCCTTGGAATTGTGAGGTGATTAACATAATTCCAAGTCAATATGAGTGGGAAAATAGGCATAGATTGGTTGTGGGCAATAGGGCGTGGTTTGATTAAATCTGTCTATTTTTCCACTCCTGGAATAGAGATACAAATTCTATCATAATCCTAACCAAGCAGTTGAATAACATGAACCTAATCTATTATAATATGTAAGAAATACATTTTGCTAAAATATGGTAGCATTGGCAAATTGAACTATCCTGTCTTAATTAATTTTAAGATTACTCACTCCATGTCCATTGCAATTTGATGTACAAGGCTTCAATACTCGACTAACATTTCGACAGGATCCATCAAAACATATCTAAGCAAATTAAATAAAATTATTATTATAAGAAAACACACACACAAACTTTGCTGAAGAATTATCACATCAATTAGTTAGCAAAGACATTTAATCTGACACTTCAAATTGAATTACCAGTAGTTTCAATAGATGCTGTTCTAGACTAGAGCATAGATTCTCAAAGTGCTCCGTACGGAGCCCCAGGGCCCCGCGAGAGAAACCCAGGGGCTCCGCGAGCTATTCGATTACTTTTCAAAATACTGACTTGGCTAATTTTGTAACTGTTCAATAAAGCTTTGATAAAATTTGACAACAATATAGCTTCGAAATAAGGCAAAAAGGCGAAATCAAAAATTGACATAATTTATAAGCTGGAGCGCAGCCAGGATTCTTAAGAGGGGGGTTCGAAATTGGAATCGGAAATTTCCGCGCAACATTCTTCGCGATTAGAAAAAAACGGATAACGAGGTTTTTGTTGCGTAAAATATCCAATTCATGACCGATGCAAGCAATAAAAGTGTCTTGTCGTAATAATTTAATTGTGCTCATCGTTACTCACGTTTGATTCGAGAGTACTATTAGGATTACTAAAATGAAAGAATACTATTCTAAAATAATATAAAATAAACTGCCGTTTAAGAAATCAAAAGGTCTGGGCAAAATACGAGAGATTGAAATTCATTTAATTGCATGCGATGACTATAATATGGTAACATGTTTTTCTCATTGAATTCATAATTCCAGAGAAAAAAAAGCAATTATCGTTGTCATTGTGGAACAATACATGTATATGCCGAAGGAATTTTTTGATTTAGCGAGAATAAACACCGGCGTAAAGATGTTTAAAAACACGCCATGCTGGCGAAAACAATGGGCGATTGTAACAAAATGCAATCGCGCACGTTATTAGAGAGTCTTCCGAAAATGTCAAAAGGGGAAAGATTCGACCCCTAATTTATTAATATGTTTGTCAAGTGTCAAATTCACAACTTTAGTATATATATATCATTTATCTTTGAAATTCAAATTCATTTATGACTTGTATTAACCCCATTAAAAAAGGTTTAGCATTTAAATTAAGTAAAGTACTTTTACCTCACTCATGAATATTAATCGGAAAGTAACAATTTTAACATTTCTTTTGAGTCTCCGTGAATAATAGTCAACCTTTTCAAGGGCTCCGCAACACCAAAAGTTTGAGAACCCCTGGACTAGAGGTTAGTATATAATATCTAACTGTTACCAGACTTTTTACGAATTACAAATTGATACTTTAAAGATTTTCCATGAGCTTATGTTTTTGTTTACACTAATCATTACTGTTATGTTATCATTTCATTTTATGCTCTACTGGTGTATAGCATAATAAAATACTGATCTTGCAGATGTGGAAGGGTGATGTCCAAAGCATGTGCTCTGTTTGTTTGCAGTATTCACTTTAATATTAATCATTTGTTCGACAACACAGATTTCGACTGAGGTTTTAATCACCGAGGTTTTAATAGGTGTGGTGTTAAGTTGTGGTAGTGGTGTTCTTATGTTTAATAAAGCCTAGAATCGGTATCCTGTTATCTTTCATAACAATAAATTGGGTGGGCTATACCAAACTGGAAAAATTCCAGAATCCAGTCATATACTTCATAAGCATTAGTGATTAACTGATTAACCAGACGGTATAGTGGTACCATACACAATATGAATATGTGCCAAAAAATCAGAGCAAGTTGAAGCAATATGTGCAAATTGGTCATCTTTTAGATAGGAAATCGAGAGCATACCTTTCCCTCTCCGCATTTAGTACCATCCCACACGGCACCAGCATCTCCCGCGTCAGTAGAATCATTAACAGAAGACAATGATTTACAAACTAGATCTCCTATAGTATTCCTGAAAAATATTCTATCACTGGCAATGAGCGGATAGTGCTTTCCTCCGACGCACAGCAATTTCCCACAAAGTGAATTCCTGATGATGAAGTTTAAAATTGTTATTAATGTTTAAAACTGTTTTATGTGAAAGCCATGCTATATAAAATTTATTAAATATTGGATGGAGTTACTGTAACTAGTTCATTGCCAATTATAATATAATTCTACCCACTGTGCGAACGTGTTGTGCAAAATGCGATCGCAAATTGATTCAATTATAACACAAATCTCACGCAATATAAGTCCCAAATTAATCAAAAAGAGTGATTTATTCCAAATTCTGGATGTGTATTTAAGTGATAATTGCAAAGTTTGCAATATAAAATTTCCTAACTTTTTAGTATCATTATGGGAGTCCAAAATACTATTTAATTCATACCTAATGAATGAAGATTAAAACTGAGCATTTTGCATATTATAATTTAAAAGCATTGTTTAATATTAAAAAAAAAATAGAATATCTGCATAGCTATGTATGACTCAAATTCAATGAAGGTTCAACCAGTCCTAAGAAAGCTGCTATGGTAATTGAAGCACTGGTGAAGAGGAATATGATATTAGGATAAGTCAAAAAACATTTATCAAACTTTATTAAAGTTCACACTTACTCAGGTGTGCATTTCTTGAATGTTCCGCCCTCTTTACCACAGTTACCATTGCTATCTCCCTTTTTATTTACTACTCGATAACACACATCTTCTCCACTTTTAGAATCTAAAAATATTATCAAAATTGTGACTGATGAATATTTACATGCTAGAGATGCTATCAAATTAATTATTTGATCAGGTCTTCTTACTAAATAATTAGCTACTCTGAACTCTATTAGAATGTGTTTAATGTATTCCCATAAAACAACAAATTTCAAAAAGATGACATTATTTAGACCTGATTTAAAACCAAGTAACAAACTACTTCATATAAAATTGAAATAACCCTTAGCATAATTAAGTTTCTACAACATGTTTCCTTTTGTTAATAATGATTGAACGAGAGTTGTAATATAAGTGTACAGCATCAAAGAAAAATTATTTCTGCAGTCTGTGTAGCGAACTAAAGCCTTCTATTAAAAGTGGATATTCGAATAACGATTGGGAATACAGATTCATTCTTCTTATTCCTGACAGTTTTATACACGATAATATTATCAAGTATGGGATATCTAAAATTTATGGATGTCCATTATCTAATTTCATGAAAAAAATATTTTCTCTGATGGATGCAATCACACAATTTGCCTGATTTCTACAGAGATGTTATACAAATAGGCTACACATGATGTAAAGATTTGTTGAAATAAATTTGGATGACAAATTTTTTTTTGACAAGTTGGAAATTTTTTTGAATATGGTGTCTTAAAATGCTGCGATTTCAAAAAACGACTATATTATGGATGATAATATATGAATCATGAAATATTCTTGCTTAGAATGGAATACCATATACATATACGGTAAGTCTGAATGCAAATGAAATGAATCAAAAGCACCCACATATTTTTGTGAGTTTCCCAGAATGACACAATTCTCTTGTGAGTTTCACAATCACTTTTTACATTATAGGAAGAATCTGTCATCATGACTGTGACTCATCACAGTAAATTTTTTATTGCTGAACAATGCCTGGAGTTAATTTTTATTGATGATTCATGCTTGTTCGATTATACCCAGCATGAATTATTGAAATAATAGTCAAAGCACAGATTGTAACACTTTCAGATTTCAAGTCATACGAATGTTAAATACAAAGGGATTTCAATTATGTCCTTCAACAACGTTTGCCAATATGAAATATGAAAGAGTAGAGAAATCACAGCAGTAAAAATGTTATTTCTAGAAGAATCGTGCCTTTTTAGAACGTTTTTCAGATTGTTTATAGTGGGTAAATAGTGCACCAAATATACAGACAAAATATTTTTCAAATTATTTGACTTGATGTGTTGTCCAATAAAAGAATTGTCTAAATTTCAATATGGTGTATTATTATCAATACAGTCTAGCTTAATGTTAATGAAAAGTACGAGACTATCATAGGCCATATTTATTTATCATTTGATTTATCAGGCACATCGACTGTAGGACAACCACTTTTGCATCATTTATTCACAAATACATAAATTGAAGATAATGTTTTATGGTACACTATCGAAATCCATAATGTAAATTGAATGAAATTCTTGTTAAAAAAATTTTCTTCCATTTTCAGTAACACAGCACAATATCAAAACATTTAAATTGAAGTTGACCTGTTGCGAATTTCTTTACAGTCCTCTTTAATGAAGCTAACACATGATAAAAAGTATTTTGTTGATACTGTTACAAAGGAGTGTTGCATTATTGGCAAAATAACTTGGAATACCAATTCATAATTAAGTCAAATGACTCATTTTCCAAATTCTGAAGGTAGAAGAATTCGTTGTATTGAAACCATCTATCTATTCTATTCTTCAAAACAAAGATTTAATTCGAGACCAAGAATCGATATACCTCACATTAATATACTCTGACTGGGGAATGTCACATTTTTAAAACAAAATTAAGGTTTTTGAAAACTTTTCTATTTTCTTTTAAGCCATTCTTGTGCTTGATTTAAAGTATTCATCTGTGCATTGCATAGTCATTTATAATATAACTTCATTTTTGAGAATTTTGAATGATCGAACAAAATTTGGAAAATTTCGATCAATTCCTAAATGTTCATTATAGAATAAAACAAATATCAGACAATATCAGACTTATATTGTCTAGTTGCACCAAGTACAGTAAGCCTTATTTAACTGATATTTAAATTTTATCATATAGTGACCTTGTATGAATTGATGATAAATAAATTGACTCACATAACTATAATAAGACAAAAAGAAATTTAATAGATCTTGTCTTGTGCATAAGTTAATTACAAATGGTCATAGTTAGTCATGAAAAATAGTCAAAAAAGGATGATTACTTCAATAATTCTAATAAATAGGCAAGGATTAGTAGTATGTATCATACAACAAAATAAATACCACATAGAGTCTAGATTTAGATCTAGAACAAAAAACAATGATTTTGAATTTTTTTTTTATAAAAATCACAAGATTAGTATTGTTTGAAAAAAAAAATTATGATTACAGGATTCAATCAGAGAATAAAAATATCACTGTTCTTTATATATTGAAAATATCATCTACAGACCTGCTCCCCATATTTCCTGGCATTGCATATCATGAGTCCTACATACACCACCATAGCATATTCCTCCACCAGTATTACAATCCATTCCATCTATTTTGTGAATATTACTGGGACACTGAAATGAAGAATAAACATGATTTTTGATGCACAACGCTAAAATTTGTAAAAAATATTGCCGATAAACCAAATGAGCTCCATATAACTGCCATTTGAGAGGTCCTCGTACAACACAGTCTTTTAATACCTAAAGAATATCATAATCAATACAATTCAACAAACAATATAAAAAATGTGAAGGCGATTCAAAAAAAAATTTAAGATAATTTAAACATCTCTAAATTGCAGAGAAATAAAGCTATAAATGAATGTAGTACTAGCACTTGATTGTTGATTAAAGCTATGTGGTCTTCTCTATAACAAATGAGATAACATTGGAATCAATGAACGACATTTCAAAAAGATAAGTTTCAATTCTTTTTGGATAACAATATTTTTTCAGTACTTACATGTGCTGAAAATCCAGAACAATACTCTGCAATATCACAATCATTTTGGTTAGGTCTACACACGATACACGAAGATTTGAATTTGCAATCAGAAGTACAACACGTGCCGTCATCACACTGAGCTTCAGGATGTAACTGACAAGTTGTAGCATTGCAACATTTGCTGAAACAGAAAAGAAAATCTCCTTATGAAGCAAATATTACTACTGGTACTGGTAATTAAAAATTTAACTTCAACTACATTATTGAAATTCATTGTTAAATAGTAAATACAGATAAAAATGCTGAATATTCAGACAATACCAGAAATTTCACAAAGCACAACTTATAATATTAAATAAACTAAAATTTAAAAATTTTTTAAAATTCAATTCTAAAAATCTATTCAATGTTATTGATTTGCATAGAACCTTTTCACTTGCCCACTGACATAATTTAATTCTAAACTAACCTTTGACATTCATCAGGTAATCCACAATCACATTTTTCTCCTTTTTCCACAATTCCATTCCCACATTTGGGTCCGCCAAATAATCTACTGCTGTCTGGTACATTAAGAAGGCAATTTGCTGTTCCATAAGTATATCCTTTATGCAAGTAATCAACACTACAACTTGACCATGCATCAGGTGTCACAGACCTAAATTGGTTTCACAAAAATAGAAAAAAGAAAAAAAATCATTTATTTCTGCTATTGTGCGTTTTATTTTTTTTATAGTTTTGTTTTAGACTCTTAGTATACATTGCCCCATTCTATGTATACATTTTTGATTCACTCAGTCTATAGTTGTCTATTGTAAATAAATTACACATGACTACTTATGGATAATAACAAGAAGCATGTCAAGGCATAATCAATTATTGATAGATGATTGGATTGCGCAATGCATCACATGTTTGTTTCAACTTTTCTGACTTTATGCTTTTTCCAGTCTTGATTTCACATATCATCATGAACTGCTGTAATATCTGGTAGCGAATGACGTTTTTAATCACAAAGAATAGTAATTATTAATATTTGACTCTGTTTTCTTGTCATGAAATCAAACAGTCATGTACATAAGCCATTGGTTACGAGCAATGATATAAATTTCTGATCATAAAATTGATTAAAAATATTTTTCAAGAAATTGGACAATTGACACTTGACAAAAATTAATTTCACCTCATACCCAAAATATACAGATAACAGAAAAACAGATTAACCAATTCAATTGTTTTATTATATCAGTTTAGTATTTTGTGCAAATTCCACTGCTGACATATGGCAGAGAATTCGGTCATTCAATTTCAGTATATTGTAAGTACGGTAATAATATTATTGCTGTTTGTGAAGTCTTGTAAGAAGTAAGATGATGTAGACATACTGCGCTCCAGAAGTGTGTGTACCAATATGGAGGTAACTAATTTTGTTCGCCTGCTTTATATCAGGTTGCGGAAAGAGACTGAAGCGTATGCGCATGGGGTATATTCACTCGGCTAACACAGACAGTCCCCGAACTCGAAATAGTACTAAAATAAGGAAAATCGGAGTACAATTATGGCCTAACTCTAACCTGGTACACACGCTACGGGAGAACCGACATAACTAACCTACCGGTAAACTAGCTATATTGTTCGTCCAATCAAGGCCATCAATCACAGGCAATATAATGGATGCCATAAAAAGGTACCGGTATATCATTAATGCCATAACACATGGATTTCAAGTTATTTTTTTTTTTGGAAAAGATGGAATTTTTTAATCTTTTATGCAGCATAGCATTGCCTTTGAATGATGACGTTTTCTAGACATAACGAGGGCAGGAAGCGGATGTAATTCATTCATTTAATAACCATTAGTCACCATGCAACCCAGTTATTTTAGTGAATGATGTCAATTCCAGACTATTTCAATTTTATGATTTAATTTTATCAAATTTAAAAATGGAATTTAAATATTGAAACCAAAATTAGTTGAATTAGTTAGTTAAATTTTCAAAAAATATCAAATAAATACATATTCATATTCCATTATTTTAGTAAGATGTTTTTGAATCCTTAGTACCTTATAATTTCGATTACCTAGCATTTTTGCATTCTAGACTATGTAACTGAACAGCTAGCGGGACAAGTGCATATTATTAAAAAGGTTTAAGACAGGTCCCAGCTAATGTGAAACTAGCCATTAGAATAACATGCCCACATCCATAAAGACTATACAACCACTACATAAGTGGAATCTGGTAAAGTACTATCTCCTATACCTAGGAAATCACAATTATAAAAATAGGAGAATATGGTGACATAACCCAATTTGAAGTATAACTTCTTATTCTGCAAGTCTATTATGAGAATATATTGAACAAGATTGAATTCATGGAATGTACTTTCCAAATCAATATTCATCAAATACATTATGTCATTTTGCCTGAAGTACCATTTCATTGAACCAGAGTAGACAAATCGATGAAAAAATCCATATATGGCCAATAAAATTGGAAAGTTATATTCTATCTAAAACACACAATAAATATTGAACACTGAATTCAAGCATACAAAAAAACTTATTTTTGATAAAAAATTGCTGACGCAATCTGTAAAACTTATATAAAGGACAAAAGGGCGTGAAAAATCCATACCCTGAAGTTGGTGCCATCACACATTTGTTTCCACTACACCTACAGCCTGCAGTATCATGAGACATTCCTAAATTATGACCCATCTCGTGGGCTACCGTAGATGATGTTTGGAGGGCATTTGCTCTGTCCTGTATTACCAAAATATAAAACATGTTCCAAGTTTTTTCCTCATAACTCAAATAGGTCAGGAGCAAAAAAAACAATTTAAATCTTTATACCTCATTCACACCACCGGATCGTAATGAGCACATGGTGGATACTGTTGCCATGCCAACTGTAGTACCCACAAAACTTCCACCATAAAACAATTGTGCATTATCTGTATATGTCCATGGTGAATCGGAAGATAACGTTTGGATTCGATCCATTCTATAACTCAGGAATGCTGACAATACCTACATAATGCCAAATATAAAATAAATGTGTTTTTCATTGCAAACTAAGTGTGAATTAAATACCAACTCAATATGTGTTGCAATTACATATAATAATCAATTATTAAAATTTGAGTAAATAATTCCAGAACAAATATTTGACTAGATTCACAGTTAGTTACTTTAATGAAGTGAATTCTTGACTTCAGGACTAATTTAAAATATTATCAGTTTAAAAAAATATTATGTTAGGCAGTCAAATCTGAAATCATCTTCATGTAACTTCTCATAGCCGAGTAAACCAATTAAAAATGTTAATCATCACTTTCCAGTTTCCAGTATTATTTAATACAATCCCTGCAAATATGCATTAATTTATGCAAACTTTCGTTGAACATGAATTTTTGGGGGAAATAAATCATTCATTATAAATAAGATTAGATTATGTATTGAAATGATTGTATAAGCATTATTAAATTTACATTACGAATACCCAAAACAAAGCTTTGCCCAAGAACTCTCACACATTTTGAAACTACGATTAATAAACCCCTGACCATATCCAGAACCTTTTTACAACCTCAAATAATTTGGGCGACCTTTTAGACAAGATCAGATTTTTGGGTTACTTACCGATATTGATGATTCCCAGTTGACAAATTAGACCATTATAAAATGTTGAACCTTGAATATTGTAAAGAGTTATTAATAACGCAAGATGTAAACAAACTTACATTTTCTGGTACAGCATCACTGACTATTTTGTCTTCTTTTTCCCAAACTTCTACATGAAGAAGAACAATCCTAAGTTCCAACTTTTTATATAGAGCATCAAGGTAGTTAACAACTTCTTTTATGTGTTCATAGAGCTTTGGCCGATTACTTCCAAATTTCTTAAACTAAAAGAAAACTTTACTTGAGTATATACAAAGTATACTTGAAGAAATTCATGTATGTATGTATTCATAATTTCAATATTTACATTTTGTCCTACTTTTTATAAATAATTAAATAATCCTCAAAAAGTTTTTAATCCTAAAATGATCTGATCCGTAATTATAAAAAATAGATCAGTTTTAAGATGGAACAAGATTGTACTAAATTAGTTATCTGTTCTCATTCACAAATAGCCTAATAGTCTTATTAATTTTGAGAGTGATTTTGAATTTCTACTTTTTGCTTCACAAGTATTATTATATACATTATTCATTGTCAGTACATGCCAGATAAATATGTGTTTCACAACACATTATAATATTCTCACCAATTTATTATCAACAACGATTAACAATTCTATGAATTTTTTTTCATCAGTCGCACGTTTTAAACGAATTGGTGTTGACAAATCTTCATTGACTGTGAAAAAAAAATTTGTAAGTCTAACATTAAGCTCATTATGATCCACAATTTTTTGTTGCAAAATTGATTTCAATATGATCACATGGGCAGGAAATATTTATTTATGAATAACCCGATGAAATTTCTTTGAAATGCATATGCTTGGGGGCATAGGATTTAATTTCCCTTACGAGGTAAACAATAAAGTGAGACATTCAGTGCTAGCATAAATTACGTACCTGTCATGCCTTGCTGGAATGCTTTAAAATGTTTTGTTCCACATGAATGATTTTCTGTTTCTTGGGGCCGATACAGTGCATGCATTGAATAATGTTCATCAATTGGTGAAAATTGCAAAACGTCGTGTGGCAAAAATATGGTGCCTCTGGCGAAAACAAAATGATTTTGCTTATAATCTAATTAATTAATTTAAAAAAATTAAAACAAATCAATTTCATTTAAACAATTAGCAATACACATTGTACACACACATTATAAAAAAAACAATATCAATTTGACTTTAAGAAACTTTAAACTCCTTTATCACATCTTACCTTAGTCCATTGCAAGTGCTTGCCACAACTTGACTATTGTTCATTCCAACAATGTGACCATGATAATAACAATTATTTATTTCCTAAAATACACAGAGTACATTATGTTTGCTTCACAAACACATAAAAGTTTCCAGAATGACAAAAAAGCTGAATGCTTAGAATTCCTAGTATTTGATTTGACACCGGAATAATTTAAGAATAAAAAACAAAAATCAATGTTTAATTAAATTATTTGCAAATTTTTTTTATTGTTTTTCCAGATAATATATTGAAGCGAAATTCAAAATGTAACATTTATTTTTATTTTGAGCTAACAATTTTATTGTATAATATCACTCATATGGTATGTCGATGTTGTCTCGACTGGGAAATTTCAATAACTTAATGATATATCCTGTAACATATTAACCTTGGGGGTGAATACTTCAAATATATCTTGACCATTTTCCCCGGCGCCAAGATTTGAAGTTGAAAAACCCTGTGATATGAAACCTTCATTCAATTTCAATTTAAGATTATAATTTGTTCCATTTGCTCTGAATGATATTTCAATCTCTGGTTCATGGATTCCATGATCCTAAAAAATTAAAAAGGTGGTTAAAAATCAAACAAAATGTATTGTGTGTGTTTATTTTTTGAGAATAGAATATACAGATATGTGGATCCTACTATGTAAAATGGTAAGATACCAAGACGAAACTGTTTAAAAAATTTAACATTACCATATTATCTAAAATCATAATAAAATACTATTTAAGTCACACGGTAGTAATACTATCAGCATGATTCAAACTGAAATCTACTATTTTTTTGCATTTCTATCAAAAAAGCAGTATACGCCCATTGCAAGATAATTAAATCATTTTGTAAATTTAGATAGGTTAATAAACCGTATTTACTTACTAAATAAATGGAGAAATCAATAGGTATTAACTACAAATATTTAGTAGTTGAACAATAGTTCAATATTCAATATCGCATTTCATAAGCCACAAAATAATTACCGCAATCCCATTTCATACGACTAACGCAATTGTACAGCATGTATGAAATAAAATTTTATAATTAGTACAATAAGGACCGCTCTAATGAGTATCTTGTGTATGAAAACAATAAAATTGAATTTGTGAAAAAAATACCAGTATATAAATGTGATTAAGTATTTTCTAGCAAACTGTAGAAATCTATAATCATAATTTAAGTTTATTTCATTTAAAATTTGTCTTAAAAAACTTGTAATCAACATCATACCTTTGATAAAAGTGTAGAAAAAGTATATAAATTTGAGGTCATTGTGTTATGTGAAACTTTCACTGGTTTGAAAATGTAAAATTCATTTAAAGAATCAAGAAGGACATGACCTGTTGCTGACACTGAAAGGAAAAATTTGATTCTTAGTGATAACAAAAAAATACTGTTTCAAAAACAAAAGGTTAATGATGGTTGACACAAAGACATGAGGCACACAAACAATTTACAATAATGCTAAAGAACCGAAGATAAAAAGAAATTTCAAATCCTTGTTCAGTTCTCATTTTCTGACTATCACGAAAATATATATCTCCAATTTATAAATTAATAGAAGTTGTTTTTAGTTCTAAGTCCAGTGTAACAATTAAAAAAAAAACTAATATTTGAAGTTGACAAGCTTATCAGAGACTTAAAGTTGAAGTGCACCTTGTTGAATAATCAATTTATACTCTTATTTTAACTCATAATCTTAAGATTAATATTCCAATTAAAAAAGAGTGAAAGGCGAAGAGTCAGATTAAAAAAAAAATGGAACCCAGTAATCTCTGGATCCCATATACTAAACACAACTTACTGACTTATGGCAAATCAAAGAATTTACAAGGTTAGACTTTATTATGAAATTGATGAAAATCTAGTAAAAAAACATACCAGACAATACTTGATCGACGTGAAAACAGGTAGTATAAGCGATGATGACATATTGTAAGAATCCCATCATGTACAGTGACTAACTAAATGCAATAGGCCTAATTGAATTTTGTCACATTATCCTTATCAGTCAGTCAGTACTACTGTACTAAGGTTTGCAGAAAAAATAACTTTTAAAAATAAAAAAATGTTATGAAAGAAGATATATTTAGCCTAAAACAAATTTCAATCTGTTTGACTAATCAATTCAAACATCCTTAAATTTGTCTCGTGTAATCAAACTCAGAAACTCACTAAATTCATGAAACTCACTCATAAATGGGACATAGTTCAGCATATGGGCTCTCTGAATACAGGAAAAACAAGTACCAGCATCCAGGGATGGCCGTAACCGAATACTTGACTATTTCGAATACATTCTAAAAAGAATTTCCAAGGTGGAACTTCGAATAGTTACATTCTAAAATCTGCAATTCCACCACATATTTTATTTACTTTTCTAAAATCCATGGATATAGGAATGTGTAATAATGTTCAAATTAGACGCCTGGATAAGGTAAAAACCGCGGGTCTAGTATAGTACCACAAGTACTTCCAGTGGGCGTAGCATAACGATTTTTGCATATGTTATTCCTAACCCTCACCTGACCCTCACCATCACGTCATAGGGATTGCCAAAGTATAATTACGATCGCCCGAAATGGCATCTGCGCCGCCTAGCTAATGCCAGCGATCTCTCTCCTATCGGGATCGTTGCGCAAAGAAACGAGAGAAAAAGGTTGCTCGATTTCGGGTGATCGTCTACGCGTTTTGGACGACCATCCGCATACTTCGGTGGGCTTTATTACGCGATTGCGACGTCGGAATGACGTAATTTTTCGGGGACGTAGTCAGGTGGGGGTTAGGATTGACATATGTAAAAATTGTTGAGCCAGGCCAACAAGAAGTGGATGTGGTACTAAACTATACCAGACCCAAAACCGCGATAGGCTACTAAACAATATAGAGCTACCGGTACGGTATTTTTTACGCTGTGAATTGCAAGGAATGCAAAAATTTCCCGTTATGTTCGGTTACTATCCAGCTGTCGAAAGTGAGGCAATTAATTTCAACACAATTTGGTTTCAAATTTATTGCCGTGGGTGGCCGCAGTACTTCCTGTCAGCGCTGTATGAAATACTTTTATGTCGGCTGTAATTTATCATAGTTAACTTAATATATAAATTTGAGTTGGGTTGCGCGAGACTAACTTCCTATCTTTTCTCTATGCCTTTATGCTAGTGGATCCGTATGCGTATACTGCAAGGATACCGGTACTGTAGCTGGAATAAACATGACTATTCTATTCAATTAAAGAGTCCAGCTGCACACTTTACATTTGTGTTAGTGTGCAGCTGGACTCTTTATTTGAATAGGATAACTTAATATAGTTCGCTCACGCTTTTTTCGTCTTTGTTTATTTATCTTACACAGTTCTCTCGTTACGCTAGAATGACCCGTCATGGCATTCTCTCAAAGCAATATTGCGGCGCGTGTAGTCCTTAGTTATCTGGCTGCAGCCGATGTCTAATGTGATGGGTATGTTACATGTAGGTTATCGGACTGATATGATATCGATATATATTGTTTGGATGTATTGTTCCTTTGACAGAAATCGATTGTTTCTGCGAGCAAAACTCATTAAATAATATCTTGTGACAAATTCATTTCTGTTACCAAATTTGCAGTTATCATCGTAATACATACCACGTGCGGCAACTTTTTTAATTTATCGTCGACTAAAATACCGCCCTACACTTGACCAGGCGTGTGTCGCGCTTGGGCTATAGGAACGAATTCATTAGCGACTTGAAATCCAAGATATATGTATTTTATTGTGAGCGCAAAATAAATGTGACAAAACGCATTGTTTTGCGTTGTGCCAAGATATAGAGGACTTGCACGGGTCGCGTGACTTTGTTTACTGGACGGCAAAAAAAACAAACGTCCAGCTGGCTCCTCTCAGTTGCAAGTCGGATTATGCGTTTCCGTTTTGTTTGGCTGTTAAAAATGGTTATTTCGTATTGTACGTATAGTATAGACAAAGGAATTGGATCTTCAGTTATATTCCACTGTTTTCGAAAGATCCGGAACGTCGCGCAATGTGGATAGCATCTATTGGCAGGACTGCTTGGTGTCAAGTCCAGAATCATCTCGCTTGTGTTTCACTGTTTGCGGACAGCACTTCGTTGATGGTGAGTCATAATGTGCCGTTATCAATTTCTTTTAATATTCATAAGCTCCCTCATTTCAATGGAGAGCAGATGACAAACTACTGTTATTGGTAGGCCTAGGCTACTTGTAATCATCAATTGCCATAAGGTATTGTTTCCCTAGTTAGCAGGCGCGGCGGTGTGGCTCAACGGGCTAAGCGTTAGGAATACGCTCGCCACCGCACCTCTAACTACTCTGCGTGGGTTCGCAGGTTCGAATCCCATGCAGGGATTGTACGTGCGAGAGGATTGCTGGACTCCTCGCCGTCGTTGGGTGGTTCACGTAACCGCTGGTCGGTTACGGCTTCCTCCACCACCAAGTTCATGCTTCCGAAAACGAACAATACAGTAAATCTAATCCCATACCCGACTTGGAATGGTAACCGGACGAGAGGCCGTGGTTCGCCATATGGATAAGCCGTCTTATCGGCTTTCCTCTCCCCCGGGATAAATATGTAAATCTTATCCTATCCTATTACTAAGTGTGAAAGGTTGGATAGATAACTAAAGCTTAACACCAGTGGTCATGCAAAAAATACCCAGAATTCAATTGAATTCGCTAGGAATACGCTCGCCACCGCATCTCTGATCATCCTGGTAGTTTCACAGGCTCCAATCATATGCGGGAATAGTTATGTGCGAGAGGATTGCAGCTCCACTCCCACTGAGGGGGGTTCACATGACCGCTGATCGGTTACGACCCAGATAGCACAACTACGTCGGGACAACCATGGCCGAACGTAGTTCGAACCACCGGCCCAATAATGGCGAACAACCATGTTCCAGCGAAGATTTGGCCGCTGGGCCAACGTCGGTCCTTTCGCTGTAATGCAACGGTGGCAAACGGTCGGGCCAACGTAGGCGATACGTTGTAACACAATAGTGAAATATGGCCGGTTCAACGTGGGGGATACGTTGTAACACAATCGTGACATATGGCCGGGCCTACGTAGGTGACACGTTGTAATACAATCGTGGCATATGGTCGGGCTAAGTTAGGCGATGTGTTGTACAGACAGGGTATGGATCTATACTACATAGAAATTTCCTACTAATCTAACATTATTTATATAATAAAAAACAAAAGATAACAAAATGTCTTTATTTTACAAATATGTATACATGTAATAAATTTAATCGGAGTTCGTTGCCAGATCATCCAGAGCTGAAAAATATAAAAATTCTGTGTTAAATTGCAGTATTAGCAAATTACAGCACCAGAGTTCAAAGCCTAGTCTGAATGACTGCATCCCAACAAATTTTCAGAGTAGGAATCTTAAGCCAAGTTTCTGCAGTCGCAAATGTGTGAGTGAAGCTTACATTGACAAGACAATAATAATTGAGAAATACAGAAATTCTTGATTCCGCAAGGGGGGCGTAGACAATGTTCTGAGGGGAATATTTGTTGGAGGGAATAATGATGATTTGAGATTTTATCTGACTAAATGATGATAATTTAAAAAGTACTGTAAGGGAGCGATGATACAAATAAGTTCGAAAACCACTGTTCGCCATTATGCACCAAACGCTGGCAACATTGGATTGGCAATTTGGCACTTGACTCTATCCATAATCAGCTTGGCGATATCTCCTTAATAAATATTTTTCTATACTGTTCACTTTTGTATACAAAATCTACATTCAATTTCTTAACTGTTCACAGCTGTTTACAAAATCATTATTCAATTTGACAATCATAATGATAGAAATGAATGGTGTGGCAACTGGCAAGTACATTTTGTTTACTACCCAACTTATCTAAATTTTCTCGCCTGTTTTTATTTTATTATATCTCTGTTGTTGTTGTGTGTGTGTAACTTAATTTAATTCATGAACACGATAGGCATCTTTTTGGCAAAACCTTATATTCTTTACGCTTCAATCTTAATTAAGGTTTTGTTTTCACTCCAGATTGTCAGATTCTATTTAATCAATTTTTGTTCATTTCCCTTATGAATTATCTTAAGCTGATTTGGAGTCAAAATAATCTTATACTTATAAAATGGAAGAGGGTAGAGCAGAGAAAGATGGTGGTACAATATGATGAACATATAACATACCTTTAATAGCAGAAACTAAGGGCGTCCCACTCACTCCTTCTTATCCACCGCTTCCTGCACAGTTAAAAGAGTGGGCGAGTAAATTTGTTATAACTGAGCTCATGATTCTCCAATCCAGTCTTTCTTGGAGCAACCTCCGAGACTTGACAAATATCTTATCTGGAATGAGTAAATAAGCACAATTATAAGAATACATTTAATGAAAAGGTTTCCATCCGTTGCTCTATGTTAATTACCGCGAGTATCTACTCTAAAATATACACATATGTGTTTTGTCCACATCCCATTCGTATAAAAGTGATCAATTTTAATATTGCAATCGGATTGTATTTAGACATTTAAATAATCTTCCTTGAACACGAAGCGAAAATATGGGGCATATTGTATTTCATACATTAATTCGAAGCGCTTTATGCAGTCAAAAACAAAACGACAAAAAATAAAAGGCGCTCAATAAGATGAGACCCAGCAAAGGTATTTTCACCTATTTTACTTTCATGTTCTGTTTAGCTTTGGAATTATTTATGGAGTAATCTGCAATATTTTAACATTGTACTGAAACTGAACAAATATTCTGAATCTCAGAGATTTTTACATTGTGGTCTTCATACGATGGCATGTGTTACCGGTCAGCGAACTCTTTTAAATTAATTTTGCTTGCCCGCTGGCCGCTGGGGTAAAAAGGTTGGGAACCACTGAACTAAACAGTTAAGTACAACCACGTTACACCAATGCCCCGCGAACTTACAGTCGATTTTCATCAGAATGATTAAATAGAATAAATTGATTTTTAATGTTCTCTCATTGTGGGGTCGCAAGTAATTGTAGTCTGTGATTTTACAAAAATTGGGGTCGCGGAAAAAAAAGTTTGGTAACCACCGCCGTAAAGTGTATGTAATCAGCCTATAAAAGTATTCAACTTACGAGCCATTTTTTCATCCTTGAATGTATTCTGGATCAAAATGTAATCAGACAATGAATTTCATCAATTCCTGTATGTCCGAGTCCACACTATAATCAGTGGAAAGTTGCAGATGCCGTAGCTTGTAGCATAAGAGTTTCTACCGCCTGTCCCAACAATTTTTCCATGGACTGTTAGTTCATGTTAAATCAAGTTAGTGTTACCCAATATATAGTACATAATTGTCTTTCAGATGATAAACGAGAACGGATGGCCTATACTAATTACCAGAATATAAATTTTTCATTAATATTAATTACCGTATTTTCCAGCGAATAAGTCTACCCGGCGAATAAGACGAGGCCTGTTTTTAAGCCTAGAAAAATGGGTTTTTGCATATAACCGGCCAATAAGTCGGGGTAGTAAAATCGCATCAACATCGGGAATCTCAAATTACCATGCAATGCCTTTCGAGCGGTCGCCGCGTTTGCGCATTGGTTGAAATAGCCTATGACTTTTTTTTGTAGCGTAATATTCAATCCATATATGATAATGCAAATATGATAATCACAGCATGGAAATTTCAGATTCACAGCACGAGAATGTCGATTTATTTAAACTAACCTGATGAGGACGTGGGGGATGCTATCGCCGAAGGTATTTTATTGTCCGAATTCAACAATAAGGCGACAAAAAAATGAAAATGATCATACTCGCCTAATAAGACGACCTCCCCCAAAATCAAGCCAAAAATTTGTGTCTAGAAAAGCGACTTATTCGCCGGAAAATGAGGTATTAACCACATGATGTTGTACTAGGTAATTATTCAACCGATATATTTAGCTATTGTGCAATATTTTATGGCACAGATATGAAAGGAGCTACTATCAAACTATAAAACAAAAACAGCTGTTTTGGGCATTGTCCGCATTGAAACATTGAGATGCTTGAAACGACACAGTGTATGATTGCGTGAAAGAGGGAATTGAAGCAGGTGAATTTTCCAGTCCATTGTCATAGGGCCTATTATAAAAATGGTATATATCATTAAACTTACAATGGTAATATTGACACTTGACAGAATATCTAATCGGTAATAATTATTTAGAATAACCGGAAAAAATGGATATTACACAAAATATGTCTAAATATTTGTAAAGGATGTGTCGTACAATACTTCATGCTTTTAGAGTCGCTTCCCCCCCAATCGCCCGAATCTTTTTTGCTAGCGGTCTACTTTCCAATTAAAATATAATAACACTTATTTAAGGTTAGTTGGGTAGGCTTACATAGCATACATACTGAAAATAAATCATAATAATATATACGATTACCCAATATAATTCTATTGAATTTTAAAACAAAATAGATATTATTCAAAAATCAGTAATTTATTTCTCAACAAAGCTGAAAATATAAACTAGAGCAGGGTTGGGCAAAGTTCTCAGACCGCGTGCAAAAATTTTGCGCACCTAGACTGGCGGGCCATGTCGCATCTAGCATGTGTGGCGTAAAAAGTTATACTTTGGAAACAAAATTTTATTTAAAGTGTTACAAAAACAAAAAAGGAATACAATAATCCTTGAGCTATTTTTTTACCCAAAAATATCAAATTTTAGTTTCAGTTTGATTGTGGTAATTGTTAAAATATATTTTAGATTTCAGCGAATTGAGATTTGTATTTAGATTTGTTGAAATTCATCAGACAGAAGGTTCACAAATGTACAACTATTCAGATTACTGGATTAAGTCGTTCAACGGGTTGTATTTGGGCTGCGGAAATGTTTGCACTTAGACTAATAACTGAATAAAGTAAATATAAAAAATCATATCCAGGGATGAAGGACCAATACCGGTACTCGATAACGAATACTGGTACAGAAGAGATGGCAACCTCAGAAAGTTTAACAAAAAAATGCCAAAAGACCAAGTACGGTAACGTACCTCATCTCGTTCTGTCGTTACCGGTACCGGTACGGTACCTACGGTGTCCAGGGATAAATATGTACCTAACTTTTACCGGTATCTACCATAGGTACGGTACCGTACGGTACCGGTACTCGATAACGAATACTGGTAAATGAGAGATGGCAACCTAAGAAAATTTAACAAAAAAATGCCAAAAGACCAAGTACCGTACCTCATCTCGTTCTGTCGTTACCGGTACCGGTACCTACGGTGTCCAGGGATAAATATGTAACTTTTAACGGTATGGTACCGTATCACCCTTATGAACCGTGACCTGACAACGCACTTAGAGTACCGGTACCATGAGATTAACTTACACGGTTACAACTATCTCTACTTTCGTCATTCTACTATGAAAGCATTAAAAGTTTAATGTCACTGTCCCCCATCCACGGCAAAAACCTCGCAACAGGCTACCGGTATCGATTACGAGTACCGCCAAAATGAATGGCGACCTCATGTGCTATATTCGAATCGCGCGCCCATTTCTTCGCATAATTGCGTGTTTCGTTGAAGGCCAATCACGGCCTTACCATGGTAAATGGTTGTAAAACCGCGTACAACGGTTGCCGGCGGATTATAACGTTGGCCCAACGTAGTTGTGCTATCTGGGGACCCTCCCCCACCATCCAAGTCCATGCTTCTGAAAACAAATAACTGGCTTCCCCCCAGATAAATCCTATCCTAATGGTGCTTGTACAACTGATCCAAAATGTCTTTTTATTGTCATTGGTAAAAAAGATATGTATGGTGGCCCATCGTTGTCACGCGTTAAATTGAAAATAAAAATAAAAAACTGAAAATAAAAAAATAGTTGTTAAAAAACATAAAAATAATTAAAAAAAAAAAATTAAAATTAAAAAAAAAAATATTTGAATAAAAAGAAAATAGAAAGGTTGACAACGATGGTCCGCCTCGTGGCCCATCGTTGTTACGCGTTTATATTTTTAGAAAATTTGCTTCTGCTTGGGACCAACGTTGCCAGGCATAATCCTACGCGCACAAATGTGTTCCCTGGGTTTCCAACTCACTACTGATTTTCTTGAGCAATATTCAATATGAAAATGTTCTATAATTCTCCATGCTACAAGTTCAACAAGAAGTAATATATTTATAATAATGATAAGAGAATATAGAATTGAATACGAAAATTCGGAAAATTTGTTTTTACGTGTAGAAGGTAATTTAATTGGACAATGCTGCTTAACTACTCAGTTGTCTGGACACTCGCGTTGCCGGTACCGTCTTACCAAATACCGGTAGTCGGTTATAGTCGCTTTGCGTCTGACCGTACCGGTAGCCATGCAATCACTCATGAAAGAATGGGAGATACGGATAGTCTCGTAGAATATAGACTACTGAAACACTCTCTGCGCCTGCCCCATACCGTACAGCCGTAATGTACCGATCCAGACAAATGATAAATTGCCCGTGCTCAACCATTTATTCTAATCCATACCTCGACTCACTATGTTCTACTAGGATTATCAATTTTCATTTGTCTGGATCGGTACGTTACGGCTGTACGGTATGGGGCAGGCGCGGCGGTGTGGCTCAACGGGTTAAGCGTTAGGAATACGCTCGCCACCGCACCTCTAATTATTCTGCGTGGGTTCGCAGGTTCGATTCCCATGCAGGGATGGTTATGTGCGAGAGGATTGCTGGACTCCTCGCCGTCGTTGGGTGGTTCACGTAACCGCTGGTCGGTTACGGCTTCCTCCACCACCAAGTCCATGCTTCCGAAAACAAACAATACAGTATAACTAACTAATCCCATACCCGACTTGGAATGGTAACCGGACGAGAGGCCGTGGTTCGCCATATGGATAAGCCGTCTTATCGGCTTTCCTCTCCCCCGGGATTAATATGTAAATCCTATCCTATCCAGTAGTCTATATTCTACGAGACTATCCGTATCTCCCATTCTTTCATGAGTGATTGCATGGGTACCGGTACGGTCAGACGGTACCGTACCGGCATCGCACGAGTGTCCAGACAACTGAGCAGTTAAGCAGCATTTTCCAATTAAATTACCTTCTACACGTAAAAACAAATTTTCGTATTCAATTCTATATTCTCTTATCTTTATTATAAATATATTGCTTGTGGTTGAACTTGTAGCATGGAGAATTTATAGAACATTTTTATGTTGAATTTATTGGATATAGCTCATGAAAATCAGTAGTGAGTTAGAAACCCAGGAAACACATTTGTGTGTGTAGGATTAAGCCTGACAACGTTGGTCCCAAGCAGCATCGAATTTTCTAAAAATAAAAACGCGTGACAACGATGGGCCACGAGGCGGACCATCGTTGTCAACCTTTTTATTTTCTTTTTATCCAATTTTTTTTTTAATTTTTTTTTTCGTTTTTTAATTTTATTCGTTTTTATGTTTAATTTTTTTTTTTAATTTTAATTTTTTTTTCATTTTTTTTTTTTCAATTATTTTTATGTTTTTTCACAACTATTTTTTTATTTTCACTTTTTCATTTTATTTTTTCATTTTTTTCTTAAATTTAACGCGTGGCAACGATGGGCCACCATAGATATGCTACCCGGAATCAAATTCATTTACGACTAGTGGCTGTGGTGGGATATGGACATAAATTTCACACTCCCTGATCGTTAGATTTTATGAAAACTCTATCTGTATTCATTATCTTACAGATATGGGTGCGACCATGGAATAGATGGATGGCAAAGTATAAGTTGCAACAACACCACAGTGGCACAAGACCTCAGCTTGCGTGACTTGATAATACATCCTCAGTATCCATTTATTGATGCTTATCGTAATGACAAAGTAACTTGTGATTACTGTGGATTGGTGGAGATAAAGTGTCCATTGTGCTTTAACGAAAGCAACTTCAAGAAGACCCTATCAGGAAAGAAAAAAATTGTTTCGGTGGGTCTGGTAGTGAAGGTTTCAGTCTAAAGTTGGACACCGATACTACAACCAGATACAGTTGCCAATGCAACTTAGCGAGGCGTAATATTGCGACTTTGTGATCTGAAAGAAAATTCTGATGGGTAGCCGGCTAGCCGCAACATTTTGTTTAAAAAATATTATGAGATATGACTTAAGAGTCTAAAATTTTATTTCAAGCTGATTTGCAAATAGTATTCATGGTACCAAATGTATCACACACTTTACAGTAATTATAAATTATATTTGAAAAATAAAGCACATCAAAAATGTATTTTTAATAAACAATTGGTTTAATCTGCAGATACTAGGTTGATATTGAGATTGACCATTTCAATGCTAAATCTTCTTTAGTCAAAAGGCACACTTGATTCGCAAAGATTTGTGAATGCGCACAGTACACCAATTTGTCTAATGTTTTGATTCCATAGGCAGGAGGTTGCGGATCGGATGGGATATTATAATTGCCTATAAATGCATATTACGTGTTGCACATGAATCCATCGTCCTCAGATTCGACTGTTTTCAAGGTCTGAAGGCTCCAACAGCCTAATTTTATCGTTACACAAGAGAATTTTCAGTGTGGCATGCATGGGTCAGTTGGAGTCACTGACCTCAAGATATCTATAAGCAAGGATAAGATAACCTGGAAGTAACATTCCATAATTTAGAGTAAAAAATGTATCTGCCTCCACAGCCCTTTTAAATGGAACATATGATGCCTCGGGGGTAATTTCTATCAAATATTTTACAGTATTATGGTTCTAGGGGAAAGGGGTGTAGGCGGCTTCTTTTAAAGTGTGGTAGGTCTAGTCGAAAGACACATTAAATGTTTATGCTAACAACTGCAAAGTAATATTGCAACGCATACAAGTTAACAGAATTTGTTGAAATGGTCCTGCCTTTTGTCTTTCTTCAAAATCCCCCTTTTTCTAACTATTCTCTTCCTCTCTGGAGATGGCGAAAATTCAAATATCGACGGGACATATAAGCAGCTGATAATGGGTTATCTTCCCTTTTTCCTGGAAATAAATTAAACACTAATCATCATTTGACAGTTCCAAGTTTGGTATCAGATCAGTAATAAATTACCTGCTAACTAATAAAACAATCAGACAACACCTTCTGACTATTAATGAAGATTTCTTTCAATTTAAAACGCAACTATGCCAACCAATGTGGGGAGTTTTTAGAATAGAATTTATTTATGGTTGGGGACAGATTGCAAGGTGCAGCAGAGAGAGAGAATTTATTATTTCGTCAACCAGAAAACACATAATATAAAATATAATAATAACAAAATAAGTGAAACAAAAGTTTTCGGTATGACTGGGAGGTAACGATACGACCAGTTACGGTCATCTGAGTCAGTTACCACCCAATACAACACATGAATAAATACATAAATTGACACAGGTTCTTTTTTATTTAACTCTCAGTTTATAGAGAATTATTTAGACTATTTACAAAACGAGGATAAATCTGATTAAAACGAGGATAAATTTTGGATTCATCTAATCAGGGTTGGGAATTTATTGTGAAAAATGACACATTTATAACAGTAACATAATGTGGTTTTTGTTTTAAATTAATTTAATGGTAGAAAAAGAGGAGTGCGTTTCCGAAATAGATACTTAATTCTAAATGAGCCTATATATGAGAATCAATTAGTACATCATTTTAACACTATAAAAAAATAAAATAAAAAAATAATACTACAATAGTACATAAATAGACATATGCAAATTTAAGCAGATATGATTTATCAAAGACAAAGATGAGACAGTTACAATAGTCCAGAAACCATTCCAATTCTTGCAATCATTCATAGTCATCGTACGATTACCATTCTATGTCGGGATTAGTTAGCCAGTTATTTGTTTTAGAAGCATGGACTTGATAGTGGGGGATGTCGTAATCGACCAGCGGTCGTGTGAACCACCCTCAGTGGAACGAGAGCTGCAATCCCCTCGCACATAACTATCCCCGCATGGGATTGGAACCTGTGAAACTATAAGGGGGATCAGAGATGCGGTGGCGAGCGTATTCTTAGATGGAGAATTCAAACTTTAGTTATCTATTCAACTTTTCACATTACTAATAGATTACCTGCTAACTAGGGAAACAATACCTTATGGCAATTATTGATTAATACCTTACACGAGTCAAGTCTGCAAGTAGACCTACGCCTAGGCCTACCAATAACAGTAGTTTGTCATCTGCTTTCCATTGAAATGAGGGAGCTTATGAATATTTGAAAAAATTGATAACGGCACATTATGACTCACCATCAGCGAAGTGCTGTCCGCAAACAGTGAAACACAAGTGAGATGGCTTCTGGACTTGACACCAAGCAGTCCTGCCAATAGATGCTATCCACATTGCGCGACGTTCCGGATCTTTTGGAAACAGTGGAATATAACTGAAGATCCATTTCGTTGTCTATACTATACGCACAGCCAGCGGAACAATACAAAATAACCGTTTTCAACAGCCAAACAAAACGGAAACGTATAATCCGACTTGCAACTGACAGGAGCCAACTGGACGTTTTTGTTTTATTGCCGTCCAGTAAACAAGGTCACGTGACCCGTGCAAGTCCTCTATATACATTTCGTGTCCAAAAAAAGCATTTATCGTTGAATTCCAAATTTTTCAAATGTCGTATGCAGTTTTTGGGATTTGACCCATCCTAGAAAAAAAAATTGTGGCAGGTCATTTCCTCAATCTCAACTCTTTTCCCAACCCTGTGTAGACAATAGACATGTCATGTCAGAATGTGGTGTCTTCTATGTACTGAATGATATCGGATCACGAATGGTTCGTGCTTTGAACGCGTGTAGTATGCGAACGCTTTCCCGTAGTGCTCTACCACCGTATGTTTGTACACGTGCTAGGCCTGTTCGATCTTATAATAAGTTTATCCTGGCCTGGTAGTCAGTGGGGCGTCACGCGCTACAATATATAGATTATAGAGCCTGACTTAGTCAAGGCATGTGGAAGCTTTTGCTTTTGTGTTTTATGACGACAGGTTACGGTTTTATACGACTGTAAGTCCGACGGCGCCTGCTACACCGCATGTTGGTCCCGAGTTTCCGACCCGACGATCACCTGCACACACTACAACGAACCCACGTGCAGACGTGTACCGGTACCGGTATCCCACGGTTAGAATAATTATCCTTTAACCGTTTTCGGAATGCGCCACTCTGCAGTTCAACGGTCAGATATTTTTTGTAGATTAATCACAAAAATGCATGATTTCGAAGTGTCAAGTAATGGCGTTGTAGTATTGAATGTTGCAAGCAAGTTGTATTGAGTATATTTAGACTATAATAAGTTATATCATCCGAGGTATCCCCTCAGGATGTCTGTCTTTCTTCCATATATTTATGTGTATGATGTCGTTTTTGTTGTTGTTGTTGGCTCAGCAGATAGATCAGTGGATTATTAGAGCCCTTGAGTCTGTGAGTCCAGAAGTGATAGACCACAATCATACAATCTGTTGCTAAACAATAACTGAATAAATTCAAAATACTGAAATAGGTCAATTGGTTGTTTTGTTGATTTTTTTTTGACATGACATACAATATTAACTGGAATTGAAATGAAATTTATTCAAAGTCGTCATATGGAGGGTTGTTTACACTATCCATGAGGCCTAGCTTGAAAATTCCGAAGTTTAGTCAGTCAGTCATTGCTAGTTCTGTAATCCAGAGAACGAAGTTGATCGCAAATTGATATAATACAATACAATTTATTTTGGCATTCTCAAAAAACAAAACAAGTATATATCAGAAATGCCCGGAAAACGAGAGAATAAAGTTTATAGGCTAACTCACAATGCACATGCTCGTTAACCATAAGTAACACAAATAATATATTTATAAATAATAAAAAGACTCGATGAGCCGATACCAGAATACAGTAAGAATGCTGTACAGCTTTGCTGTTGGCAACCTACCGACCTACTAGGTCCAGACAGCCAGAGGTCTGTAGGTTATGGCAGTATGGACCGAAAGCTTCAGATGTTTTAAAATGCTATTCAAATGTCAAACAAAACAAAACAATTCCTTATATCAGTATACATTCTGACAATTATATCGATTAAATCTGCTGGATATGACTTGTTTTGTTAATATGTAGCTTTGTTCTGATAGTATCATGGTATTGCTAGGTACGGCGCGGCGGTGTGGCTGGTACCAAGCGTAAGGAATACGCTCACCACCGCACCTCTGATTACTCTGCAAGGGTTCGCCGGTTCTAATCCCATGCGGGGATGGTTATATCCTCGCTGCCGTGGGGTGGTTTACGTAACCATTAAGTCCATGCTTTCGAGAACAAATAATTAGCTAATCCCATACCTGACATGGAATCCTATCTTTTTACAGATGAGGTAATTTTATATCCTGAGCGAAAAACTTCTAAAAAAATGCAAGGATCTAGTTTGTTGTTTGTGTGACTCTATGTTCTGATGTTTGGTAATATTTTCTTATTCAGATGATGATCTCTATCAAGAGTTATTGTTTAGGCATTATTAAGTTATAGATTTGACAATCAACTCCGTAATATAGTTGTACAACCTCAATTCTACCCCTTAAGTCTAGTCTAAGTCTATTATTAGAATCTATTTCTAATGTCAGTATATAATATAATACGCACAGGATTTGCGCATTGATATTATTATTCTTATTTCCCATCCTGAACCTCGAATGCTGAATGTTGCTCATGTGAGGGTCTAATAATAGAGTTATCATAATTTAACTTTAAGTTCGGTCTTTTCCCATACATGCAGACATGTATGAATGGGACGTCCCAAGTTCAGAAATTCAACTTTTCAAGGATTACAATGAAATCATAATTTAGAATTAATGATTCATAAACTCCTATTAGAAGCTTTCCCTTTTGCAGAGAGACAATCAAAAGCTGCATAATAACATAGCGTATGATATTTTGTATAACAATATTGGAGAAGAATATTATATTTGAAGTGTTATCTGCGCTGTAAACGTGATATAACAGGAATCGATGACTGTATGTTGTGTGAAGGAATATTGGCAATTTAAGATCCTGCCATCAGCACCTCCAACCTCCTAATTTGCTTCTAACATCATGAGCTTTGGTGGTGGTGGGTAAGTGATCTTTCAAGTTGTTTATTAGTTTGCCTAATAACCTCTTCAAACAGCAGTGAAATGAGGTAAAAAATTTAGTGGTTTCCAACCTTTTTTGTTGAACTCCTCCTTTCAATCTTTGATGGATTCATATGCATTTATACAGTTCAAGTACTGAAGTAGTTTATAAGTTGTAACGTTTCCCCAATTGGAAAACGTGGGTCTATGGTGTTTAATATTTGTTTGGAAGTTAGTTTTTGACTCAAATATCACAAAATTGGATGGTTAGGATAGTAGTCATTGTTTTTTAGAGAATTGGCAGTGGGAAGAAATTTGTGTGAATGGCCGTAAGGTTTGTTTATTTTCAGACAAGTTTTCACTTTCCAAAAAATATTAAACATAGAATTTGCTTGAAAGTCTGCGCCTGTAAAAGTACAAAGTTCTTGTGAAATTAATATGAAATATTTCAAATTATAACTTGTATTTTTACTTGTGTTAATCTGTGAGCCTGTTGTAATAGATCTTTATCATGCCAGTCTGATTTCTGTTACTCCCAGACATGGGGGATATAGGTCGAGAGGTGCCGGAATGAACCGTGGCCATAGAGAATTACCAACACAGGAACCGTTTATTTTATTCGTTGGTAATCTTCCCGAAGCAACTGTGCAAGGTGACATTGACATGATATTCAAGGATATGAGTGTAAGATAATTTTTCCATATATGAGAACGTCACAAGCTGTCACTCAAAAGTACATGAATTGCTGCATGCTGTCACTCAAAAGTACAATATTTGCTGCCTTAGTGGTATAAAATAAAGGAATCCCATATGACCACTGACGTTTGTCTAAGACTTGCATGTATATCTTGGATGTCGCTGCTTGATAACCAGCTTTGTTTCCTCGCCGCTTCCCTTCCCCTGTAAAATTATGTTTATGACATTTTTGCATTTGTATCGTTTATTATTTTGCCCGTTGGAAAAAATAAACTCGACTATGATCTCTAAAAGTTACCTACATGTGAATTATTGCTTCTACAGATATGTAAGACTCACAGCTTTAAGTTAACACTGATAGGGAAACTGTTCTGTTGAAATGAAGTCTACCTACAATTCTCCTTTGGTCAACTTAATATTTTGGGATTATGCTTCTCTTTTTTGTGTGAAGCCATTTACCTGATTGTTTTCATTTGGTTGTCCACTTAATTTCAAGTCTTAGCATAGGTTTATTTTTATCTATCTTTTCTAAAATGGTATATGTATGAGTTGCACTTTATTAACAGTATTTTAACCATTTATGTTGAGAATTTGTTGCAATTGTTTGTGGAAACCATTCATGAAAAGATATTATTTGTAATTGGTATTCATAAAATCAAATTATATGAAAGTTAAGTTATCAATTCTGATAGATGTCTTTTTGTGAGAATAATATTTAAATAACCTAATACTTGTTTCTCACATGTTTTTTCTTTCAATTTCAGATTCGTAATATTCGTCTTGTTCGTGACAGGGAAACTGACAGATTTAAAGGTATTTTATTGTTAAGTCATCTTTTGACAGCAGCCACGAATATAAGGGACTGTTGCTAATCCAAATTATAAGATATGTCGCTTATGTTTTCACAGCAATTGAAATATAAAAGAGCTGATCTCAATTCTGCAAAATATAATAATTCCATCTAAACAATATTATTGAGCATTTAAGATTTATAGTGTACATTGTACAAGTCTGATTTCTTATTTATTACTGTAAATATAAAACATTCATTCTGTTTGCTGTTATATTCTCATGGGACTAAACATTCAGTGTATGAATATGCCCTATAGCATAGTAACTCTGTCTGCCTATCCTGCTTTTTGTAACTTACTAAAATGCTTGTTATTTATTATAATATTTTTATTAGGGTTGCTCGAAGATTTTAGGTTAAAAAATATTTTCCTATGTAAATGAATTCTAATATATCTAGTAACTTGTTTATGGTTGTTGGATCCCTAAGAATACATATATAAATACTGATGCTTAGGAAATAGCAAATATTTGTTAAATTTTCCCACTATGTAGATATTGTTTCTGTGAAAATCTGTCAAGAACAGATTACCGTAGGTATAATTAAGCCAAGGTTTTCACAAGGTAAAATCATTCTATTTTTGGTTCATGGGTTATAGTTTTACAAAAAAATTCACTGCATGGTACAGTGTTTTCCGACGAGATTACTATTACAGGCGAGAGTGATAAACACACTTTTTGTGGTATGCGATGTAACAAATTAAACATTGATATCAATTTTGATATTTAGGTTTCTGTTATGTTGAATTTGAAGACTTTGAATCTATGAAACAAGCCTTAGAATATGATGGTGCGGTATGTAATTTATATAACTATGATACTGTGCATAAAAATGTCCTTTGTGCATATTAGCCTTGCAAGTTCTGATTCAGACAGACAAGAGGAGCCATTGAAATTCTTTTGCCACGGATATTTTTGGATTTCTATTTGGTTACTTTTGATTGTAAATGTTTAAATTTTTGGTGATTCAAGAGTCTTACTGCTCACTAACACAAATATAGTTTGGTGAAGCTTCGTCTGACCATGGTCCTACTTGCTACAGCATCCTTGTGTTACGGTATATGCCACGGTTTTGCAAACTTTCTGTTTATCTGTAAACTTATGGATTTACTTGTGTACCCCCAAAGCCCAGAATGTTCTCATATTTTTGGCTGCTGCGTTATATTTGCCCTGATGCACATAATTGAACAAAATAAGTCATGTGAACTGTGAAAGTAGAATTGGTAGTTACTGTAGGTGTAGTTAACGTTTCTACTAGGGCGAAAATGTGACTTCCTAAAGAGTTCTTAAACTCGGATCTTCAAATTATTAACATCAGGTGATAGATAATATTTCAAGGCAGGTTAGAAATAATGGCAAGAATATCCTTATACTTAATCTAATGTACCCCTTGAAAAGTTTATAGGTACATAACCCAGAGGTACATGTACCCCAGTTTGAGAACCCCTGGTTGTGCATATGATTCTAGCGGAACAAAAGCGTGGAAGAATTCTAAGAAGTTAGTCCCACTGAAACCCAATTAATAGCACAACTTGAAATCTTTATCTGATGTTTTAAATTTTTATATATCAAAGTACGTATGTGATATTTTCAAAAATATGAATAAAATGCTTCATTGATATGAAACTATTTTCAATTTCGCAGCTTTTCGAAGGCAAAAATCTAAGAGTGAATGCTGCAGATAATCGTAGAGATAGAGGGCAAAGGGGTGGTGGACCTGCTCGTGGAGATTATCGCGGTAGAGGAAGGGGCGGTTATAATCGTGGTGGTGAGTGAGAATCATATATATCAGGGGTGGCCAACCTGCTTTCGACCTCGATCGACTAGAATCTTCAAAAAAGCTCGCTATCGATTAATCGGTAATGAGGTCATACACAAAAATGAATGGGTACGGAATGTGCATGCATGTGCATACATAAAATTCCACTGCTGCCAACAAGCTCGGCTCTATGAAATCGCCACAAAAAAATTTGTATTTTTTTATGTTTCATTTAATTTGATTATGTAATGTTAGTCTAATTATGTAAGTTTGTATCATATTTTGCGCATGTGCAGTACTGTATTCTTCCTGTTCTATAACACGTAACAAGTGCTGCATGAAACAGGTTCAAGGTAATTTTTCAGGGTATTATATTTTAGATAGAGCGACAAGACGCAATTAAGCATTTATATAACGAACGATTATTTTGTCATGCTTTGTTTAGGATATTCAAGGGATGATAGGCAATATGGACAAGATGGATATGGAAGACGTGGTGGTGGTGGTGGAAGAGGAGGAGGAGGATATGGCCATAGTGGTGGAGGTGGTGGATATCAGCATAGAGAAAGAGATTATGATCAGCAATATCACCACCAACCTTCTGAAGAGCCTATATCAACATCTTCTGGTAAACTGATTGTTATTTTCAAACTCATTGGTGCTTTTTGGGGACTCCTATAAGTCTACTGGATAAATTAGTTTGAATCTGAACCGAATATCAACCGATTCCAAAAACTAAAGTTTGATATTCTGAAAATTCAAAGTTTTTTGCAAATGCTACCTATGTATAAATTGGTATCCCTACATTGTTATTAAGCATACCGGTATATATAATATTAAGAATAAGACTTGACAATATCAGAATTGGTTCTGATACCCAGGATGACATCATCTCTGTGCGCCTCAAATTGTGAAAAGATATCATTTTCTATGTTCAGGGGCAAGCGGTCGTCCTCGCTTGCAGTTGAAGCCTCGATCTGTGGGTGTTCCGACAAATCAGATAGCCAATCCACAATCATCAATATTTGGTGGTGCAAAACCACGAGAGCAAATTTTAAGAGAGAAAGGACTTGATGATCTTGAAAAAAAGGTGGAAGAAAAGCTGAGCATATCAGAAAGAAAGTTGTCGGAATCTGCAGATGACAAATAAGACCTGGAAAATGGATTCCAATCAACTTACTGCCGCATTGTGCGGTACTACTTCCAAGCATGAATGGGTTAGATACCCTCTGCCTTTAAGCAGTGATATTATTTCAGTATGGTGCAGTTCGAGCATGCCACAATCGAGACAATTCAGTCATGTAAATGAAATAATATGTAGATTTATGTATGTATTAAGGGGTTTTATCTATTTTGAGCCATGCATGAAAGAGATTCATATTGAATTTTGTTGGGTGTCCCATACTGAAGTTTTTTTTTTTTTGAATACTTGCGTAAATGTCGCCCATGTTCGACAAAACTATAATTCAACAAAGTAAACCTGAAAATTAGCGATGGTTTCTGAAAATAGTTAGGCAGCCACATTGCTGGTGTCTCGGTCCATTTTTAGCTAAAGCAAGTTCGTTCTTGTGCGATTAGAATGTTTTTGATAAATACTACTAGCTCTGCTGATGCTTATATTGGAGCTCATTTGCACAAGCATATTATGAATTGTGCTTCAATCTTCTTCTGCTCCTGCAACTTTTGACCAATCATATGTTGGCGTTATCTCCAACGCTTAATCTGAATACCATTTTTAGTGCATGTTATGTTGTAGATGTGTTTTGATCAGTTCATATTACTCTGTTTCCAATAGTTAGTTACTCGATTGATTGGGTGTGTCAAGATAGGGATTCATGATGGACTAAAAAACTTGTGTTTGAGGGTTAGTTAGTTCGTTTGGAACTTTCTCTGTTTGGACTGTGAACAGAATTCGCCTCCATAGTGATTTTGATAATTTGTGCTTTTTTGCATCAAATCACGTTCTATGAATGTGGATGACAACTGGCAAAGGTTTTAACTTAGTTTGTTGCTTTTATCTTTGATGTTATCAGCCTATTTTCCTGAGTTTATCTGTGCTTGGTTTTTTTCAGATCTAGAATAAATGATATCACTTTTTGTATGCCACCTATTTGACCAAAATCTTAAAATAAGCCCACCAAGGTTGGCAAAAATTCTATTCTAGCAAACAAGTTTTGATCTTTAATTGTTCATTGCTGTGGATTAGCAAAAACTACTAGTTTACTACGATTCTTGATTTTGTAAACTACAGCATTTTTTCTCAACTGTTTGGGTGCAAAGCGTTTTTTTTTTGAGCACTGCTATTGGTTCGCAGTGAAATATTGATATAGTAGTAGTGAATATCTCATTCTGTATAAAATGGACTCAATAAACTCATGCTTGTTTTTAGCATATTGATATTTACTCTTTTGGCTTCAATGTTGTTGTCACATCAATCTGGGCTTAAGGAACACCGTCTGCTGGTACGTGCAATCCAACCGCTCATTATCCTGTGTAGATTTGTAGGTTCGAATCAGGCATGGGGTATGGATGGTGACTGATAGAAATCGTTTTTTCAGATTTATTCTTTTTTTTTTCGATTTAAAAAATTTGTATAGAGAAAAAAAGATATATGAAACCAGGGGTGTACAAACTGCGACCCGCAAGGAGAAATTGTGCGGCCCGTGGACAAGTGCCAATTTTGAATGGTGTGCCCGCGAAACGAGTTTTCAGTTTAGTTAATCTGGTACGTGAGAACAATTCCAATCCCTTTGCGTCGCAAGGACTATGGAAGTACCTGAGTGCCGATGTCATATCAGTAAACCTAGCTAGCAAAAGACACAATGTTATAAAAACGCTTTCCTCATTAAATTCGTTTAAAATCGGTGAGACAATTTCAATAGCAGTTTATGCGTTTTAACTCAACATTTCTGCAAGGACCCCTAACAATGCAGTAAGACCAACAACAAAAAGAAACAAAAACTACAGTATAAACCAGTGATTCTTAAACTAGGCTTTGAGAGCCGCTTTCCGAAAATTTTTTATTCAAAAATAATCATTGACTTGAAATTAGAACGCGGAATTCTATTAGTTAATCGAATGGATTCCCCCGTGTTTATTTGCGAAGCGTTGACTGATCTACAAGATGCAGTAGTGACGCAACAGAAAGCGTTTTTCGCAGTCACTCGTACATTTTTCACGTGGGAGAGATTTTAGACATGGCTGTAATCACTGGCTCGCGTTTGTGGATTTTTCAGTTTTTGTCGCATTTACAAATATTATGTATAAATTAAATAACTTAATTATTATTTTAATTTCTGGAGCATTTTATTTTGTTTCAGTAATCGAAAATAGTCCCGAAATATCTGGCGATCATCTCAACCACCTACTGCACCTTGCAGTCTTGCACCCTCCACGATTACGACCCGCTTTGACAAACTCATTAGAAATCAATGCCAAATTTAATGGCTGTTAGTCTAGGGTGGGCAATATTGAATATTTATAAATGTAGAATAATTTGAATATTTTCACATCAGCGACAGCTGTTGAAGACATTAAGGGCTGATTTTTAAAAACCAAATTAATTTTATTCCGAGTTTTATCCTCTGACTTGGATTTGATTTTACTTATCACCGCTTGTAAATTCACCGTGCCTGTGAATGGTAACCGAGATGCAGATATTTATTAAAATGATTATTGAGCTTCTCATGCTTTTCTATGGTGTTCGTGTTATTTTAGTATTAGATAGATAAAACCAGAAAATTTGCGATTGCGTGAATCCGAAATGTTGATTTAATATAACGATTAAATAAATTGGAAATAAAGGCATATCTATGCTTTTGTGCCTAAAAGAGGGACATACGCTAATTATAACTAATTCCTCCAAGTTTCAACGTTTTTGTGAATGAAAATTTTCAGCAAAACAACACCCCGACGGTTATTATAGCTAAAATAATTACTGAGTAATGCTCAATTTTATTTACAGAATTTGCAATTTCAGCACTTCACTTGATGATTTTGATTATGTCATGCCTTGATTATTACTGCTAAAATGCTTCCGAATTGTAATAAACAATTGCAATCATTTTCGATGATAATAGGCTCAACGGCCATGCATGGATGAATAAAATGTTTACATATTCGAAACATTATTTGGCCAAGGATGGAAGGGATCACTGAAGAGCTAATACAAAGTGCTTTAAAGGGAGTAGGGCATGACATTTCTCATCTGGTTACAACTTAATGAGTGTTTTTCATACAAGTAACTCATACCAGCTTTTAGAAAAACTTTGACTCGTCATTTTGAAATTAAATCCATGCTATTTATCTAACTCGAGTTTTCTAACGACCTAAAATTGGCTTTGATAATGAAACGCTGAAAAGTCATTTTAACATTTAATTTTAATCAAGTTCATGTTGGGATCGTGCTAAAATGGTTAATGACATGTCACCAAGCATGCGGAGTTTCGAATCTAGGAAATTTATTTCAAATACCTAATCTGGTTTGACGTTTATAAATTTACGTAACGGTCGGTACGGTTTTTTGAAAAATGTATAATTGAAACGATACGTTACGTGCAAAGATAAAAATATAAAACCATCAGGCAAAGACAACGACTTTTCAAATTTGTATTAAGTACAAAGGGAAAGAAGAAATACAGAATAAAAACTACGAAGGGCATGTTTGTTCACCTTTGTCGTTGACCGACTAGATTAGACTGAACGAAAACAGCGGAGAGTGGGAGGACGGCGGTTGGAGAAGGCGGCAAAAGTTGACAGCTGAGAGAGAACGTAATGCACGAAAATGAGCACATACATAGGAAATTCGATTTTTTTTTGCTAGCAACACATTGTACGTACCCGCAGGAAAAAACTGGCCCCCGGGATGGCAGATAATTTATTGCCGCGCCGCGCACGACTGCCTTCGATTGCGATAAAAAACGAAACAATTGTAAAATGTTTACATGAACTTCGGCACTAGGATATGTGCGCCATATTCTGTATTTGTATAAACACGAAAAACGTTATTAAGACGTCGCAATATTGGAATATTAAAGTCGAATTGGACAGTCCCTTCTTCAAGCACTGCATTAAATTAACCTAAAATAAACAAATTTTTCAAGTTTTCGATTTTCGGCTTTCCGTAGGTAGAAATTCTTACGTTAGCCGAAGCAATATTTTTTCGAGAAGAAATTTCGTAAGTTGGATTTTTGATATACGGAGCCTTTCGTAGGTAGGATTTCTAGGTCGGGCCCGCGGCCTCACCCAGTTACTTGTATCTGGTCCTCCGATAATAAAGGTTGCACACCCCTGTATTGAACCATCGGCAGCTGTTGGCTCCTAGGATTGTATCACCACCCTGACTGGCTTTAGAAAAAAGTTGAATGCGTTTTTAGTGATGGACCGTTCGATTTTTAGTAGGCTACTCGGCAGATCGAGGAAGTCGCGGAGAGGCTATTACTTATTTTTATCTCTTTTTTTCGAGTCCTTATGGTTTATTTTCTTTAAAATGAATGTTTCCATTATTTGTTACCAACAACACACGTCGATTAGTTTCCTCGCTCTTTGACCTCCGCAGTTCATTCTCCTCACTGAAAACATAATTAAACAAAAATCACTTGGTAAGGCAAATGCTAAAGAAATACAGTTATATTAAGCTAACATTGTTAGTCTTCAACAAAACTACGGAATCTTTAAAAAATAGTCACATACTGCTTCGATTTTCTAATCAGGTATATCATTATACAGGTCCACTGATAGCAACATGCTCAGTAATTTTCAAATTATTTTTATTAAGGAGTTACTTAGGCATGCCTTGTATTTAGTCAGAGTGCAATTTAGTTTAGTTGTGCAATTTATTGTACCCCTATTTAAATAAAAAGTTTTATCTTATAATAGAACTCGCCTGTTTCATGAGTATGATGCTGAATTGGTGACATGTTTATGGACATTTACATGTTTCTCCCGGAGGAGAATCACTTTATTTGGAGATTAATTGATAACTTTTACTTTATATGTAAAATCTTTATTAACTTTGTAGTATTTATGTACTGAATTAAGTAATGAAGATGTCCTAATCTAGTGTAAACGGGGATGAATTATATTACAATTGGTTAATCAAAACGAAATGCCGTGGGCTATTTAACCAAATTATGTTCATTATGAAACATGTTTTGGCAGTGTCTAACTCGTTTTACTTAATTCCAGGACCAAGAGAAATTATATTATTATTATGGAAAATAAGACCGTGGGCCATAGATATTTAAATAATGTGTGTATCAACGAGAAAGTTGCTTTTGCATCCATTCCGCGGTCCTATAATTCTTGGTGGTATTGTGTAGATTTCAGCTTCACACGTGCAGCATCATATATGAAGCGATATATGGTAGCAAAATCCATTTGAATTCGCGTTCGTTTATAATACTACGGTAAATGTTTTCACGGTTTCAAAAGAATTCGGGAGAAATTCCATTCTGAGAGAATTCTATCTGCCAAATGCGGTGAGGTCTTTGTAACATTTATTTCTCGTATACCCCTAAAACATTTGCACCTTCGAAAGGGAACCGCTCTAACAAGACAAGTTGCGACAAATGAAAGATAGATTTTATTTTTATGTCACGAACGTTGCAACAGCATTTTTACTAGTAGCTACGACTATAGCAGTGTATTGGAAGTACAGCATTAGTACAATATTGTTTGTTCGATAGAATGGAGGCCAGTTTTATTGTCAAATTCTATTACTGAAATGCTAGGATGTTTTTTGGATTATTTCGTGGCTTGGCAGGTCATTGAAAAAAATGGACACACGAAATGGGCCTATAGGTAGTTTTGTTGTTGTTAGTATTCTTCCTGTTATTGTGAGAAAATCGCTTTTCTATTTAACTACTGGACATATTGCTTTGAAATCCTCAGTGGTTGAAGATTGTTGTTGTCGCTAGGAGTCTGTGTGCTCCATGAGATTCGTCATTTGTGTGAAGTCATTGCACCTTGTAAGGGTTCCCCGTTTGTGATCGTTGCTATCTGGTATCTGCGGAAGATTGCATACCCGTACTATTTCGTTTTGGTTTGGTGTCCATATATTTTAGCATCGCTCTCTTGCTAGACACGAAGTGAACCCATGAATCGTTTTGTTATTATGTTGTTGTTGGTATTTTTCTTATTGTTATTTTTATTGTTGATGTGAAAAGTTTCGTTCAGGATAAGGTTTCAGGGAATTCGTGGATGAAATATTTCTTTTTGGATTTCGTATCGATATATTTGAACATTGATCTCTTGTTGGGATATTATGTAAAGAGTATCGGACCAAACCAAGTTGATGATATCAGCAGGCTTGTCCATGAAACATTTTTTTCTGTCCCATTCCCATCCCATAACAATTATGCCTGTCCCTTCCCATGGGATTCCCGTTGGAATACCGTTCAATAGAAATTATCAAAATTGCGTTTAGTTTAGCGTCTACTGAATAGGACTACCTGTACGAAGAGACATGCAAAACAACAAAATTTACGGACTTTGGTAACTTTATATTCATAACTATCATACATCCAATGCTGATATGATTTAACAATGTCATTTTATACTACTGTTTGGCCGTTGAATGCTGATTACAGGCTAACGCATGTGCTGAAACTATTCTACTCTTGCCAAATTACCATTACATAAAAAAGAATTTATTTTCTATTTATGTTGAATCTTACATGCCTAATTGGATGACAAAGACATACGCTTTTGTACTTCAATACAATATTGCTCAAATGCAATAATTCGCGGATGATTGGGAAAATTACCGTACAGTATTTATTGAAATTCAAACGCTCGCCAGACTCCGTAAAACTTCGTGATAAGTAGAGCCTAATATAACTAAAACTGGGATCTACATTTTTGTCGAGGGCCTCTTTTTTACTAATAATTACTTCTTCCTTCTGCCATTAGTTTATAATGATCAACACTTTCTCAAATCACGCCTTTGTTGTTCTCTCGCATTTAATCATCTTCTCTCATATTTGTTAGTTTTTTTTTTTTTTTCAGGTTGCTTCACAATGATCAAATAAATTTACCAGCTACCTTTTCAGCAAATATGATGTCTAAATCAATATACTCTACAAAGACTGATGAATCTTCCATATGATAATTTTGATTTGTCTCTATGAAACGACAACCTTAATTCACATTTCCTTGTATAAAATTGAGGACTAGAAATGGAGAAACCTAGCTTGAACTAAGTAACATAAATATCCCTATACCGCAGTTTTCTATCTGGACGCCATACCGCCTTAATCTTGTTTCTTACTATTTGTACTACTTATACTGATAACATTTATTACTCAATATTATCTGGACTCTAAATTAGGCTAGTTTTGGCTCTAATTTGACGAATGAATGTCTAGCTAGCCCACCCCTTCTTCCCAGCCCGATATATTTGGCGATATATTTTGATAAACATTTTTCTTTACTCTTCACTTCTGCCTAATTATGCGATATTTAAGTTCAACGGATATTAACATATGGTGTGACACACATTATGTTTTTCTTTAGTTTCGTGTGTGTAAACTAATTTTATATTTTTGGTGGGAGAACACGCAATTAATTTATCTTCTTCTACGCTGATTATGGAGTCGAAATAAACTTATGAATGTTGCCTTGTCAAGAATTCCTTTTCTTATCGTCGCAAAATTGTTGTGCCGTCTGCATGTGCATTTGGTATTCTGAACTGCTGTCTTGTTCTCCAAAATACTCATTGATCCAATGGATAAGTGTTAAATGTTACGTTCTGTATACTTTTGATACAGTGTAAGCTATATATCTCATATATGCCTGGGGAGTAGTTTCTATTTAGTGACCGCGTGGCCCGCCGGCCTCTCATTTGCGCTGTTAGTTATATTGTGTCTCTGGTTGACTGCATGATGAATAAGCAAGTCTTGTATGTTGGATGGTATTTTTATTCATTATTATGTATAATCTGTCTCGAGAATTATAGGACTTGTACTACTCCTCGCCATCATTGTTAATCTAGCATCGCTGGTGTATGGCGTGTTGTTGAACACATAGCTATCTTTTTCGTCGCCATTTTCTGACTTAATTAGCTGACGCACTGCGAATGGCTCAATATTTTTCAACTATCACGATCATTCCAATATCAATCGGAGGCGCCGCAATTGTGTTGTGTCAGTTTTCCGCAATCACTCCTTTAGCTTATTTTGTACATAACAGCCTTCTGAATGTTCCTGGTTCAACTGGTATTCACCAGGTCAAATGAAGGAACAACTTGTATTGTCGGCTTAGGGGAGGGGATATTCTTCAGTTGGGAAACGGGATATTCTTCCATCCAGATAAAATAAATTCAGTATGATTTCGGAAATTTATTTTAATAATTCCCCTATCCTGTTTCTGATCAGATTATATCTGAATATAATGTATATAGTTTTTTTTTTTATACTCGGAGGGTTTATATTGTAACAGAACCAGACTCAATTTATTTATTCTTATTTGTATCATCATGCTTTCCGGGTTTGACGAAAAACAAATTTTCTCTCTTGGTAGTCGTAAAAAATCACTTGGACGAACGACAGTTGAGAACTATCGTCATGAAACTGGCTTCTATCATATTTTTGTTGCACGACGTCTCCATTTTGACTTTGACGCGTTCTCAACAAAAAGCAAGACAAGCATTGATATTGACAAATATGATATATTCAGAAACACCATATAGATAACATCATAGCACGAAAGTAATTCTCAAATATCAAAAAGTACTACAACTAGGGATTGTCGTTACTATGACCCAAGCACATCGCACTTTATTATGTAAACATTAAATGCTCTGTCGGATGATTCATTTTACACCAATGTTCTGCTTAAACAAGACACACCGTAAACATGGTATTTGATTGGAAATGGTACTATTGTTATCTATGAAAATATTTTACTTCCAATTGTTCTACTAACTACAGGGTTGTGCTTTCGGTATACTGATGCCGGTTTTTTCTTCGATCCACTCCTGATAAGGGTTGATTTTGGTGTAAATACCGGGCAAGCCAGCTGTGCCACAAGGCTTGGGACCAAAGGAAACAATACCAGTAAGATACCAACCACAATTGGCACATTTTTGACAAACAAGTGGTCCACCGCTGTCACCCTGAAATTGAAATAGAAAAATGAGATTTTACTGTGTCGGCCATGCAATGAAGGTACAAGTAAATAACAAAAAATTCCGAGTCCTCTCTCACTTTTGAAATTCCCGCACCGAAAAAGTCGCAAAATGGTGGATTGTTTTCGCCAGATTAACGTGACTGACTATTTAGGCGACAAACGTCGGTGTTATGTCCTTACACTACACTCTCTGTCTACTTTCTCATCTGTAACTCTCTGTACATTTGGCTCGTGTCGCCAGGACGTTGGAACTTGGTTTTATTTGTACACCCGGGAAGGTGCAAGTAGATAACATAAAATTCGGTGTGCACCCCCACCTTTGAAATTTTCGCACTGAAAAAGTGGCGGATTGTTTTCGCCAGCTTAACATGGCTATTTAGGCCAGAAACGTCGGTATTATATCGTTACACTAGACTCTCTTTCCTCTTTCTCTTGCTCACACTTACCGTCTGGTGTCGTTAGGACGTCAACAATTTGCGCGCCAAAACGCGCCGTTGTGCAGGTGCGAAAAGCTAATTATTATGCGATCATCCGAGACGACAAGACGCAAAAGATTATTAAAGGAGTGAATGCGCAACTTAAATTTCCGACACGAGTGAATACTAACACGGAAGTACAATGTTATAAAATACTAAAAACGAAACGAAGAACACCATAAATCGTTTTTGGACCGCGACAGATTAAAAACGCCCAAGTGTGTAAAGGGCACTCCCAATGTATAATTTTTTATAAAAGCCGCCTCAATTGGCTCAAAAACTACAAAACAATTACCTGACAACTGTCGGCTTGTAGCGACAAACTTCCAGCGCAATGAATACGATTTTTAGAACTTTCCAGAAAAGGCACGAATTGCTTCATTATGGCGTTTTTGGAATATCTCTCTCGGCAAACGTCCACATCAAATACTGTTGCATCCAGTTGTAAAAGTGCTGGTGAGACCTGAGGGTTAGCTGCGTCTGTATTCACTGATGAAAAAATATTTGGATGATTAACTATTGGTATGTGATAAGAGCAAAAAACAACAAAAAAGTGTTTAATTCACAGGAATATGTTAAGTATTCCAGGAAACTGGGGGTTCAGAACGCCTGCCTCGATACACCGCGCATGGTTTGCATTTGCATATTGAAACGATACGGTAAAAATAAAACTAACCAATTATTTTCAATTTTTGTGTTAGGATGTTTTTCTTTTTTAAAAGTCATTTTCAAATGGCCCCCAGAAAATGAACACAAACACTATTGTTATATATATATATATATATATTATTGCTATAGAATGCTCCCATCACGATTGAGGCTGCTTTTTTAGACTTCAGAATAAAGCGGGAAAATTGGATTTTACCACAAGTTTTGTTGATCTGATTGTTTTGAAATACATACTTGAGTTTTGTGTTGTTAGATTTTAATTTACGCTGATTTTTATGCGACTCCTTACAACTTTAGGGTTTGAAATTTGGCTCTGACACTAATATGTGAGCAATAATTTTATGTTGCAAACTTACTGACTCCCCATCCTGTGACAAAACATACTTGATCCTTGCTAGGCTCTTCTGTTGATGGCATGCAAATAGGACCAACCGTTGAGTGGAACTTCACAGACCTTGACAACTGAATAGTAATGAAGAATTATCAACGGCAAAAGCAGTGCTACTGCTTGATATCAGTCAGAAATAAATACTAAATCATTTTCAAAACAGAGGCACAATACTTCGAAAATAGGGAGCTCCCGAAGTATGTGCACCGAGATGGCACACAACCTGAACATAGTATGTGTTATGTTTATGTACGAGACCATCTTGGTGCACATACTTCGGGAGGAGCAAAAATAAAAATGATAGCTTATATTCTGCATTCACAAACACACAACTATTTGACAACAGAGTTTTTATGTATTATTATTGATGACTATATCAAAGATTCAATCCTTAATTGAAAAAATTAGTTCTCTGAGTATAATATTTGAGTATAAAATTATTTTTTAAATCTTGAAAGCTGTTTTTTTGCGACAAAATTCGTGACATTTTCAAATACTCACTCATAATATCTCTATGTATTTCAAATGTCTAGTCATTTCCTCATTGTACAGTGTGTTGCATGCCTAATCAATAAACAATGCTGACAGAGGCAGTCAACTTAAAGTTAAGAAATACTATACCTTGAGAAGAGCGATATCGTTATCAGGAAAGTCATATTGTGGATGAGCCATTGAATCAGAAAAGCTAATTATTGCTTCGCTCGGTATTGTTACACTTCCACTGAATTCTAGCATTCCAATTATCGCCCGCCACTTGGAATTGACCTTTTTCCTTCCGTCGTCATCACTAAAACAAAAAATTGGTGCATGCCGTCAATAAGAAACCATTTAAATTTTTCCAGCGCCAGCTGATCAGAATAATTTTATTCAAATCAGTCCGATGCTTCATATTTTTGGGACTTTGATAATTTAACAAAAAAAGTATTTTGTGTTTACAAAATTCATTTTAATGCATGTTACATAAGTTTAAACGAATCTGAATTAAGAATTTAGAAATGAAAATTATCATTTTACATTTAATATGCATGTCCAAACAGGATACAAAATTATCTTATATTAGAAAAATTTGATTCACAATATCTGTCCTTATCTAGGACTGTGAAGACGCCAAGAAAAGAGAATTCAATGGGGCTCACATTAAGCAATGTCCAGCTGTTATCACCCACTCACTACTGATCAGAGCACCTCCACAAAACTCAAAATCAGAATCCATTGAAAGATAAACCTGATAATAAAAATAATGATATTTTAAATAATGTTTACAATGTGCTGCTTTTACTTTCCATTTAACCTAATTTTAATTTAAAAAGAAATCAGAATAATTGGCCATGCTAACCATCCAAGGCCACTGCGTTGCTTGTGCTGGAATTCCACCAATAATTTTTTGGTTAACACGCTGGACTCCACATTGAGAAAGTCGGTCGTTTTTGCAACATGTGTGGTTTGCACTATAACGTTTGGTAAAGTCTTTAACCGAGTCACAGAGAGCTGAACAAATTATAATGATGTTAAAATACCCAATATTAATTGATAATATATTTGTAAATTTATCCAACTTACTTAATAATAAAATTAAAATTATCTGATTAATATTTGAAACATACAACACTATATCATTTGGATTATACTCGGTCGTATGTAAAATGTCTGACCAAATTAGAAAATATTATTGTCTGCACACTCAAATAACCAAAAGTTTGATACCATATACAGGCAAGCGAGATAGATAATTGGTTCATAAATATTAGGTTTTTCACACTTGAATCATTTTTGAATATTGTTTTCAAACCAATATTATATGAGATATAGTGCATATTATAATATTAATGAAAGAATGAACTTTTATTAGATTCTAAAACAAATGAAAACACTGTTCTGAGGAACAAACCTTTACTAGACCAGGCATACGCTCTAGTTTGCAGGCATAAATCAGGACCAAGAAACAGTATCGACTGCTGGAAACTATGTTGCATTATATGCAGAATAAGACAAAACCTCAGTATTTAGGTACAAGATAGATATTCGATCGATACCAAATCAATAGCTATCAGAAAGTTTTTATTTTCCACACTGTTCATACCTGGTGAACATGGTTTAAGTTGACATACTTCATATGCCCACATGCACTCCTCTTTTGAACCAACATTTCTGCATTCCCACTTTCTTTTTGTACCTGTACCGCACGCTTTACTACATTTGCTCCATGAGTTCTTATCTGTTGCAAACGCAGAAGATTCATTTATTATTCGAAGATAAATATACTATCTTTCATGGTAGAACTATTTCAACTTAAGAGTAAAACGGAATATGTATAATCTGTTACACAAATCCTGAATTTTCATTCTACTGTACACATTCTATGGGGAATGAAAGTAAATTATTTTTCTAAAATGACGCCAATAAGTAAAACTTGTATAGGTGTACTGAAAAAGAGAAATTTTAAATATTAGAAAAAGCATATCAAGATAATTTTAAATTGCTAGATCACCAATAACCTATGCTCGATTTAAGTTATTCTTATTTGTTGCACTTGAGTTATGTTCTTATATTGTTATAGAACAGGGATGGCGAACCTTTTTCAATGAATGGGTCAAAAATTATATTTCTATCGCGGAACAGAAGAGAGTGGGTCACAGATATATGATCAATGTTTGTATCTATAAGAAACTTCTGAAACAAATCTTTTAGGCTTCTGTTGGTGTAGTTTCAGGCTTTACTTATGAAGCACTTCTATCAGGGACTTTTTATGGCTCTCGATTTTATGAAATTAGAGTGCAAAAACACGCATATGAATTACCATAAACGTTTAGGATGATGCGGTAAATTTGATTTACGGTTCCAAAGAGTTCCCTGCCAGTGTTCTATTTTTTAATCAACTTTCAACCTCATTAAGGCACTTTTACACTGCCCCATTGTTATTTCAGATTTCTAGGCTTTCATTTCAAGTCTGAAAGATTTTGTTCTCTTAACGGTATTGTGGGCGAGAAACTAATAAAATACAAAGTAGCATCTAGTTCTCGCATAACCCCTAAAACAGTCTGCAGATAAACTTCCGAAAGATACCAGACGTAGCGACAAATTAACATATCAGTTGCATTGTTATGTCATAAAGGATGTCAGAGCTAATAGCTGAATAATGGTTCACAGCGGTGCAGACATGCGTCCGAGATTAGGGGTTTTGAAAATTACCATACCAGCCAGAAATTAACAATTTGAATATGAGCCCTCGCGGCCCTGACTGCCCAACTGACGGTATATTATAATAGTTTAGGTATTGTTAAATTAATTTAAGGCCGGTTGGCGGGTCACGAATAAAACGCGGTGGGTCATTTTGTGACCCGCGGGTCAGTGCTTCGCCATCCCTGTTATAGAACAATATATTTGGTATGATAATCTGAATGAAAGGAACATGTTAGTGAATTTGTTGATACTAAAGAGAACCACTTTTAAAATTTTGAATCCAATCATTGAATTTTCCGCTATTTTAGTGGTCGGCAAAGTTTTTCAAGCTAGGCCCAAATAGTAAAATGAAAAAGTTTTCAAGGCCTAACAATTTTGTTAGAATTTTTTAAAATTTAACCATGTATTAAACTTGTTAAGGTACATTTAATTTGTAATTAAAAAAACTGGTGCGAACTTACCGGTACATGTGAGGGTACAAAAATTGAACAACCGAATGTAGCAGTATACATCGTTAACTTTTGCAATTTTAATAACGCAATACAATAACCAGACACGCACAAATGAACATGCCAGAATAGTTGGAATGACTGTAATGTATGAACCTTTGATATATGAACCACTACTCTATTTGCTTTGTTTAGGAATATACTCACCACAAGGAATGTCAACATTACAGTCTTGCTGCTCTTCCATTGGGCCCATTCCTTGACATTGACCGTCAACTGAGCATTTACGGATTCTCTTCTGCGTTCCACCTTCACAATCTGCTGAACATTTTGTCCAATCTTCCCATGGAAGTAATTCTAATTCATTGCAATTGTCATCATTAATCTCATAAAATTTAAATGCACTAGTGGCATGGTTAGACAAATACATCCTACCAATGTGTAAGATGAAGGCATAAGACTAAAATTAGTTCAATTGATGCGCTTACACAGATGGCCATATATCAAAAAAACATTTTTTTCATCAGCTCTTTACAGCAGTAAAATCTGCTATATCAAAACCTATTTTATTTATGAATCAATTCAGTCAAAGGTTGGAACAACCGACATTGCTCAGGAGTTATTTTGAGTACCTGGAAAAAGTTCAAGAATTCCAATAATATATTCCTAACATTTTGATTTTCTTGAATTTGAATCATTCCAGTCACAATTAGAAAGTAAATAGAGTCGAGCTGGGTACTCAAAATTGGTAACTAGATACAGCCTTGATAGAAATTAAATTACATCAAAATTGTCTGACTTGGCCTTTGAAGAGTCGAAAATGAAAAACTAGAATTGCAGGTAAAAATGGCGCTACCGTAGTATGTGCAACAAGATGGCGGATTCTGAACATAGTGTGTGTACCAGGTTAGGGTTAGGCCATAATTTTATCCCAATATTCCTAATTGTAGTTCCATTACAAGTTCAGGGACTAGCCAAGTGACTCCCATAGTATTTGTACCTGAAATTATGGCCTAACCCTAACCTGATACACATACTACATTCTGGTGTTCGCCATCTTGTTGCACATACTACGGAAGTAACAAAAAAACACCATGTCCTATTTGAATGTGAGTTCTAATTTGTGTATTTGCTGATGCAGCCTTGAAATAGGATTCAAGTATTTCTATCTGCAAAATGTTGTGACCTCGTGTCTCTCCGCAGATTGACAGAACTTTTTTTGCTAATTTCAATCTTTTCAAAAAAACATTTTTCCCATTCGTTTACGTGAGTTCTTTATATGTTCATGCTCTTTAAACTGGGGGACAGGGCTCAATAGGGGTCACGATAAATTCTTTATTGACACTAACTTATGGTAAAGAAAAATATTGATCAAATTAGGTAGATTTGGAAGCAGTACAGAGAGACCCATCATCGCCGAAATATAGCCAAGATTCGATCTTATGTGTCACTAAAAGATATTGTGAATTTTATAATTTTTTGCTGTATTGTTGAATTTTATTTTAGTTCTGGAATCTGGAGAGGTGCAAAAAAAATTCGGCCGTACCAAGTGGGTGATAAAAAAAAGGTAGAAGAACGCTGCTCTAATCCATATTGCAATAATTTAGCTAAGAGCATGGATAGAAGAGTCAAATGACATTATAAGAGACATAAATGGTTTGACCTTGCATCAAATATGTTAATAAATATAAACTGGTTTTCGACACAAGTAGAAATTGAATAATAACTGCTTGATTTCAATTGATAAAAATGAACCAATGGGCAGTGAAGTAAAAATTTGACTAATATGATACAAGGTTATTTTCCTGGTGTACACTGAAGCATAGCACTAAAGCATCAAGATCGAGAGATAAGAAAGATAAATATAGAAATCTGGCATAGATCTAAGTTTCTGGTAAAATTTGGTTTTCTCAAAGTTGGAAGATGGATTTGACATTTCCTACAACCTGGAATCAGTAGCCGAAGTCATTCTAAACTTTTGTTGACTCGTAATCATAATAGAGCCATTTTTGAACAGCTCAGAGTATGGAGTCAGTTATAAGTTTTTACAGACTACATACATAGCCCAGGTCGAAACAGACAAAATTCCGCATAGGAAAAATATTGCACTATTATCGCTATTTTGGAACCCATTGCAATATATATACGCAATGAACGGTGTTACTTGAAGAATTAAAATGATATTTTACGTCTGACAATTTATATCTATCACTTCAGAAAAGATGATAATCAAAAATATTCAAAACAAATTTGACCCTACAAACCACAAAGTATGAAGTTTCACTTACTGGGAGCTTCACAATCTTTTATTTTACAGCTACTTTTTTCTGTACTACTTCCTGTGCATTTACCAGGAACACTGCAGGCACGTGTTCGTGTTCTTTCTCCTGTTCCACAGTCTTTAGAACATTTTCCCCATGGCCTCCAAGGCCTCCATTCTGATAAAATGGGGATAAACATTATAAAAATAAAGTACTGTGACAAAATCAAGTCAAAAAGGCATATATTGTAGCGTAAGAATCAACAAAACACTCTTCTGAATCTTTATCAAACGATATGTCAAAAAAAAATTCTGAATGTTTCTCAAACAATATGTGAAAGACAATATTATGTTAACTTTAGATGCAATCATACATATGTCATTTGTTCTGAGGGCTGTTGCTAAAATGTACATACGAGAAAGTCATACCTATTTTTTCACATTCTCCCAGATTACAGTCGTCTGAAATAGTGGCGTCTCCAGGGCATTCTCCCGGACCTAGACAGTTCCTTTTCCTTGTTCTCGTGCCAGGCCCGCATGTCTCTGAGCAATCACCCCATCGTTGCCAATTGTCCCATTCTTTTAATGGAAATAGTAATATCGGTATAAATTAAACAATAATCATGAAAATTTACTCTACATTGCATTATATATCACCTCACACACAGAAACTTTTGATGACAAATAAAATCTTTGAATATACCGTACTTATGAAAGGAACAACCAATATCATCAGAGAAACATTTTGGAGCATGATTAACATTTGTTGCATAGTTGTTCAGTTACTCACTTCCAACCTGAGTGTCACAATCCTTTATTTTACAATTTTTTGTATCTTCAGATATACCCGAACAGCTGTTTGGCACTGAACACACTCTTGTGCCTTTCTGCGTTCCAGGTCCGCATGGCTTTGAACATTCCTCCCATTTCCATGCCCCCCATTCTGGAACCGTTGTTACTACAAAATAATCGGGTATACAAAGATTCACATTGATTTCAGAAATTTATTAAAAAGTTATTAAACGTCAAAACTAATTCCTCCGAAACTAGCAGAGTATGAAAATATAATTCAGTCCAAAATGGATAAAATTTTCTGCAACAAACATGCTAGATGCTGCCCTAAATTCATTGCATGTTGCGATTTTCGACAGATTGCGACCTAATTTAATTTTGTTGCATTTATAAGGCGATTTTTCATAACAATTTAGAGTTTTATGCAATAATTTTAGCCCGGCTCACATCATGTTCCTTTCACTCAATTTTTACGTTTTTTACAGTACACAATATATAAACCTGATCAAAATATGTTGAATTAGGCGTCGGTTTAAACTCATCAAACACTATGGGGTTTCGTGTGCATAACTTGCTTAAATAACATGCATACAGCAGGTATACGTAAATGAAAACGAGACATATAACAAGTTGTATAAATATTAGGGATGGGCCGGGATTCGGATCCGGACTCGGATTCGAATCCAGACATTTTTTGGACTCGGATTCGATTTCGAGTCCACATCGTTTTTACCGAGTCTATAATCAATTCTGTTTTTACTAATTTATGCCTATGTTTGTACTTTTACCCCTATAAATCTCACTATGTACCTTAACTAGTTGAAATTCAAGGTTAGATATGTAACAATATCACTTGTGTGTATTATACACACTCCTAAAGCGACGATAGATATCCAGATAATATAATGCAAGTTAAAAATTATTGATAGCTTATAACAATGATGCGCCAGTCGCCTATCCTACCTATCTATCTATCAAACTATTTATCCTGTTTGGTATACATGTGGTACACAATAGCATATGCGCTAGCGCAATATTTTTGTGTTTTCGATTCGCGTAAATAAATATGAAACATGCGCAGGATCAACCTAAGAGGGAATCTCATCAATACCTCGTTTAAATCGAGTTTATTACGTGCAATCCTTTTTCTAAAAAGGGAGCAATGGAAAGCATGGAGCGTTTTAGAACGTTTACATGAACTTCTAAATTACAAGCATTGTATTGACGACCAGTGGCATCTCTCTACCATTTGCGCACGCCACAAAGTAAATTTGAGGCTAGAAATATCTGGAATTATGGGAAAGCATTGTAGTCAAAAGCTTTTTATTTTACATATTGACATGTGAGAATTTCTAAATAGCCGCCCAGAATTGATGCGAGGTGGCGGGCTGGAAATCCATTTTACAGCCATGGCGCACATTGACCCACGTTTACGTTTGTATTATGTATATATTACGGATTCGTCGAATCTCTGTAATGCCGGACTCGACCAATCCCTAATAAATATCAACCCAATATAGTATTGACAATTTACAAACATTTTTAAAAATCACGTAAAGCTCAATTAAGTGTAGTAGTAGAATGGATTAGAAATAGTCAAGTATAAAATAGATCCAAAATATGAGCATTTCACTGAGTAAGTTTATCTTTTTAATGATATAATTAGTCCTGAATCAAAAATTGCAGAAGGTCTTTCAAAGTCTCTAACATTATCTGACATAATGGTCAGGCTGTTAGATGAAATTTGAAAGATCTAAGAAAGAGTAGAAAATAACGATAAATTTTTACTCTTACCCTCGCATTTCTTGCAAAGAAGCGGACAAGATTCGATAACCATGGGATAGTTGCAAAACAACCCCCATCCCGGACATCTGGGATCTTTGTCCTCACAATCACCTGTAAACAATATTCCTATTCGTTACCCAAATCAGTGTGAAAGTTTCCTAATTATAAAGTTTGCCAGGTACGATGTTTTTTTGGTTTGCTAACAAAAATATCATATTCTTGTTCCATAACATGTAAAATCAACTTTTTTGCAGAATATCGCATTTTTTCCATATAGACAAATGCGTGAACTTTTACAGTAATCAATAGGGTGCTCCCAAAGTATGTGCACCATTAATAGTTATTTTAAAGGTAATTCTATAATTTCAAAGACATAGAAATCATTAATCAAACCCATGACCCTAGCAATTTGAAATCTGCTTGCGTAAAACATACAAACTTTTAAATCTCACAGAGGAATTTACAATCTTCAATATGCCCCCAGAAACCAAAGTTCTCAAACCCTGGTATAGCTTGCAACATATTGTCACTTGCCTGTTGGGCATGGGGGTAGTGAACAATCTCTGGTCCGTGTTGCATCACCAATGCAGTTATTTCCTGTCTGACATGTACGACTACTTGTTTCGGTCCCTGTTCCGCATTCTGCATCGCATTTCCAGTCACTCCAAGTAGTCCATTTGCCTTCACCACCTGTATGTAGAAAATTTGAAAAATTCGATAAATAAAAATGGAGAATCTACAACCACAATTCGTACTTTGGACAACAAACCACCATCTTACGTAAGTCTAATGATACTATACTATACCAGCCATACGCAACCTTTTTCGTTAAATTCCTACCGCAGCCTATTTTGGAACCCTTGTTCCGTCCTCACTATTCATAAAAAGTACTTTATCTGTTCAATCTTTAGTGTTGTGTCCGAACGGATGATACTTTTTACAATAAAGATCAAACAGTAGGTATACATCTCCCGAATAAAATATAGATTTATTTCCTCATTGCATTGCATCTCAAAAAGGCCATTTGCATATTTTCGGCTCCACTGAACCCTTTGCACTTAGCATCAATTTTTCTGCTTTTGTTGCCATTATAATTAAATTATAGGCTCATTAAACGAGTAATTGTGAATTGTATACTAGTTAGGTTATAATATAATTCAGTCTACACGTGTCTCAAATAAATTCTGTTACATAAAGAATAAATCGCCAAAACAGTTGTTTTGTTACTATAATTCAGTGATGCATAACGGACCGGATTATATTACTCCAGGCCAGGCCATAGTTTGCAGACCCCTGTTATAAAGCAATTGGTGTATGATATAGAAAAATTGATATTAAGCATATCTTTGGAATATATCAATAAGAGTGCTTCAATAATATTTTTGTAAGATTTATCGAAAATTTTATTCAAAAGTTCTCTTCAAAACTCCTAACTTTGGCTTTGATTACAAAGCCTTTCAGTCAGTATATGCTTGCTGTAAGCATGATTGTTTTCTGGTGAGATGGTAATTATTACTGGTTTTCAGATTCTTGGTCCATCTCTTCACTGAATCCTGGATGACATGTCAACTCACTTAAAGATTAGGAGATGACATGCTCTATGCGGCCAGAAGACATGTAAGGAAGAATAGTGTAGATAGTACTAGTAGTATTTTTATGTCTTATATTATTAAAATAGGTATTAATGGATACTTGAAAAGAGATTGTTATATCGCCGTGGCAATATCTTACCACTTTGTTCACAACATGTCTTCTTGCATCGGCTTTTTACAAAAAAATCAGAGTTGCAATACAACTTGTTCCCGTCACACCAGTCAGGTTCAGGACCAGCACACGGATCTGTGAGGAAATAAATATCAAGTTAATATTTTAAATCAAATATTAAGTGTTCAAAATTTTTTGGCAATTTAGGCCATGAATGACGAGGATGGATTGCCGAACGACATAGAAATACCGAATCGATGAAAAGTCTATGTTGCAGTAAAGCCTGATGAGGTATCTATAAAATTACAAAAAGATGGAATCAGGCAATATGATGGTAATTGTTTTCATTTTAGAAAGCTTAGTAGCGTTTTTTTTTAAAGTTGGGCTAAATAATAATAGTCGAAGGTGGTGCTAGGGTCATAAAATAAAAACAATTTCATATGTTCTTGAAAAAAGAATCAAATTGGCGGAATATATAAGGCAGGATGTTGTTGATTCACACTCAATCGTGTGGCTGTGTTGTCTGGTAAAAGTTCAACTTGACCACATAGCATAATCCTTACCGGGGTGCAAAACTCTGGGTGCTCGTGTCTAATATGGTACACCATAAGCTGGAACATGGCGCTCAAACCATTTGTTAAAAAGTAATACTTGTATTTACGGTATTTTAAATCCCAATAACTCATGTTCCTATTGAAATAAACATGAATCACCATATTTATTCACATATTGCTAGCTAGTGGCCCCGTTATCAGGAGGTAGTAGTCAAAATTAAGTAAGTTTTTTTGATTACTTAAAAATGAACAAATCTCAGCTACTTTTACTAATATACTTTTGAATACTTTTGCTAATATACAAACATTTAAATTAGTGATGCGCATCGCTATTTCTCCTTTGAAGCCCAACATTTCAAATTTAGTTCATCAAAAACATGGTGGTACGGCGCATGGCAAGACTATTTGAAAACTGAGGTCCACATCCTCATATAAGTTGTGCACGCCTGGTCTAAACAGTGTATCAAGGATGGATGGGTTCGGTATTAGTTAAATACTTGCTTGTTTCGGAGATTTCTTCCCCGCTTAATTATTTTCATCAATTTTGAGCGTCTTTTTATCACAGCTGAGGGTTCGAACATTACTTACAGTTTGAAACAAAAAAATGTTGAAATTCTCTGCCAATTGTAAGAAACACACCTTTGACTATGATATATCACTCTGATTGCGAATAATTTCAATCAAAGAGCTGTGTGTACAAAAGACAAAAAGCTGTTTCTTGCCCAAAAAATGGTTTAAGTTGATTCCCCTTTTTATGTTATAGCAATGAAATGAATTTTATCGGGTGTGAGTGGATGTTCACTGATGACAATCCATAAACACCAATCTATATGCACATGCGCACCCAAAAGCACATGTTTTATTAGTACATCGGGAGATACATTTCAAATAAACTTTACATAACTATAGTTAGGAGAGATTATTGACAATGAAAGAAGTGGCATTCTTCTGAGAAAAGCATGTGATAGATGACATATGCAGCCTACGTCTTTTTAGGAATTTTATGTTATCTAACTCCTAATGTTGACTAGATATTGAGCTTCACATAACAGAGAATTGAGGTTGTGAAAACAGAATTGAAAGAGAACTTGGTAAAAATAGTGTGTGCTCAAAAATTGAATCAAGGATTTTAAAATGAGTGAGTTGATCCATAACGTTTGTGCGAGTCGCATTGAACTTGATAGCTGCATTGTACATTGCAGTTAAGAGCATGCACCTGGCATAGTTTGAGCAAGTGGTTCAAAAACTGAAGATTTTCCGGGGTCGCCTGGTTTCTTTCAAACATGCGAATACAAGTGACTTGGATTTGAAAGTTGGAAAGTGAAATTTGTGCTGGTCTGCAGATGCCGTAAAAGTGCCTAACTTCGAATTTTTCAGCAATAACTCGACCATTTATTGTCCAATCAGCATCAAAATTTCTGGCCGGGTAAAACTTTCATGAGGTTCCTTTATGAGACAATGTAATTGTAATTGAGTAATAATATTTTCTTTTTTATAGCTTTTTTGATCATGTTACATCCGAATGAGTAGTTGACCCACTGGTACCTCACTCATATTTTTTGACAGGCTGCGAGAAATGATGATAGTTTGTTATTTTGTACCAGTGTAGCCGTATGGTTATCGAATATACATAGAGGGATTGCTTTATTTGGCAATTGGCCCCTAATGAGATGTTTGACAATTATGGCATTGATTGCCAGGCGGTGTCTTGGTCGAGTAATTACGCTTTAGGTTTCGATCAGTTGCGAAAGCGCTTTGTTAATTCATATGCTTTTACTATTTTCTTCCATGCTCTGTTTTTCTTTCAAATAAATAATGAGGTAATCTGTAAAATGTTGATATTGAACTAAAAATAATAAAGGCACTGTTGGAATGTGCTAAATAAAATTTTGAATTTGTGTATATTTAGAAGCAATCTTACTATTACCGAAGTGTTGTACGCTTCCTTACAATCTATCACATTTTAGCAAGTCTATGTTTTGTCTATGAACCATTATTGGACCGCTCTGAGATGTTTACATCAGCAACGTCCAATGAACAGGTACATTGTAATTAAATTTATATACTAATTTTGGAAGTTGCTGAACGTTTCTAGTTGCGGGGTGACGGGGTCGCAGGTATCTATATTCTATAGGCTTTGATTTTATGAAAATTGGGGTCGCGAAAAAAAGTTTGGGAACCACTGGTTTAAGCAGCTCTTTCCACAAAATCTGATGACGTAGTTGCCTGTACTAAAATAGATTACTTACCAACTACGCAATCAGCCAATACACACTCTGCGGTTTGCTCTGCAGCACCAATGCAGTTATTCCCAGTCTCACAGGTTCGAGTTCTCGTTTGAGTGCCTGTCCCACATGTGACATCACAATTCCAGGCTCCCCATTCAGACCATTCAGCTGAACAAATATGAATTTAATAGTATTAATATCAAACATTTAGAAATAATCAGTGTATTTGCAGTGTCTGGTAATTAATATATTTTCAATTTTTTTGACTGCTTCAGACACAAGGTGATTTGATTTATCTTTACAACCACATTCTAAATATTGTAGACTATTACAATTAACAAACATATTAGTAATACGGAAAACTTGGTCATTGATCTTATTGAAATCAACACACATTTTATATACCACACATTACTTACGCAGTACACACGCATTCAGTGTACAAGGCTTGGTTTCTACTGCAGGACCTTCACAGTTATTCCCTGTCTCACAGGTGCGCCTTCTCGTCTGAGTGCCCGTCCCGCATGCGACATTGCACTCCCAGTTTCCCCAATCAGACCATTTCGCTGGGATAATTTGATAAAGCAAGAGTTAAAAACAAAGACTACAAAGGGTTTTGTTGTTTTAATTTAATTTAATTTAAATATGTCGCATACATTGAACTGACACAGATGAGATAAATAGTTTGTTTTCTCATTTTTTTGAACTTTACTGGTAGATTTCTTATTAAGTGAGAATATTCACGGAAAGTATCAGTTTCACAAACTATTTTGAAAAATATTAATTCTGGGGTGCTTATGCGTGTTTATGATATTGCCAGCACTAATACAGCATAAGTTTAACCAGTAATTCATTTTGCTGAAAAATGGGAACCTGTAAAATAATGTGTGGCATGTGACATGTACAAAAAGAAAGACATGGCGGTTTTAATAACAAATTTTAATCGTTGAATGAACAGGTTTGATGGGACAATGGTATAATATAGGTTAGTTTACTTTGTTTTCAAAAGAGGCGAACTTTGCGCATTGGCAAAAATGATTAGGAACTACTGGAATATCTTGTACTACAAGCGAACAATGAATGGTATTTTCCTGAAGTCAAATCTTTAAAACCTTGATGGCGTGATGAAATCAAATTTGCTAGTAAATGAGGAAAGCGATCATTGTCATTCTTGCAAAACATATACATGGAATTTGTAAATTTAAGAGTATACAATGCCCTTGTAAAGATTATGATTGTATGTGTAATGATTTGTTGGGAAAGTATAACTCTTTTCTGACAATTATAGAAGGTGTCCATTAGGTTGAGAGATGAATGTGTAGTGATATTAACTTATGTCATATCCCATTATTATTTGTGTAGTGCATGACTATACCGGGGTTTAGTGCTATCATATTCACTGTCATATTAAGCATTTCATAAGTTCACTGTTGATACAGACCAAATTATTATGCTGTCTGGACATTTTCGAATACTTGATTATTTCAGAATCATATCGAATAATTTTTTTCGAATCGAATCTCGAATATTCAGAATATATGTAATTATATGTGATTTATTTATTGCAATGTGTCCTCCAGGTAATAAATAACTTGAAACATAGAATCTATCATTCAGACAGTTCTCCGAGTGTTCACACAATTCATTAATAAATTAATGAATTACTAGGAAAAAAAGAGGGAGCTCTCGAAGTATGTATACCAAAATGGTGCACATACTTCGGGAGCGCCAAAAAGGGTCATATGTCATAATTGCATTTTAAAAATATGGCTTTAATAAAAAAAATTGAGAAAGTCACATTGACCTTTGGCCGACAAAAAAAAAGTTGGTGGCGATTCAAAATGTTTACTATTTGATTGGAATTGCCCAGCCTACCTACAAGGCATTGTAATTTGTAACTGTGCTCTACCTATTGTCATATCATTAATTGGAAAAATAACCATAACATGCCAATATGTAATAAGTCAGGATGATTCATGTGGCCTGAAGCAATGCTAGAAGGAGTCTCGGGGGACTCGATGGCTCAATGGGGTTGGCTGTAATATCTTTTTCGATACTAACCAAATCAAATCTGAAAGATTTGAAACCAGTATTAAGATCATCACCAAATAGAGCGAAGATTCGATCTTTTGTGTGAGAATATGCACATTGGTTTCATTAAAGGCATTGTCAATTTTATTATTTTTTTCAAATATTTCCTGTATTGGTAAATTTTTAGTTCTTGTAAGTCACGAAAAAATTCGACGATGCTAAGTTGGTCGTGATGAAAAAGTTTGAACAACACTGACATACCCGTATATTCGCGCATATAGGCCGAGTTCGAAACTCAAAAAAAAAAATTGCCAAACTAGGGGATCGGCTTATTCGCGCAGAACTCAGATCAAACCAAAAAATCGGCTCGTTTGCGCATGACTTTGATCACGTAACGAGTATCAGAGTGCCGGTAATTCGAACAGCTACAAACCATGCTTAGTTCTCATGATAAACAGCGTGCAGGCATGAACAGTCACACTGTAGCCAGAGAAAATTCATGGTGATGGTGTGTAGGGCCATAAATAAACTGTTACCGTATTTCCCAGCGAATAAGTCGCTTTTCTAAACTCAAAATTTTCGGTCTGATTTTAGATGAGTCACCTTAAACACAAATACATCAAAATAGAAAGATGGTTCAGATTCCTGTAGTTGCCATTCAACAAATGAGAAAATGCGGTGACTGCTGCACAAGCCGTTGGAATGGAAATTTTCAATTCCGAATATGAACCTGTTGCGATTTTCTTGAGAATATTACCAGGTTCCAATTCCATCTTATTGGGCGGCTATATGCAAAAACCCCTTATTGTAGGCTTAAGAACGGGCCTCGTCTTATTTGCCAGGTAGACTTATTCGCCAGGAAATATGGTATTCGTTTAGGTTGCTGAACTTGACCAGTTCATAACAGGTATGTAAATAATTATTCAGTTATTTGTCATTAAGATGCAATAACCTGATGGTACGTACACGAAGATGAAACCGACCAGCGGTTACGCATACAACCCTAGTTAATGAATTTTTATAGTTTAATTTGAATTACAGAATATTTTCAACCTCTCAAATTGTCTTGCATTAGACAATATAGAAGAATAAAAGATATTACCTGCACCACCACCACTGTCTTTGCAACATGTTGTCTTACAATATCTTCTTACATATTCCATAGTTTCGCAGTTTTTTTTATTGGCACTGCACCAGATTGCTTCGTCGGGTGCACAAGATGTATCTATAAAATGTCATTAGGAATCATCCTTTATACATGCCGTTAGTTCTAACCAAGGCTACACTATACTATAGCTTAGGGATGGCGAACCAGTGATTCACCATGCTTTTCTGGTAACCTGCAAAGTCCAAATTTAGTGTTAGAAACATTAACATATCACCCATGAAAATTGATAGTAAAACAGGATTCAGTTCAATAACAGCACAATTGTTGTTATGACATATACCAACACACTTGATCTGTATATTTTTGAAAATTTGTCTTGTGTCGAGTAACAGCAGTTCTCTTTCAAAGGTACATAAACTAAAGAGGTTGCAAAATTTTTTGAGACGATATACAAAATGGTCCTTTGCTTTTTATTTCAGTATTTTATTTGACATACGATGCCGTATATTCATTTTGGAGAGCCCCCCGCCCCCAACCAACTTTTCCAAGATGTTACCCAAATTTACAGTATAAATTTACAAATATTTAGGGGACTATCATATTTTGACTATCATATTACGAATTTCTTACCACAAGGGTCCCTTGTACAAGGCCGGGTTTGCTCCGCATCACCTTCGCAGTTATTCCCTGTCTCACATGTACGGCTCCTAGTTTCAGTACCTTGCCCGCATTGAACATTACAACCCCAATTGCCCCAATTTGACCATTTTGCTAAAAGTAGAACATTATTAACAAAAGCGAAAAAAATTACTAGCACTGTTTCATGCTATAACTGTATAACATGTCAAAAGTTGAATAGTTAGACTGCGTTTTTACATTCATGAATTAGCCTTTTCTAATTACAGAATTAGGCTGCTAGTATTTATACTTAGGATAGGGCCCCTGATGTGAACTACCCTACTGCGGCGAGGAGTCCAGCAGTCCTCTCGCACATACAGTCTCCACCAGGTAACGAGATCATTTTTGGCAAAATGCTTTTAAAATTCTTTCTATTGACCGCAAATACTAAATTTTTACCTGACTCTGCAAGTGTATCTCTACCACATCACTAAAAAACATGTGGACACCATGACTTGAAGACCGTTTATAAATACTGCCCATAATTACACCATGTCAAAGGGGTAAATACAATCAAAAATGCAGATTAGCGATCACCAAAATTCTTGCAAATGGGAGCACCGTCGTTCGTGTCCTTGATCCTAGATATGCAGGAAAAATGACAGCAGTCCAAATAGATATTGAGTGTGTTGACGTGACACCTACTTTTATTTGACAAAGCGACTAACCGATGTTTTTTTTAAACTTTATCTAACCAAACTAACCCGGTTATTTGATTCCAGAGAGGATAAATTAAAAATGAAGATAATATCGACTGATTAGCGACACAATTGTAGAGAACAATTTCAATATTAAAACTATCAGTTTTACACATTTTAAGAAAAATATTTTTTTACAATTCAATGTGAGTGGCAAAGAATCCATAACCGTTTTGGCGCCCCGGAAACACATTCCTGTTTAATGTAATAAGAGGCACCACTTATATTTTCGACTATTCTCAGTGTGCACTGCAAGGAAGTCAACTCTTGAATCGATAAAAATCAAATAATCATGAATATTGCCTGTAAAACTTATGGTAACAAGAATGAAATTTTTTATCAATGAAACTGATACAATAGTAATAATCATAAAAAATTCGAAGCACTCAAATCAGAGAATGAAACATTTCGATTGCTTTATGAAGATGAAATCATAGATTAAAAAAAGTGGTTACTGTAACCTACGCTGCTACGAGAATGAAAGATATGAGAATTCACTTTATTATGAAGGTATTTAACACCTTAGAAATTATCGATAATCGTGCTTTCCAGTACATTCGAAAAGTCACATATCAGGTATTATTTTTTTCAAAACAAATGCCCCACAATGAAAATTTTGACCATTACTGCATTACTAAGGAGAGCTGTGTGCACCTTAAGTGAAACCAGGTGTCGCGATTGTCACACTGAATCCGCCCTTGATAACTTGGACCACCTTCAAATCCAGCATTATGGCAGTCTCTTTCACTTTTCTTCGCGCCTACTTCAACCTTCTAATTCTTATCGCCCGTTAAAACTTGCTTAGCTTTTTTGATTTTTGTAATCTGCTATCTAAATAAGTTTGCTTCTTTCGCCACATTTTCTTGTTTTCCTGCATCAACGACTCTAATTCATTCAATGTGTCATCTTACAATAAATTGAATGACTGTTATTTATGATTCATTGGCAATTTTCACAATTTTGGAAAAATTATTTTCCCTGCAATAGTTTTTTATGTTTGTTTTTCTTTGTTCTTCCTCTTTTTATATAGGTTATTCTACTTAAAACTCTGCAATGTCAAATAGAAGCCATTCTAGCTCATTTGAACTCTTTTATAATGCTTCTTAAAATAAACTTTCGTTTTTAACGAAAAAATTACTTTCCATTGCATCTAAAATATTTCTTGATTTTGTTAGCACATTTTATGAAATGCCCCATGATGGATGACAGTGAGAAACTGATGAAATATTTGAAGTGGATGAAAAATGTGGCGACATACTTTGGGTATCAAAATGTTTAAAGATCTGTGAAACAATGGCTTGTAAAAAAATTCCATCATATTGATAGTCAACAAATCTGAAGTCGAATTGAAATGAAGAAGGCACATTTTCTCTGAGATAAATTCTTCAAATTGTTTCAAGGCAGATAAAGAGATATGGTATATGTGGCGCTGGGATGTGGTGCTCTGCAACACTTTTCCGCTTGGGCATTTCACTTAATTGGCATTTCCCTAATAAACAATTGAGTATTTTGAGGGCGGTGGTCAGTTGTTTTCGAAATGTTAGGTATATATACCGTAAAAGCGCCTAACTTCGGACAAAATTACTATATTTTCGTCAATAACTCGACCATTTATTGTCCAAACGGTGCCAAAATTGCTCGGTGAAACATTCGTGCGGTAATTTACATTCCCTGCAAATTTCGGTTCAATTGGACTATTTTTACTATAGAAATAATCGATATTTCTTGCCATCTGACCGTTATCCTTCACTGCCCTAACTTCGGACAGTCATTTTCTTCACTGCGTAACCGCGACGCACAGAGAGAAAGAGGCTTCCGATGCGGATGACGTAATCACGTCGTTGCGTGAAGATAAGACGCTCGATCGTCGTCGTAACGTAACATTCACGTCACGACGAAAATGCATTATTTGAAACTTCCGTCGTCCTATGTTTACATCTTTCGTTCGTTATTTTCGATACTTCAGATGAGTATAATAACACGTTAGTCATTTTAATCAGGAAATGCATACGTAAATATATCTGATGCAAACCGTTTCAATCCACAATGAAGTATTTTAACGGGCTTCTATCGAAGTCTTTGAAGTATTAATATTCTTGGCCGATAGCTTTTTTTTTATTCTGCGCGGTTATCTTTATAAATGATAATTTATATCAAACACACGGTAAATCCGATTGTAAAGTTTAATTTAAAATTCAACTTAATCTTGTAAACATGTAGGTCCCGTTTATTTGTTGGAGATTAAATTTATTTTTAATTTCGAGTGAATAAAATCCACCCAGGCCGTATTCAATAACTGTCATTTCGACTACTAATCATAAAATAATGGTTAAGTCAGTGCACTGTGCCATATGGACGTTGGAATTATCATAGTTTTATATATTCGATTTTTAACGTCATCGATTAAGTGTGACATGTATTTTCATTAATGTAATTTTGGCATATATTCATACATGACCGAACAAAATACAAAAATATTACATTGGAACGCCGTCTTTATCTTAACGGAAATTGTCATATTGGCTCCGTTGTGTCTGGCGTCAAAATTCATTTCCGCGACGTAGTGTGACGTCGTGTCGGAAGTGAGCGAAAAATAATCTACGTGAGGTTGACGTATTTTTGACGCTGCGTGAAATCTTAAGATTCTTACGGAATTTATAATTCAGAATTTTATGTTTCATTTAAATCTCGTACGACATCTTGCGATCACTCCAATAAATTATATACATTGTTGTCGCCCTCTACCGAATGATGGTATTTTGACGATGATAGCTTCAGTAGGAGCGACGCTCTGCGCCGTTGAATGCCGGGCAGTCAATTTTCGGCAAAATTTTCGTTTTTTTACCAAAAAAATAATTATGCAACATTAAAAAAGATGAGAATAAATGTAGATATAACAGCGCAACCTATAATAATTAAAATTAGCAATATACGGCGCGTTTTAGCCAAGATATGGCCGTTCAAAAATTTTGTCCGAAGTTAGGAACTGTCCGAAGTTAGGCGCTTTTACGGTACCTGTTGGAAGGTTGCCGACCCCCTGACCCCTGCCTCACCGAATCTGAGGTTTTGTTTGCTCTCCTGATTTCATAATCGGTTATTATTTATTTGTTTTCAACCATCATTTTATTGTTATGCTGATTATGGAGTCGAAATAAACTTATACTTCTAATTCTTCTAACATTCTGAATCTAAAGTTTCTAAACTAAACAAATACCATCCATAAGTCCTCCATATCAGCTTTGAATCAAAATATCATACAGGGGAATTCCCTGATTCCAAAATCCAAAACATGGCGAACGCGAATTATTGCTTTACAGCGCCACCCTGAGGCTATGCTGACCTTGTCTAAAAACGTCTACTTGCATTGTGACAATTTTGTATTTTTAAGTTGTATTCATACGTTTACTGTGGGGTAGCCACAAGCAAACATTACCAGGATAAGAATAAAAAAATTCATCAGATGATATATCTGGTTTTCAACAGGGATAGGCACATTCCTGGACCAAGGAGCCCTGAGACAAACCTCGCGCAGAAGCACCATACAGTCTGAACTGTTTTCGCTGTAACGCCTTCGTCGTGATGCCTTTGGGGGTAATTCAACAATTTTAGTAGTATTAACAGCATCTTCAGAAAGATGTTAGATTACTCATTGGTGAATATGTTTTTTTTACAATTGATATGATACTGATACAGTTGATATAATACTTTATTTTTCTTACGTGTGACACCCCCGCCACCATTGCCTCCTCCATTTTTACAGCAGGTGGTCTTGCAATTATCTCTCACGTAAGTATCCCTTTCGCATTCATCCTTATATCCGGGGCACCATTGCGCGGCATCTTTCTCACAAGATTCTTTTATAAAAATAACAAAAATATTAATAAATCATTAATACTGCTACTGTGTTTTCCCGAAAAAAGGATCCAGCCTGTATTTTAAAACTGATTTTAATATAAGTCCTTCCTTTAAAATAAGACCTGGTCAATAACGCGAAATATTTTTTTGACCTAGTCAATAGAAAGGAATCTCTCATACTCGTTTTAATAGGTTGATAATCTATGTTTTGCAGTTATTTTGAACAAAAACGAGTTATTTATAAGTAAATGGATATCGGTTTTTATATTTTGTATATTTGAAAATCTCGTAATTCTCTGCTTTGTAATTTTTTTTTTTTCAAATGAAAATATAAGACATTTCCAAAAATAAGCCCTGGTGGTATTTTCGGAAGAAAATTGAAATACGACTCAGTCTTATTTTCAGGGAAACACGTTAGTAGTCAAACAGTTAACATATAAATTTCGATAGTAGCTGACATAATTTTTATCGTGGAATTTTGAGAAAATTTGTATTCGAATATTAATATCAGAAAAATATTATTGTTGTTATAGGTCTGCAACGATTCGAGTTAATTTGAGCCTACATATGAATATTTTTAAATGAGTCCAATTGTGGCAGTCCGTTGAGCAACAAGAACATTGTGAACGAACATTCGCTTTCAGTCACTATTTGCGTAGTGCGTATCACAGATGGAAAATGAAAAAATTTAAATAACAATTGATTTTGTTAATGAAAGCATTTTGCACAAAACTTATTCAATGTGTATTATGTGAAAAAAGTAGTGATTAGGTATATTGGGGCCATCGATCTGTTAAAATATGGGTGATAAAATGAATCACTGATTTTCAATTTTAAGATAGGTTTTAACTACAGTATTTCCCAGCGAAAAAGTCTACCCGGTAAATAAGACGAGGCTCCTTTTTTAACCCTGAAAAAATGGGGTTCTAGATTTCAAACTGTCTTCTAATTTCAATCTAGTTGTGTTCATCGTAAATTGCGTCCACCATATGAGAACATCACCGATCTAAAATAACACGGCAATCTGCGGACATAATATTGTGAGATAATGTGAGATAATTGTAGAACACAAATTGTTTTTGTGATTTGCAATGTCCAAAAATCATCTTTAATCTGTCGGGGGACATCCTAAAATAAAACTTAAATGTCGTTTCCGTTTTGTTTTTAGTATTTTATAGTGCCGCTCTTCAATCAAGAAAATTTGGGTCACGTATTCACTCCTTTATTTATCTTGTCACACATGATTATGTGATAACTCATATCTCACAACACAAGTGCCATGGTTGCTTGAGAGCAAAAAAGTTGTCTTCGCAAATTTGTGACTTAGGGAGAATAAATGCTGAAATGAACGATGTTTAAGGCTTAAAAAGGACATCACGCTGACAAAAACAGTTGAAGATTTTCACAAATTGCAATCCCAGGTGTATCGGTAAAAGCCTTTCACTCGTGATGCACACAAAAATGCGGCAACTTCAAATATGATAATCACAGCATTAAAATTCCAGATTCACAGCGCGAGAACGCCGCTTTATTTAAACTGACCTGATTAGGACGTTATAGGGGATGCTATCGCTGAAGGTAGTTTATGGTCCGAATTGAATAAATAGGCGACCCCGAACGATAAAAATTATCATACTGGCCTAATAAGACAACCCCTCCAAAAGCAGGCCAAAAATTTGGGTCTAGAAAAGCGAATTATTCGCCGGAAAATACGGTAAATATTTTCGAAGATATTTACAAGTTATCCTATGCTTTAAAAAAAATGTTTCATGTTTCTGTCGTCTGGTAAAATACCTAGTAGTCAACCTAGATTGTTGTTTTATATATATATCTAGTGCTTTGTATGTATAATTTGAGATATTGTATGTGCTTTAGGAATAAAGTAAATTACCTCCGCCTTGGTCTTCGCAACAGCGTGTTGGGCAAGCGGACTTCATAAAAGCATTTCCACAGTTACTTTTGGGGATTGAACCACACCACGTTTGCGTATCTGGTCCGCAGCCTAAGAACCAGAATGAAATATTTGATAACATTATCAACTTAAAGTAAAAATAATTCCGAAAAATGGGTAACCTGAAGAAGGAATTGAAATAGAACAAACAGTGTCATTTTACATCGTCATTTCAAGTCATTGATTTGTAGTACAGACGTAGTCAAACATAAACGCGTGGATTTAATTGATAAGTTTACGAGAAAGAGCGAAGGCATGTAGAAGTTAGCCCGAAATAATTCGGGGATCTGTTTATGAACAGCAATTAATTTATGGCAGACGTTCACAATAGCTATTTCTATTTGGCATTTTAGGTGCATTTTGAACATTTTCTAAAATAACATATTTTCTTTTACAAGCCAAACTACAAGTTAGTAGTCCCGTATCTTGAACAAAAAAGGACAATGTAGAAATATAATATAGGCCTAAATGGGAAATTTGTCACAGTGTGATATTTAGTGAAGAAACACACATGCGTGAGTCATGGATAACAGAATTATATACCACATTATTTTAATATATATTTACCTGTAGGTCCACTACTACATTGTCGACAAGTTTTACGACATAAAAGTTTTATATTTGCCGTATTACAAGATTGAGCAAAGAAGCCACATTGAGCATGAGAATCTGTGCATCCTATTAAAAAAATAATATTATGATGTTCAATTGTGGAATACCTTGCAGTAGAACAGAGTAATAAGAATGCTTCTTAGAAGCATTATTTGTTACCTTTTATATTGATCATGTTTATATATTTAAATCAGCGATTCCCTCTCTTCTAAAGAAGTACCAAACTTTTGCAGAACTACTTACAAGTCATTCTAATTATTTATTGATTGAATATATATACGATGAATATTGGGAACGAAATGGACCAATGGATCGCTTTGATGAATTTTTGTTACGGCTAACGTTTCTGTTGTTGGAACAATTCCTTTCCAGATGTTTCATGTTACACCATTGCATATATTTATATTCAACACTAGTACGTTGTAAATTGTACTTACCTTGCTGATATGACATCCCTGCAAATGCGAGAAAAACCAAAACTGATGTCCAAAGCATAGTTTCTCGCCAGCCTCGTTCTTTTTGCTCCAAATATATATATGAGAATTGAATTATATCTATAATCGGTATAATAATTATTAATAAATGTATAATGTTAAATTCGGGGAATGAAGCATTCTGGAATACTTTTGCTTCCTACTTATGACGATTATGAATACCCAGCTCTGACAATTTAATTCTCTGACTGAGTTTTAAGTTTTTATGTTATTCATTTGTCCTATCAATTGATCTTGCCAATAGAATATCATTTTTCCTAATCACCATCGTTCTTTCCTACCAAAAGGCATCACTGTTAAGAAAAAAAATTTTTTTCTTCATTTCATACAAAGAAACCAAACACCAACTATGCTCCCACAAAAAGATTAGTTTTCGGGAGTGTTATAGTTTTTTACAGTTTATATTATTTGATTGTAATAATAGTGCTGGCAAACCAGAAAAATCTTAAATAATAATCTAAAATATTTTACTGTCTACACATATATAACTAGGACACTTCTGTCCCTCTCGATATGAATATGTAAAATGACTCTACACTTTAGCCTGACATTTTTGCGAATAAAATTAGTGGAACAGTTTATAAAACGACTAAGATGATGCAAATGCGATTACAAATGTTTTTCACTTAATATGTTGAATACTTAATATTTTCTGATGACCTATCTGATTACAAATGTCCTATCGTTTTATTCGCATAACTTCAACGACAAATACAGACATCAATCGTGAACAACGTCAATAAATTGTCTAAAAATATGACTGAGCAATATCGTTGATGCTATTAAAACAGGCGTTCCTGGTACGTCCACTATCGCCTGAAGCGTATATCGCCAGCCTAATTGCAGACGTAGTGTTTTTGTAATTGATCTTTGGATAAATCAAAATTTCGGTAAATCAAGCATCCCCGGTTCGACAGACAACATAAAACATGAAATTTAGATCGGATTGATCAGATAAATGTTGCCAAACCGTGCCATGCCTGCCTTGGTGCAGCTAGGTAAATATTTGTACCTTTTCTAACGACACTATTATAATATGGTTATATTTTATAAATAAACCATTTAAAAATACTTACATTCGTCTGAATCGTGTATAAATTGACGTAATTTAAATAATTTCAACGTGCTTTCCTCGTGTTAATTAACTTAATTCAATTAATTATGTCAAGGTAATGAAATTTGGGTTTATCAAATTAACTTTATTTCAAAATACCTCCCTATTTTACTACGAATTGAACGATTTCAAGGAGAATGGCCCTCTATTTGCTATTTGCCTTCCAAAAATAACGTAGCCTACATTGATCATGGTGGCCTAATGAAACTCATTTAGTTATGAGGTTGCCTTGTTTCATCTCATAAATCGAACCTATTATTATATATATTAAATAAGATTGAGATGAAAGTGAAATTAATATTGCAAGTTGTAGGCGCATTGCATCTTACTGATGACCAATGGCAATGACCAGTCTTTGTGCAATTGGTATGATTAAACCAATAATAGTAACTGACTGAAGAAATGTAATATTTCAACTTTCTTTTCATATACTTTGTGTTTCACCAAGCAAGCTGTCAGGCAAACAACTTGTCGTTATGTTTCATTATCTTTTTCTACAACATTTTTTCGTTGCATCCTCATATTCTTTGATTTCTGGCTTTTGATAGTTATTTTGAAGCTCTAAAATGCGAAAGGGGGAATTACGTTTGACCCAGACTAGATTTCTTAAGTTTTGGGTCGCTGTATTTAAACATTTTTTCGTATCGTCTCGAAGTCGACCAACCCTGAGAACTGAAATCAAGACAGGCTACTCAATCTTATGCAGCTACAGCTTGTCCTACAGCGTGTTTCTCTTATTGTTATTGAATCTTTATCTGTTCGAAACAATTTGTGAACAAGACTATATAGATTATTATGCCATAATTTTGCAACGACAAATAATCGTTCTTTATGTATACTATGGCATTTAGCATGAGTCTTGTCTTGTCATAGGAGATAAATATTAAGATGCTGGCTCACTTCATGATACAGCCAGTGTGTTCAAATTGGATAGAGTTGAACATACTCGATAGGTGCGAGACGTCTTGACTCGAAAATAGACAAGACATCATCGGGTAATTTAATACAATGACTCATCTTATTACGATTATATTGTTTTGAGCTTAAAATTGTTATTGCCGCCGGCAAATGTTAAGATTCGGGCATAGATCACTGAATTAGGAACACGGTGGTTACAAGACTTTTACGTATACTAATGTACCTAACTTGGTAGCTAATTCCACATCCATCATTAGATGTACGTGTCCATATTTATGTAACTGAGAATATCCCGATTCTGAATCACATTTTTATTTAATTTGTCGACCTAATTTGAAAGTTTCTCCCAATTCGCAATCTTTCGATTGAAATTATTTTATATCCAAAATTAATTGTTTGGTCTTGGCCGAAGTCTAGTTTTTTTTTTTGAATGATTTATATCGCATGATGCACTCAGTTTATTATTAGTCACATTTTTTCTCATCTGCCAGATTTGACTCTCTGGCGCTGTGTACGTATATCAAGCAATTTTGTGCAGTGTTTCATAACCTTTTTCAGTTCACGATCCACGTTTATTGCCATTTTTTTCTTTGCGACCCACAATGAAATGTTAATATATGAGAGAAGTGAAAATGTATACACATGCAATTTACTATTAATGCAAAACTTGAACCTACATGTTGGATATTATCAGATCAATTTAATTTGTCGACCTAATTTGAAAGTTTCTCTCAATTCGCAATCTTTCGATTGAAATTATTTTATATTCAAAATTAATTGTTTAGTCTTGGTCGAAGTCTAGTTTTTTCGTTTTTTTTTAATGATTTATATCGCATGATGCACTCAGTGTATTATCAGCCACATTTTTTCTCATCTGCCAGATTTGACTCTCTGGCGCTGTGTGCGTATATCAAGCAATTTTGTGCAGTGTTTCAAAACCTTTTTCAGTTCGCGATCCACGTTTATTGCCATTTTTTTCTTTGCGACCCACAATGAAATGTTAATATACGAGAAAAGAAGAAATGTATACAGATGCAATTTACTATTAATGCAAAACTTGAATCTACATGTTGGATATTATCAGGTCAAGTCGAGGCTTGATAGGAGACAAGCTCACGCGCAATGTAGTATTGACACTTAACACATTGTGCTTTTGGCTCAAAGTCATTTACTGCTTCAATGAAACCACACTTAATGTAATCATAGTCGTATTTGCTACTTTCCAACCGGATTCAACAAATTTTTGATCTGACTAGTAGCCTGCCTATACTTTCCAACACGTGGGGGTGTACTAAATTTTTAACGAGACACAAATAACAATCAATGATTCTAATTGTTAAATTGTTTCAAAAGTGTGATTGTTATACGTAATGATAATGTCACAATTTCTCGATCTAATTGAAGGTACAGGTAGCCACTTTACACTATTGCTCTACTTGAATGTCATGCAGTTATAAATAGGTATTTCCATTCAAAAACACTAGGGCATTGGTTCCCAACCTTTTTTGACTCGCGCCCCCCTTTGGTAGTTTACACATTACTCGCGACCCCATGCCTTACTTTCTATACTTATCAATAAAATAAGCGGCAAAGTGAATATTGTGTAATTTAATTTTTCCTCAACCTGCAGATTTTTCACAAAATGGGTCACGTGTTACTTACTCTCTTGGTGGCAAACGGTAGTCCATTCCAGACTTCTTCGCGTTCTATTGACAATATTTAACTTAAAGCTTTGTATTATTTCCTACTGTTTTGCAAGACTTTTTCTACGTGTTTGCCTGTTTATTCTAACCTTAATTCTATAGCAGAATGGCCTACAGTACAGAAAACTTTTTTACGGGAGTTAGGGCAAGCTACGACATATTAAAATAACACATAGGTATTATTATCACGCCACTATGTAATAGTCAGGCAGAATCGTGGCCGAAGCTCGTTTTGAGACATAAAGTTTTTTTTATTGTTTAGATATAATGTCAATGACATAAACGAGAATATCGGTCAGAGACCGAAGACTTATCGATCGAAAGTTGGGGTTAGTCCCAACTTTCCCCAAAACAGCGCTCTTACTCCATAGTGATACCTTGTGTCTCATCACTAATTAATTAATAACTCGCTGATTATACGACATAATTCGCCCAAAATCAATAGGCTTCTGGTCCGAGATAAGATGAATGCACATGCAAAATCTGGAGCAGATTCAATCGTGAGATATCGCGTGCATCTAACAGACATACAAACAGACAAACAGACATACAGACAGACAAATACCTATCAACATACTTACCGATTAAAATCGATAAGTAATAATGATACCCAGGTGTGTGTGCAGTATACATGGTTGAGCAATTTTTTCTAAGTGGATTTTAAGGCGCTCCGCAAGTATTCGCATCAAGATGACGCACATCCTTAACCGTAACCTGGTACACACTACACATACAATGTTCAGGTTTTGCGCCATCTTGGTACGAATACTTCGAGAGCACCTTTTTGTTAAAAACAATTTTTTTATAACTACATGGGCTAGTTCTGAATACATAGTAACATTATACATAGTAACATTGAATCTCCTTACAATGTCAGAAATTCAATTTTAGTACAATAAATGGTAGTTTATTTCACTAATATGAGCCAAGATCTATCGACAGCATCTAGCCACTTTCGAAAAACACTAATACAAATATCGAAACGTAAAAAAATTGCTTAAGGCTGCAAACTCCACATCCATGTAGAAATTATGGCCAATGACCCCAAGATGAATAATAACAAAACAAAACTTTATGTCTGAAAACAATGTTGGGTCCAAAAAGCCCCTTATATGTGGACTATGGGTTTAGTATCAGAGAATCACATTTGCTACTTCATCCGATGCTACAAATTGTTGTGAACCAGCAAAGTCATACGCATCTAAAATAATTTCGTGCAAAGTGACGAAATATTTTTTATTAAGTTATTTTTGTGAAGTCAAAACGTGATGCCTGGACGAATTTCAGTTTGAATTTGCTAAAGCGTCATAATATCCGTTCCAAAGGCGAAAGAGCGCCGTTTCGACATATT